TTATGGCGCTAGTTACATATATACATCTTTCGCGCACCTTTCTTTATTTTTTTAACCAAAAATAAACTATTCACATATGCACGAGAAATTGTATCTCAAATTTCCAGGAAGAAGACTTACAGTTGTTGACTTTTCCATTCTTTCGTAATCAATATAATCCCATTATAAAGTTTTCTGACTTGCTTTATTAGCTTATGGACAATCCAATCATGTAGAATGACGACCGCGAGAAGCGAAAAGACATGTTTGCTTATTGTTTAAGGTACAAACCGTGACCTGTGTGATAATTACATGCTTCTCTGTTAATAACTACTAAAAAAAATAAAGAAGCTTTATTTGTTATAGGGCGAAACAAGAAAGAGTACGGACTGGATAACGGCTACTTGATCGGCCATATTTTCATTTCGATTCAACGATGGATATCATTCTCAAAATGATAGTCTCGAGGGGACGTGTGGTAAGAGGGTTTCGAGAAACTCGTGATGAAAGAAACATCTTAAGCATGTGACGCGTGCCGTAAACAACTCGGTGGAGCACAAACTTAACGAAAGGACTGGGAAATTTTGTCCCTCATATGTCGAACGCCGGCGGGTAAGTGACATTTGCCATGCGATTTATGGCAATAAGGGAAATGAATTTTCAAATTGAGGCTAAACTCAAAGAGGACAAACAGCAATTTTGTTGTTCGAAATATCTAAAAGTGGAAAACTGTTCGAGTAGGATGCATAAAATGTGTGCAATTCCACAACTGATTTCGACTCCATTAAATGCTATACCAACTGTAGAACATCATAGTAGAAGGAGCCACACACAGTGTGAGCACAGTTACTGACAAGGCCAATGAGTAGGATGTTTCAGTTTTTTTAAAATCAAAAATAGTCTCAAAATAGTGGTTGGCATCCTTCAATTGGTATCACAGGTGGCCCATACTGCGTCCTGTGCGAGGTGGGAATCTGGGTACTAGAAGTTTAATTCCGGCGATTGTAATGATCTGTCAGTTTGTAAAGCAAGAATAAAGTTTGAAATACAAATTGTTATCATAGGTGGCCCATACTGCGTCCTGTGCGAGGTGGGAATCTGGGTACTAGAAGTTTAATTCCGGCGATTGTAATGATCTGTTAGTTTGTAAAGCAAGAATAAAGTTTGAAATACCAATTGTTATCATAGGTGGCCCATACTGCGTCCTGTGCGAGGTGGGAATCTGGGTACTAGAAGTTTAATTCCGGCGATTGTAATGATCTGTCAGTTTGTAAAGCAAGAATGAAGTTTGAAATACAAATTGTTATCATAGGTGGTCCATACTGCGTCCTGTGCGAGTTGGGAATCTGGGTACTAGAAGTTTAATTCCCGATTGTAATGACCTGTCAGTTTGTAAAGCAAGAATGTGAGTTTGAAATACAAATTGTTATCATAGGTGGCCCATACTGCGTCCTGTGCGAGTTGGGAATCTGGGTACTAGAAGTTTAATTTGCGATTCTAATGACCTGTCAGTTTGTAAAGCAAGAATGAGGTTTGAAATACAAAGTGTTATCATCCTCTCGTTTGTGGTCTGTATCATTATAATATTCACTTAGAGGATAAAGTAACTCATACGCAACAATTTATGATTTTAAAAACAGACAGTTTCTCACAGAAGCTGGACACATAGTTCACTCCTTCAAATACTCATAAATAATTCATATAGAATAAACAAAAGAAATCAATGTTTACTCTACGTCCAATTTTTTAGACCAAAAGTAATTAAAATAGAAGTAATAAAATATTTAAGTGCGGTAATGAGTTGATCTGTATTAGAGATTTTTAAAAAGCCGTCCAAAAACTTGCAGTCGTGTATAATCAGGTTTAAAAACTCTCGGCTTCGCATCAAGTTTTTAAACGTGTTTGTATTATCAGTGTGACGTGTTTATTATCAGGTTTAGAGTTTTTAAATCCGATAATACACTCCTGCTCGTTTTTTAAAAAGTACGTAAAACATGCCATTTTGGAATTTTAAAATTTAACGGAGGCATAGGCGGTATAGCTTTTAAAGGAGTTAGGGCTTTTCCAGGCTCTTTTAAGCATGTTTCCTTAGCACAGGAAATAGCCAAAAAAGCCCCTCGTGAATCAGGCCTCCTCCCCGCAGGGCCAATAAAGGTTGTCTAGCAATCTGATGTAATAATCTTTTTTAATATACTCAAAGTCTGAAAAGCTGATTGACCAAAAATTTACATTTAGCTACTCGACTCTTACAACTATAGCTATAACAAAAAATGACAATAAACTTGGCGTTTACGCTACACTCGTTTTAAATAAGAATATGATTTTACAAGAATATCGATCGATACCAGGAGCGGGCTCCTGTCGATACTGATATGTGCGAAATTTTAAGAGTATAATCAAGAATAAACTCAAGTGAAAATGAAGAAATCGTCGCAGTGAACGAAATTTATGCAATTACGTAAAGAAGCCTGAAAAAAATTCAGGATTTCAACGGGATTTGAACCCGTGACCTCGCGATACCGGTGCGATGCGCTACCAACTGAGCTATGAATTCGAAGCCACTGACGTTGGGAGCAGGTCAATTGTGGGTTCATACGTTCCCGTGAAAGAAATGAGTGTTAATGATATATGAAATGAATCATATATGAACTGCGGAAATAAAATGAAAATGAAGAAATGATTGTGGCATTGAACGCAATTTATGCAATTACGTAAAGAAGCCTGAAAAAAATTCAGGACTTCAACGGGGTTTGAACCCGTGACCTCGCGATACCGGTGCGATGCTCTACCAACTGAGCTATGAAGCCGCTGACGTTGGGAGCAGGTCAAATGTGGGGAGGAAGGGCGAAAGTAAAAACAGCCAAAACGTAACTATCCAGAAAAGCAAAAGGTCAACCTTATGATAATTTAACAAACCAGAGGATTATCTTGTATCACGAATAATTCGCTCGACCAAACCTATGTGCAAACCTTCCCTATATCTTTACTTTTATTCACATGAAGCGAGGATCATAATTTACTTTTCAGCCCTTTCTTTCAAAGAAGCTGCAGCGCATTATTACTACGGAGTAAGATGCCACGACTGGGCAAAATAGTAATAGATTGACAAAACAACAAATTAGCACCTCGTGAAACACATTTTTTTGTAAATTTTTTTGGCATTCCGGCATTGCACGACAACGACGTGAAAGCTACGTGAAATTGCCTAATTTCACTTTTTATTGAAAACGTAAACAAACGACGACGAATTTCTCTTTCTCTTTTTGAACTTGAATATTTTTCTTACGTTAAATTCAAATTCAGCCTAACCTGAGATCAGGGTCTATTTTCGTTTCGCTTTGAAAATTACATTCCGGCGGGCAAAGCGGTAGCCGTTAGAGAGAATGTATGAGAACCGCTAAAATTGGGCCTGATCTCAGGTTAAATTCAGCCAAGCTTGGTTGCAAAGTAACAGTGACCCGGCCAATAGCTTGCAGAATAGGCGCTATATTTTCTCGCGTTGTTTTTGGACCTTCCTGATTTTTGTCTCGAATTGAGAATCATAGTGCAAAAGGTGCTCTTTCAAGCATTTGTGTCATAGTAGCACATGGTCATGCCGTAAGTATTGGTTATTAGAAGCATTTAACGAAAAGTGGAGCAAATCCGATTGATATACGGCTAGGCTAGGTTTTTTGTTTGCTGTTGTTGTCGCTTTTTTTGTTTTAGTTTTTATTGAGTTCTATTCTTGTTTCTGCGATATCATGACCAATTTTGTTCCCATCGATGGGAATAAAAATTGGTATATCGCAGAAACAAGAATAGAAGCTAGCCGTATAAAAGTGTCCGCATCATGCTGACACTTTTATACGGCTAGGTTAAGTTATCCATGTCAAAGATCAATGAGCGCCTGATTATTATTCAGTTAAGTCAGTTAAGTGCGGGGCTTATCGGGGAAACCGTCTATTCGAGGGTGGTGCTCTTTCGACTAAATACGGTACTTAGACCTACAGGTCATTTGGACTAACTGAATTTGCCAAACTGTACCAGAGCAGACTTTTTTTCCGCAACCGTGCCGGAAAGTTGACATAAAAGATGGTTGGAGTTCAGTTGCTCTTTTCTGGTGATGTTAGAACTGATCAACGAAGTTACGTGAAAACTATTTGCACTTTTTTACAAATAAAACACGAACAATGGGATTTTAGTGTTATGTTATTGCGTAAGTGCAGCGAAAAAAGGTCTGAAATGCGAGAGGAATTATTTTCTAGAATATACTTTTTTACACACCGCACCTCTCGCTGTAAAAGACATTTTATGCACAGTAAAATTATTAACTACGTGAAGGAAATGTCGTTTAAAGTCAATGCCAATGCAAGGTACGTCCTTTGAAATGACGACAAAGGCGCCCGACAACCAGCTCCTTCATTCAGTCCATTTTTATTTGATTTGGAGTCCTTGTCTCTCAGTTGCACTTAGATGAAGACACAATCATTAGGTAAGCCTGAATATTTTATGTTCAATCAACGTTAAAATCTCCATAAATGAAATACTAACTACCCACATTCACAAGGGAAACAAAGGATTGTTGTCAATTGGAGCTTTACTTTAACGAATTAATTACTATCTTTATTTCACTTACAATGGACATTCTTCTTGCAATAGTATTGATTAGAGTCTGAAAGACCGTCCAACCTAGTGCTGTTACGAAGAGCTGAGAAGTGCGGCATATTGATAGACTCTCGCAGGAGAAATTCTGATTCAAAAGCTGGAATACTTTCTCAAAGTTTATCAGATATCGGATCAACTCAAGGCGGTTATTTTCTAATTTTAGTATTGAACGCGAGGGCTTTTTAAGCAGACGGTGTTTGAGTTTGCCGCTTTCAAAAGACAGCCAAAATTAACCTCTTTGAAAGGGGTGTGTGGTAGTCTTGTGTTTGTGATGCAATTTAAGGATAAGGCCAACATCAAGATAACCATTTCCACTTAAAACTTTTAGCGTGCAGAAGTATGCCAGCGCAAGAAAAGAGGAGTCACCTTCCCGGCATCAGAATATCAGGAAGGCCATTGAGAAAAATGTTGGCTGTGAAGAAGACCTCATCAAAACGCTGCAAGATGTCGAAATCAAGAAACGGGCTGCTCGTAAGGAAATTCTTTTGAAGAAGAGTGCCTTCTTGGGACAGCAGCGAAGACGACGGGAAAGTTTACCGGACGTTTTGGGACGAAATGGTGAGAACCATCATTTGATACTGAACAGAAAGAAAGTGAGCGATGATTTAAAGTTTTCGTCCGGGACACATTCATTCACTGCTCGTGATAAAGACGCTATGTTGTGTCGCTCTACTTTTAAATTACCAAGCTTAGCAACTTCGACTGTTCGTAACACGATACAAATTGAATCAGGAAATGGAGACAAGATTTGCGTACTTTCAGAGAGTCAGGATAGTAATGGAAAAACAGGCAACACAGTGAACCATTCACAAGAAGTATCATCAATGCAATCTGTAAATGAAAGAAACGTCGAGAGTGAGAGAAATGCAATGTTAAATGAAAGCAGCGGTATTGAGTCCGTTTTAGGAGCGCATTCATGGCCACCAAGCCCTCATGTTCACCCTGAACAAAAGTCCATTCTAAAGAGAAGAAATTCGGTGGCGGACATTGTGCACAGTAACAACAGAGCAGGCTGGAGCGAGTCCATAACAAGACCAGCGTGGCTACGACGCCAATCGCTGCATCAAGTAAGATTCTGCAGCCAAACCACGCCCCAAGCTACTAGCAGCATTTCTGATCCTTCGCTCCTTCAATCGAATGCAGAGTTTGTTCTAGAGGATTCCACATTATCACGATACAGAAAGGTGTTGAACAGAAGGAGCTCCAGTCTTTAACCGATCAAGCTTTTCGCTGAACGGTGGATTACCTGAAGGTAACTTGGACAGCTTTCAAGACTGTCACTTTCATAGCCCGAAAAACCAAGACCGTAGACGAGTTTCATTTCAAGATTCCTCCTCGTAAGTCTAATCAAAAAAGTTAAATATGTTCATAGATAGGTAGTTTATTTATTTATTTATTTTTACAAAAGAAACAAACAAAACATCTCAAAAAGTAGGTTGCATAATATTTTAATTGTTTGATTAAGCAGCAGAGGATGATTTTGATAGGATCGGAGACTGTATTTGAGTTAAGGCAAATAATGTGCGAGCTGAACCGGCACCTAGAGTTGGTAGAAGTATTAAATTCTGCAAGCAGAATACTGCAATGCTGATCGTACCACGTGAAAATTAACTCTGCAAGACTTGAACACGACACCGAAAGAACTCAAAACAGAGCGGGATTGTAGCCATAGACAGCTGTTTCGCGGCTCTTTGGGGCTCGTCAGTATGGCGTAACAACCGGAGATCAGGCTCTGATGAAAAAATATCCGCGCACTCTGATTTTAGCCCCGCTCTGTTTTGAGTTCTTTCGGTGTCGTGTTGATGTCTTGCAGAGTTAATTTTCACGTGGTACGATCAGCATTGCAGTATTCTGCTTGCAGAATTTAATATGTCTACATTATTATTTTTGCTGATCAGGTCTTTATAGATCCCACGTTCTTCGGCATATTCGTTTGCAGTCCTTTGCAGTCCCTTGTGGTTAATGTTTGTACCTAGAGTTGGTCCCCATCCTCTTTGACACCCTGTAAGCCGTACACCTCAGAAACGGACTTTTAAGGAGGGTAGAAATAGAGTCTTTAGATTTGACTGTAAAAAAAAAGAGAGAAAAGGTCCCTCTTCTGTACGTTTTGTTCAAGCTTCATTGAAATGATTTTTCTTCAACGTTAGCCCACAGATATAGCCCTAAAAACCTTAAATGTCTTTAAACCTGAATAAAAATAAAATTGATAAAAAAACGACTTTGGGAGGCACGTTTCTAAAGCCCCCCAATTAAACTTTAACCTTTATCCTTTATTAGCTTTTTTCGCTCGTCAAGTTATAAGTGGGATACCGATTTAGCTCAGGTGGGGAACAAGACCAATTTTCACGATAAACAATGAAATTGTACTTTCAGATCCCGTAGTTAAAATCTTCCAAATCTTGAAATGCACCGAAACCGGTCTGCTTGGTTCTATAAGCTCTTGCGAAAGTCAAGTTACGTGGGTCACGTTTTCTTCCTGGATCCGCCTCAATGGCGGTTTTTTCATTAGTCAACTCTCGATATTTAATTACAGTACTTTTCATTATTTGGCATTGTTATTTCAATTGGCATAAGCTGAGGTGAATCTCCGCCCCTTGCCCCTCCCCCCTGCAGACTCCGGCACTCCGGATCGACGACACGTGATGACGGGAGGTTTTTCCGTGTGGTGCGTGAGCCGAAATAGCTAGTGGCGGCTAATTTGTGCTTCAATGTTATCCTTGGTTGAATTTCATTCCTATTTCCCTTTGTTTCAAACTCATTATCATATATTACCATTCCCAAAAACAAAGGAAAATAAAATTTAAACCAACTGGATTACTGAACCACAGCAGCTTTATCGTTTTTATTATTATTATTATTTCCGGGCTCTCCAGCCTAAATTTCTCTTTTACTGTTTTTCTCTGGGCGTGTTAAAAAATATGTACTTTGATATTAAAAATACAGGCCTCATTAGAACAATATCTTTTTTTTTTTTACAAAAGTTAATATTTACTTTAATTTCTTAGAAGAAATTCCCTTTGATAACCCTCATCCTAGCCTATACCGCAGATGAAACCCATAACGTCTCTTGACCAAACTAAACTCTAAACTAAACTCAGTTTAGTCTGTCTGCGAAACAGCGCCGAAATCCTTGTTCTAGGCCACCACCTGTGTACCAGGATTTGAGAACAAGCCATGATTGGCTTGCTAAAAATGCCATTGTCGATTTGCCAATCAAAATAAAAGGAAATTCGAAACGCACCTCCGTTGACTCGGTTAGGGGCCCAGAGCAAGGATAACGGAAGTTAAATTACCGTATTTATTCGATCAACCGCCCTGGGCGCTTATAAAATTTTGGACCTTGAGAGTGGGCGCTTATTAAATTTTCACCATTTTCAAGAAATGTAACATGTATATTTTGCAACAGAACAGTAAATGGTAATAACAAAACGCGAAGATGTAACAAAGCAAGGTGGGCGCCTATTTCAGTTTGAGTGGGAGTGGGAGAGGGGTGGGGTAGGGGTTGGGGGCTTATACGAGGCTGGGCGCTTATTAACTTTTTCTGCCTTTAGGATGGGCAGGCTACCATCATTCAACTATCAAAAGCCCTTAAATTTACCGTCAACCTAGTCAGTCACATGACCTCACGTCATGTCAGTCCGCATCGCAACGAAACCAGGATGATATGACACACTTAAGGCCCAGTTCAGACGTCGTGCTTCTGCCCTGCCGAACTAAATTGAAGAATTAAGTTCGACAAAAGCACGGCAGAAACACGGCGTCTGAATCAAACTTTTGAATTAAGTTCGGCAAGCAATTAAGTTCGACAAGCGCTGCCGTGCTACACGGTTCTGGCACGGCAGCGATTCAAACGTCGCGCTTCTGCCGCGGTAAACAAAATTTATAAATTATACTAGGGTATCTAAAAGATAGTAATGCTGCGGCACGTTCTGTTGATACTGGCATTAGTTAAAAGAATCAAAAATGACATTGAATGTCCTATTTACATGTTGGAAAGTACTAGAATAATTACTATCAGTCTATAGAAAGAACTCGTGGGAAGGTTGTTTAGAAAATGATCAAGTGGTTATCAACTCTGGTTTTCCCACAGTAAATTGTAGGAAATAACAGAAATTCAGATCGTTTACCCATATATTTAATATACGAGCGCGATATTTTCTCTGGAAACACAATACTTTTCTTGCTCTTTATAAAGTGACAGTTATTTGGTTATATATTTATAGAAAACAACTACACAAAAAACGAAAAAAAGGAAGAAGGAATATATAATTCAGTAGGACTTGAACCCGGTACTTTCAACTCAACGCGACTACTCCTAATCGCTACACCACAGAGGCTGATTACGTAATCCGTAGGAAAAGTCTTTCATTTTATTCCTTTTCCATGAAACTTCCGCCGGCAAGATGATCGCCAGCCGCATTAACCGAGCTATTAACAGTGAAAAAACAATGTAAACGCATATTCCATGGCAATAAATGAATGAAAGAACATAATTATGCTTTTCAAAACGCCGATAAACGTCCTCGTCTGCAAAGTAGGACCCAAAACATATGTTTTGTTATCTCGATTTCCGCTGTTATTTTGAAGCGAAAGGTCAAAATCACATCCATTTTCGGCTCATACAGTTTCTTAAGAATAGCATTGCATGACACTTTCTCACTTTCACATTACGTTCTAGCAAGCTGGAATTTGTATATTCTATTCCCCGTGTTGCGGAGTCGAAGAGCAAATGCTCATCTTCTCGTCAGGTTTAACACCTGGACGAGTCAAAGGCTCTTGAATTGAAATCCAATCCCCAAGTTAACCATCGTAGTCATCCGGAAAGACTCCTGCGTGTCTTAAAATTTGGTAAGACCTCTAACCGTGCTGTAGAAAATTTGCCACAAAGAAAAGTCTGAGCAGTGAACGATGGACTCTCTCACCCACCGAACTTCCCCGTGTTTTTATTTGAGTTGTTCGTGGCGCAATGCACTCTGGTTAAATGCAATGCATTGTGGTAGAAAGTGTGGTTAAATGCAATGCATTGTGGTAAAAAGTGATGAATTCGAGAATTCGTCGCCCCTTATATATTTCCTTTAAATCCTGATTATGTTGCTGCTCGCTCCCTTCGGTCGCTCCGCAGCAATTAATTTATTTTGGCGAGATTGCGTTCCCACGGGGAGTTGGGAGAAGAATTGTTACGAGGCATCAGTAAATCCTGAATTTGGTTCGACTCTGGCACGACGTCTGAATCAGAGTTGTTTTCCTGCCGTGCTACAGTCGAACCAAATTACAACTAAGTTCGGCATGGCAGAAGCACGACGTTTGAACTGGGCCTTACTCAGTCGATTTTTTTATCGTTTAAGGACTACGATTACAAAATGCAACGAACGTCGAGGGAGCGATGTTTTTTTTAATGGTATTGCGCCGTTATGAGGACATGAGGAGGTAGGGTGGTAATATGACAAATTTTTTTAGGGGAGTAAAACATGTTTATTGTGAGCGATGTTTTTTTTTAATGGTATTGTGCCGTTATGAGGACATGAGGAGGTAGGGTGGTAATATGACAAATGTTTTTAGGGGAGTAAAACATGTTTATTTTGCCAAGTTCATGCTTACTGTATTCCATAATGGTAATCCAAGCATAAATAATATATATATAGAGGTAAAATACACAACACTGTTTGTGTTATGTTTCGAATCAAAATGTTCACGTCACAAAATGAGCAAGGTTCGCAACATTCGCTGTAAGTGTCGGTAGACAATTTATGCCTTTAGCTACTGCAGCAGCAAAAATGGAACACATGAATGCACGATCGTGCTGCGATTGATTATCAACGCGCCATACCTATCAAATTTCATGACTATTCTTGATTTTTTCATCAGTCGCTGAAAAAAACTTGCCGTTATCGAGAGGTTATTTTGGCTGTTGGGGACACGCTTTAGTGGCCGTTGTCGCTGTAGAGAGGTTTAAAGAAGAGTCAATGTATTGACTGTCCGCGGGACAAAATAAAGTGGCCGTTGTGGAGACGGAGGTGGCCGTTAGTGGAGCTTCGACTAAATTTGACCACCCTGCTTCAATCAGCTTCATTATAAGCATAACCTCTAAGCTTTCGTGTCCCAGCTGCAGCCTCGTGTCACTGGATTTTAATCATATTGTAGAAGGAGTGACAGACAGAGAGGCTGTTAACAGTAGACAATTTCGAAAATGTGAGCGAGACTATTTTTCAAGTTTCCGGATTGAGCGAAGGAAGCGTCCAACAAAGTTCAAAAGCACTGCTTGGCGTTTAGAAAGAAATAAACCATCCTCAATAAGTCTGAGTTGAGGAGAAGATAGGAAGAGATTCTAGAAACTTAGCTTTATCGAACTAGTCTGAGGCCTTGTCCACACGAGTGCGTTTTCGTTGTCATCGAAAGCGCATCGGATCGATTCGTGTCCACACTACGGTTTTGATGCGTTTTCGACTATCTATACTAAAACGTTCGAAAGCGATAGAATTTGCCCGTTGTGGCGTAAGTTGAACTCTTTGTGCATGCTACAAACACATCCGCCTGCGATACTTTCAGTCATCGCTTTTTTTGTCGACCGTCCACACTTACATAATATGTATGCGTTTTCAAATCGATTCGTTTTCGCTGAAAACGCTCAGTGTATTGACGTGGACGGAAGGCCTTAACCGGCGTCGAAATGTATGCGTTTTAGAGGAGCAAGGGTGGCGCAGTGAGAGCACTCGCCTCCCACCAATGTGGCCTGGGTTCAAATCCCGGCGTCGACGCCATATGTGGGTTGAAATTGTTGTTGGTTCTCTCCCTTGCTCCGAGAGGTTTTTCATCGGATACTCCGGTTTTCCCCTCTCCTTAAAAACCAACACTTCTAAATTCCGATTCGATCTGGAACGCAGGGACACGTTTCAACGAGTTCTCATGAACTCAGTGTTCTGTGGGTAAACAAGTTACAATTACAATTACAATACAATTTCACTCGAAAACGCATTAGGATGGACAAGACTTCAGAAGCATTCGAATTTCCTGCCTCTGTATTTTCGGGGCCACTAGAGAATGAAGAATTTCTAAGCACATGGTTGCCGATGTTCTAGGGAATTTTTAGAAACTTTTTCCAGCAACGCCTTGTGGGGTGTTTTCTTGTGACCTTTGCATTAACACTTCTGTCTCTTAAGGAAACTGCATGTTCACGCGTCTTGAGGGATTTAGAGAGACCCCTGCATGGTCATGTTTGTTGGTTAACTGGCCGTCGTTATGTTTGTGTTGTCATCGATTGCTTGTTACTAAGCCGAGGGGCTCTGGGGACAGGAATGACCTAATGCTACTTAAATGAGCACGCACAATTGACAATAGAATCAATCTACCTGCAAAAAGGGATGAAGCCATTTCCTTTGAATCACTATGCTTTAAAAGGACGGCACATACAGTGTAATTCAGTCAGTTAATTGACCAAAACGGTTGTCACACGAAAAATGTTATACCCAAACTTGATAACTTGACTTGAACCGACCCAGGCCAATCATGGATTGTTAAACAATTAGTAAACTAATCAAAACTGTAAACAATGCATTTACTCAGCTTTTGGTTAAAACATTGTCGACTTCATCTCTAGCAAGGTTCGAATACAGACTGGTGTATATTCTTTCAACGAAACACCCATCTTGTAAGTTTTTCTAAGGCGCTAGAATGTGTCCTACTAGTACGATGTCTTACAGTATATTGAGCTGAACAATGATGACATTACAAAAAAATGTATTTTGTTGAATTCAAAAATTCATTACCAGATAGCTTAATCCGGTCGATTGATCAATAGAATGAAAGCAAACGGCAATCAAATAGGTAAACAAAAGACCCCCGAAAGACTCAGTAGTCAAAACAAAATGTATTGAAAGAGAATTTACATGCCGAGAAATTAATTAGTGACACAAGTCTATCAAGTGCTAAAGTTTTAGCTTCATTGAGCAAACGTTTGTCCTGTCTATTAAGATGTTGTCCGAAATACCGGCTTTGTGATTTTAAATTTGAGATGCATTCTCACGATGGATTACGTAAGAGCCTACGGGGCGTATGGTAAAACTAATGGTATCTGCAAGAACTATTGTAGTCAAGGAGGTGAAGTGAACCCTCCTAAAATGTAATTAGCTATTTTCAGTTGAACTCTCAGTGTTCGAAAAGGGTTTTGAAAGAATAAAGGGCGATGGAAGAACTATTAGAAAAGGATATGATATGCCACTACAGTCGCAACTTAAAGAAGGCCATGGTGAGAAACTCGTACCATGGTGGAAGCTTGCAGAAAGATCTAAAGCACATTCAAAGACAACGAAATCAACTGGTGCACTCGTGGGAAATGAAAAAGCAGACGTTTGCGCAGCGTGCCAAATGCACTAAGCTGCCCTCATCGTGGCACAGCCAAGATGACAAGGAGAAAAAGGATTCAACAGAACAACTTTCTGATAGGCTTGGGGGTAAAGAAAGTAGTGCTATTCACATAAAATCTGACAGGGATGTCCTGGGAAGAAATGAGTTGGTATCTCGGCAGAGTATTGTTGACAAAGAGGTCTTCCGCAGGCTCAAAAGAAGCGACACACACCCAGCTAGCACGGCTCTAACAGTCAAGGATATTCATTCAAAAATGTCTTCTGATAATAACAGCTTGTCAGTTAACACCACTGACGTTCAATGCCCTTCCCCGAGTATTTCGAGATTTAGTTACCAATTGAACAACTTGCATATAAGTCCAGAAACAACCATCGCAACGAGAAATTCCAGCTCTTTGAGTCCGTGTCCTCCGAGACCCCCAATACAGTATTTACAGAAAAGACCACAGCACGCTGGCTCTTTGGATCCCAAAGAACTGAACAAAGTCATTTCCTCCTCTCCTCATGATGTTACACAACGTAAACGGGCATCTACCTGGAAAGGGAAGCAAAATAAACCCTCCACAGTCCTAGGAATTCCACAAGGCGATAGCGCGTCTGAGAAATCGAAATGGGTAAGTGAAACCTTAAGACTGTTGTGTCCACACGAGTCCGTTTAAGAATTGTGAACGCGTAGAAACATACGTTCATAAACGGATTCTGTCCACACGTTAATGATGTAAACATACCAGTCTCTACAACTAGAGTATTGTTAAACAGAAGAATGTCATTTTTGTGTAAACGCATATTAAGTTCTTGTGCATTTTAACGAATTCAGACGGACACGGCTTGTGTCGATGAGTAAGCCCAAGTTAAAGGCTACGACGAAAGGTGAAGCTATTAACACAAACCCTAGATCTAAAACGGTGAGTTCAGCCAGGCCGCCGTAACAGTGCAACTTGAAAGGTAATTGTTCTTTCAGTTGAGGCAATTGTAAAACAACGTCCTTGGGACTTGAAAGGACCTCAAACCTTTCTGGTACATGGGCCACAGGACCCCCAGAGACTCAGTGCTGGCTCGATCGCAGGCTAAAAAAATACAGATATGTACACAGCTAATTCGTCTCTTACACATTGATGCTGAGAAAATCCTTGAACCAGGTCGATATTTCGTAGGAGATTTTTTATTTCGAAATTTAAGTCATAAGTAGGACAATGGACTGTGAGTTTAACGTCTTACTTTCCTCTTAATTTTTGTTGCTTTTTAGGACCTCGAGGAAAAAAGTGATGTTGCGATTCAAGGATTAACGACCTCCTCACGGATGGCAGGAATGCATGATCATGATTCGGCGGGTGCTCCAAAGTTGAGAAAAATATCAGTAAAAGATCTGTTCTTTCCGAACTGATATAAATTTGGGTTGGGTATAAAATTTTAAATTTTCGATCGAGAAGATTCCCACCTCCGTCACTTTCCGTCTGTCCATCTGCCCGCCTGTCTCGTTCCCTGGATGGGCAGAGCCGGGGGGGATACTCCCATATATAGATATGTACCTTCTGATAGAGTATAGCCGGCACTGTGTTCCCGGTATGATCTTCATATAAGGCTACCGTTATTTTATCAGCTAAAATTCAAGAGCGTAAATGGAAAACAAATCATCTGTTAATACTAAACAGGAGCCCATAGTTAGAGGCTCCTGAACTAAACTATCCCGTAGATTATTAGAAAAGCGATTTAATAAAGGTTTATGTGTGGCCACCTGAGCTAAACCTAATTCCAATTAAAGCCGACCCAAATTATTTAGACCGGCCGAATTGATTCAGACGCTCGGATCTTAATTCCAGCCGGACTAAATTCAAAAGGAGAAAAATGCTCATTTCGGTCAAACTGCTTGCTTGCAAAATACGTTGATTTATGCATGGGTTGGGCACATGAAAAGTTCGACGACTGAATCACAACCGTTCCAATGTCGTTCCACAGTCGATCGAAATTCCTACCCGTACTAGGCCAAAGGAACAGCTGAGCTGTTCCAAATTGAAATAGGCGTTCCTAATTGATTAAGACGCCGAACGTTTTGTGTACTTATTTCAATGTATGAAGTTCGGCTCACGAAAAGTTCGGCGTCTGAACCGGGCCTTAGCTTTTGTTTTTACCTTAAAGAGGGAGTCATTTTTCGGGTAGGGCCAAAGATAGTTTACCAATATTCGTTTGTCTCTACCTTAAATAGGGTCAAGTTTTGAGACCCTCAGCGGCACACACCTATCCTGATGGGAGTATACCCCCGGTGGATTCGATCGTTCATTCATCCTTTTCGTAAATTTTTATTTATTCACTCATAAACCCATCCACCCGCTCGTCTTTTCATTTTCGTCCTTATATTTACCACAATTAGTTATTGCAGAGGTTACGGAACAAAGCGGAAACTGTAGAACGCTCAGACGAGCTATATTTTAATATTGAGTTTCGTAACTCAATAGTAATTCCGTTGGTCAACCCCAGCAAGCATTGAACAATTGAGATCTCGAAGAAGATATACGTAGCTAGCCAGTTAGCCGGCGAAGCTGAAACTAGAGACTGGAACTTTTTACGGTTTCATTCCGACTTCTAATCAGTTTCATCAACCTATTTTTTCAAGTCTCATCCAGGGTAAAAAAAGAAATTGAGCCATGTTTCATGGTTTTCTACGCTTTAGGGCTTGTTATCTAAACAGAGTTCAAACGGTGTTTAACAAAACCGAAATCTAAGCCATTTTCAGTTTCCCCAACGCTTTTATCTAAACACCAATAAATCGCTGTGAGAATCCAGTTTCATACAGAGTAGACGAGAAAAGCACAATATTTTGTATTCTTAAAATAAACCACTGAATAATGGCCGATCCAGACCTTCAGATGGGGGGGCGGCCTAAGAAAAAAGTTGTTTCGGCCCTTCGGGCCTCATTTTCGTCTAAACATAAGGGGGGGACCGGGCCCCCCGGGCCGTCCCCTGGATCCGCCATTGCTGAAGAAAGGGGCCAAAGTTTTCTTAAACTGCAGCCTAGAGTATAAGGGCGCTTTCCATTTGTCAGAACTGGCCGGTCGGCCTATTGCCGGACCAGTCATTTTGACAATGAAATTAGGATCTAGGATTTGACTGATCTGGCTGGATAGTTTTGATTAATAGGAATAGTGGATTCTCATTACCACGGGAAGGGTCTGGCCGCCGGATCAGTCTGACAAATAAAAAGCGCCCTAAGTTAGATGTCGTTTAAATAACCGACCCTTAAAAGTTGTTTCAAAAAGAGAGTACGGTCTTTGTGCTTATATAAAATGGAATAAATATTTGGGGGCTCAAGCAAACTAAATAATATAAAATACATCGTGGTTTGAAATCAGGTAACTTCTGTTTACCTTTATTTACACGTGCAGTTTTCAAATGCTTATACAGTAATCACTTAGTTCATTGTGTCTTTGAATTATGATTCCGGAAACGCGAATAAATAAATGAAAATTCTTGAATTGCCCATTCCTGACCAGTTTATTTTTAGCTACCATGCATAAGGGCTTATTTTATCAGTTGCCCATGGGCTTAAAAAATGGGACACTTCGGGATGTCCATTAAACCAAACTGAGCCGAGATTGTAGATTCCGTCAAGCTACAAATAATGTTACAGACTGGAGTATTTTTGGCGAGCACTGCTCAATGACCTTTTACAGCAAAACATGCTCACTGCATGGCTCAACAGCTAACTAATGGGAAATGTTCTCGACAAGGAACATATACATATCTTTTCGTCTAGATCCTCTCTAGCCATACCAGCCTTAGCACTGAAGCATACGTACCAACTCCCTGGTATGCCCAGTGCCTTACGCACGGGCACAACCATATCATTCCATTCTTAGGGCTTTGTCACGCTCACAAATTCTCTACAAGCTCAAGCCAAAGTTATAGTTAGAGCTTTAACAGCCAATTAACACAAATCGGGCCTCTGCAGACAAAAGCGGGTCACATTCTACAAAAGCACCTTGCTAGAGGGAAAACAACGCAGAGAGATCTTGAAAAGAAAGGATATGATCTTTTTGAATGATGTCATCTCTTTGTTTTTCTTGACCCATTGCGTCGTTTGTCATCCAGCAAGGTACATGTTTTTGTCCCATGTCACCGTTTCTGTACAAAGGGCCCATTCTACTTGTTTCTACTAATTTTGTGAGTAATCGAGGTCAATTTCTTTGTCTTCAAACTCCTCGTTTTCTGTTTTCACTTTCTGTGACTCCTTAACATCATCTCCAGTCTTGGAGATGTCTTTCTCTTCAACGCTATTCTGTTCATCTTCACCTTCATCTTCTTCTTCGTCTTGGTTGGAAGACACAGTTTCGTAAGGTAACCTTGTGTGCCCGACAATGATGGATGACGAAAGCAAATTTAGCGGAACTTTTCCCATCTTTGGCAGCCAGTGATTCGGAGATTTCATACGTAGGTAGCGGGTGTATTGAATCTCTTCCATAGAGTGAATCTTCTTTTCATTGACTTGAAAAGTGAACGGGTTTTCTTCGTTTTCGCCTTCGTCACTGCCACTCGCTTCCTGATCATCGTCATTGGTATACCACCCAAACTGACCATCACCTTGTACTACTGGCGTTTCTCCAAATTCTGCACCTTCCTTAACAAAATCAGTTTTTGTAGACCGTCCGTTGAAATACTCGTTTCCCACGACACCTGCAGGATGATGCTGCTTTTCCACAAGTTTGGGTGAAATATTTGGATGGCTTAGTTCTTCCTGCCGTGGAGATAACTCGATGGCAAGTTTTTCTGGGGCCATGACGTGAAATCGACGTTTCTGCCTTTCTTGTCCTTCTCTCGATGTCCCCGGTAGAGATCCTCGTGAGTGTTGAAGCCTTGGTAAGCGAAGCTCCAGTGGATCATCTTGAGAACCTTCTGATTGGCCAGCTCCTGTACCATGAAAAGATGCCAGCCGCAACCGTCTTATCCGAGGTGACAGAGGGGCTCGCGGCGACATCAACGAATTGTTTGCCTCCTTGAATGAAAAAAATAATTAGTAACTGGCCAAGTTAAGAAATAAATCGGTATTTATCAAACATTTAGTCATCACAATTGTATTGCTCCTAACGTACACCCGGGAGCTGCGTAGCGGAAATGTTGTTGATTGCTTGTGGCAGCTTAAAGGTTTAACGCAGAGCCACCAGCATCAGAAGACAGCCAGAGCTAGTCTCCATACCTCCTGCTCTAGGCGCGCGCCACACTCGAACAGCTTAGGAGAGAAAATCATAGCTGGTTAAGCCACCGTTTCGCTGAATGTTTTTCCCTGTACAACGCTTTTCCAGGCCTTCACTGTCGATAAAGTTCGGTGACGAAACGCCGGCAAAGGCCACGCAAAGGAACTTTCGTTTACGCAGCAAGTGCTGCTCAGAAGGCTTATGATGCTGGCTATAAAAATCTTTAACGGAGAACTTTGGTAGGATCGGATTTTTTTTTTAGAAAGTTCAAAGAACGGCCAGTAACCAAACAACTGGGCAACTTTTTATCCGTGAAAATAGTCTGAAATGCCAGCCTTTCCCACGCTGTAAGGGAGTGGAAACGGCAGACATTTCAGACTATGTAGAAATGTTTTCTTACGGGTTTGACACCATTGAGGCTGTTTTTATTTGTATTACGGGCAATGCCCCAAGCGAGGTAATCGAGAGGTGGGAAAATTAACTGAACCTCAATTCAAGTATTAAAAAACACTCTTCTGTTAGATAGCACTGAATTAAAGGAAACATTTTACTAAACGAAATTAAGGAAGCTGTAAGCTGATGTAATAACAATCGTTTTGTACAATATTCTACTAAATATTCCAAAACTGAGATGCCCTAATTTTTTGGCTTTGTAACATGAAACAGTTAAATTATGGGCATTTTAACCAACAGTAAAAAATTGTTCGAAAATGTAAATTTGTTCCAGAAAGAAGCAAAAACGGCTCTAAAAAGGACAATATTATTTTGTTTAGTATATCAAGAGTTTTCGGCCATTTGACAACAATTTATTTCAGATTTCCCAAGGCTACCGAAGATTGTCGAAGATTTCCGAAGACTAACGAAGAGGTCCGCCACTGCTGAAGATGTCCGAAGAACCGTCCAAACACTTAACAGTATTTTCTTCAAAAACAGTAAACATTAAAAAATTGGCCAATTTAACAGCAAATACTAAAACTTTGGCGCAAATAACACTAAACACTACACCCCATTCAGACCCTCCTCATTCTGTTATTGACACAATTGATTGCTGATGGGAATTCGTATCGCACAATTCCAGGCAAGGGTAATAGGGCACGTAAATCGACATTTAAACTCATTGTACTCGCCTGATTACTCGCTGAATTGTACGACAAGAAGATGATACCAGCGTTTTCGCTCAGTGACGCATGTCTACTAAGATCGGACAATTTTCACCCGTCATGATCTAATCATGTTGCCTTAAGCCTTCCAGTTGATGCATAAACTTCAATCCTGTCTTTCTGTTTGTTCTCTGGTGAGAGTCAGAGCTTTCTCTAAAAAAAAACTTACCTCAAAATCAGGAGGTGTCGACTCGGCGCGAGGCCTTGGATCTCGTAACGGTGTAGACTGTGAGCGCTCAACAGGCCTCTTCAAGTTATCAAAACTCTTAGCATGACTCAAGTTTCTTGGCGTGTCCAACGTGTTAGCGCGTCGCCTGCCACAAGGTGAGCCGGGAAGCGAACGACACCGTTCTAAATCTGTTTGTTCAAGCGAACGAAAATAAACTGAATGAGGTGAGGGCGATGAACGTTGAGGCGGGCATTCTAAAGACGGCGAGTTAGTTCGATCGGTGGCAGAGCCTTTGTTTTCCGCGTCTTTTGAGAGCCAGGCAATCCGTGGTTGGTCCAAGGAACCATTCCTTTTTATTGTAGAACCACTTTCAGAAAGAGCGCTCTTTTCACGAAGAAATGAGTTCATATCTTTGCTGGACGCTGAGCTGCTGCATCTTAATTCCGATACTGGGGAGTCGGCACGCCGTTTTGAAGCGTCCTTTGACCACACATCACAACAAAACTCGGCAATTTTTGTCTGCGCATTTTCTCTTTCACGCCCAGATTGAGCAAGGCGGATAGATGGCAGTTTGCATTTCCTTTTTACGAAATCGAGCTTCTCCTTGCTCAAGGTATTAATAAAACTTCTTCGCTCTTTCTGTAGACACGACAAAGATTTCTTTAGTTCAATATCGTAGGTTGAATTTTTATCCAAGGCTTTCTTTACTTTATCAATGTATATCGCGTCTTTTTTAGCTAGCTCCTGAAAGGAATAACCGTGAGCCATGATGAACTTTTGCTGGGTCTCGTGGTTACATGGATCCACACATTTATACTTCGTGGCTAATTTATTGCAGCAAATAACTCTAGTCGAATTGTTTAGAAGAGGTTTATAAGCACAGATCAGAAGTCATTAAGACTTAGGTTTTAAGTATGCTTTTGTTACCAGAACAATAGTGTGAAAATCAGCAAAACAACCTTTGAGTGAGTTTACAATGGATTGAAGGTATGAATTATCTTTATGAATGATTATTTACTTTATTCAGAGTAAGTTCTTACATTTCTTATATAAACTTTTCCTATTGAATGTACAAAAATGTGTTGTCTCTAATTTGTCTTTATTGCTGCAAAATTTTCTGGATGAAAAAGATTCAAATCTAAAAAAGCCCGCTAAAGTAAGTTAATTTTGTTTTTCAAATCATAAAATCAAATATGGAGAAAAATGCACTCTAAGTTTGGAGTCTGTGGACATTTCCTAGTGGTGAATACGTATCATTTCAAATGAATCTTCTCTTAGTCAGAACTTTCACACGGCGCTAGTTTGTTTGTTTTTTTTCGAAATTCTGACTTTTCACGCACCTGATATTTTGTTTTGAGTGTGTAAGGGTTAAACTCGTGCTCGAATTTTTGATATCAAGTAGTGTCCAAGCAAAATTTTCAACACGATTAAAGTTATTCGAATAATCATTATAATCATTGTCGGCTAGAACTGGGTTTGTGCTCATAAGTTCACTTCATCATCATCCTTTAACGGGTTTATAACGAACCAATTCGATCAACGACCTGCTCCCAGCTGGCTTGGGCTTGTTAGCTTAACTGGTAGAGCGCTGCACCGGTATCTCAGAGATAAGGGTGCGAATCCCGTACAAGCCTGAATTTTTTTCAGGCTTTCTTTTTGCAACTGCAAAAGCTGCGTATATAACTGCGATGATCATCAATTCTTCACTCCGCAGTTCACACACATAAATGGTTTTCATATATTCATAACTTCAAGGTTATATCTCTTAGTCACAAAGACCATGAGTTTTGTTGAAATTATCAACTATTAGGCCCAATAATCTGTACAAACCCGTCTGACATACACTGTTCTAAAATTTTACTTTAAGCTAGCAAGTCATTGCTCGCCATCTGTAAGTGGCCGAGAATCCAGAGAGTCTACTGATGCCTTCTCCGACTTTAGATTTATAAGCCGTCATCGACCCGACGTTACGGCTGCTACGACTGCAAGCTATGTCCATACGAATGAGTTTAAGTTTGTAACCACACTGTTACAAACTTCAGTGTTTCCAGCGGTCCACAAGACATTCACGATGCAAATCCCTTTACAAACGTATCTGCTCTGGAGACCTTTTACCATGATCCTCAGAGCGGTCGAAGCTGTAAACGCTTTAGTTTCAAAAACTTACAAACTTATTTAGACTCGTGTTCAATTCAAATCATGATCAACATGCAATTGATGCTTCAAAGGAGCCTCTTCAAAACGTTAAAAGTATACACTCAGCGCGCGCGCAGGGTGGCTGGAGAGTACGTTTGTAAAAGTTTATTCCAGGCCAAACTATAGTGCTGCTTAGTAACCAAACAACCACCGTTGGTTGTTTGTGGAAGGGCACAGAGTATCGTTCATTACTGAGTTATGAGACACCCAGTTATAACTGAGAAGTAAGGTGGCACCAGGCAGCAAGGCGTACCGTGTACTCCGCAAAAGTAAAACTATTTTAAGAAGCCAAGCATGTGGTCGAATTATGCGCAGTGGACCTGTCCAATAGAACAAGTAACGTCTCGCCACTTTTAGAAACGTTTAAGACTATAAACCAAAAGTTTCAAGTAAAACACCATGTAATAACGCAGAGCTACTGTTAAAAAAGCGATACCATTTGAAATGTTATGTATGCAAATTTTTGCTGACTTGACATAGATTGTAGGGAGGACGTATGTCGTTTGGAACAAAATCACTCATTGAATTTGGCGAAGGCAGCAAAGACCCATTACTGTGGAGTCGAACCGAATTTAAAAGCACACTAGAAAGAAATCGGCTTCCAAATTGAGCTTATCTGAATTCTTCAAGGAATTTTTTAGACAGGATCAAGAAGCCGCCGTTTTGGGGATATGCGTTCTTAATATTCCGTTACAAATGTTAAAAAACTTACTTTACCACTGGGTTTGCAAATTCCTTTCTTCAAGGCGTTCACTGCAGCATCCTCGGATCTCCCGGGTTGGCTCATACACAGTTCTGCGCCGGACACATCCTTCTGTCCTTGAATTGACTCGACTAAATTTAACTGTCCAAAACTAGACTCAATCCGTTTTTGTCCAGCTATAGAGGTTTCCTCACTGTTAATACCCAATGAACGTAGTCTCCCCAGTTCTGCACGCATTTCTTTCCACTGTTGATTTTCTGGGTTCCACGTCTGAGCACGGCGCCGACGAAAACAAGGAGAACCGGGTAACGATACACTCTGCTGCTGCTGTCCTAGATCAGTAGGATCCAAAGACATGGAACGCTGCTTTCTTTGCAAGAGAGGCGAGTGACGGAGCTGTGTTCCCAGAGAGACAAACGGGGCAGAAACCATCAGATTTCGCCGGACACCCACTTCTGAAATGCGCGGGACATTGTGACCACCAGTCATACCATCGCTAAGGCTATGACCTGATTCGAAAGCTGTGTTCAATGATTCTGGCAACGACAGCTGTCGATCTAACAAGATTCTTCGCGTTTGCGGTGACTTGGTCAAAATGGCGTGGGATTCTAAGGAAACAGTCCCGTTGTTGTTGGTTTCTCGCCCGCTTCCAAGCTTCTTTAAAGCGCTGCTGTCTTGTGTTACTGTAAAAGATGTTGTCAAACATGGTATAGAAAACCTTTTCTCTGCAGCTAATCGTTTTTCATGAAGCTCGCTCAGAGTCGAATCATCTAGAGAGAGATGTCGAGAAAGTGCTGCAGGACTTTTAGCTATGTTTTCCTCGGTCGCATTGCGCAGCGGAAGACGAAGCTTCGGTAGTGACGATACTTTATGTATGAATTTCAACTTCTTTTCCCTCTGCGAACGGATAAAACGATTCCTTTGGCCTTCGATGTCATCCAAGTTCTTCTGTAAGTTTCCTTCGAAAGCATTGTTTCTGCCTACGGCTTTCTTATACTCTCTGCTACTCATCATATGTACAGTGTTCGAAAATAAAAATATGCTTCAATGTTTTGAAAAAATCGCTCGATAATCTCTGAATACAACGGCACCTTATTTAAGTATAACGAAAATTACCATTCAAAGTTTGTCTTTCTTTGTAACGACCAAACCTCAGTGGCGCCCGGCTTAAATGACATGTATTTAACAAATCCCTCCCATTTTAATCGGCTAGCACGAATAAAAGTCTTTAGTTCACAACTAAGGATACCCAGAAGGCAGAAGGTTTCATACAGGTCTTTCATACAAAGCCAAAGCTCTTTTACTTCTCTCTGGTTAATGAAAACAAAATTTGATGTTTTTTGATCAAACTATTACATCTGGGAATCGATATCCTAAATGGGCTAGAGTACCATTATTGTTTGCCGGAGGTAACGAGCAAACGCTTAAGTGTCAAATCTATTAGCTTCTATTCTTGCAAAAGTAAGCAGTTATGCTTATAATTGTTAAAACAGTTTAACTATGTAATCCTAAAGTAAATTTTAAGAGAGTGAGAAGAGATCTGTGTTGGTGTTCATTGCTCATTAGGAGTTTTCCTGGAAACCAATAGACATCTATTAGCTTTAAACGGATTAGCGCTATGTTGAGAACGTTAAATGGTGGCTCCCGAAGGAAACTTGTACCACGGAACAAAGAACTGGGATTAAAAAGGAATTAATCATTTAGGACTGGCCATTAATGCCGTTCATCTCAATTTGTCAACCCCTAACTTATTTTCTTATCTGATTCGTGAGGCAGGAATCATTTTTTTCCAACTCTTTGACTTTACAACGCCTTTGGCACGGCAATCTAGGTCCATTACCAATCACTTAGTATCGGATTTGGCTTTCGTACGATCTCAAAACTTATAGGCAGATCAAGGAGGGTGTTATGAAGAATTAGCTGTGGATTTGAGTCAATCAGAAAAGGAGAAATATTTTATTTTGAATGAATTATAATAATCGCCTTTACTCGTTGTTGATTTTACTTGTGGATGACAAATCACAGCTTCGTGGCAAAAAAAGGAAAGATGTCTCCTCAACATTACATTTAAAGTTATAAACAACGGGTGACTCGCAATTTTGAAAGAACCATGGTTACCTGTTTTAGCCACCCTGCTTTAGCGTTGAAACAATTAAAACCCTGAGTTCAAGGAAAAGTACACAATAAATCATTATTGCGGAGGTTGTCAGAAGCATAGGTTTATGGAAACAGAGGTTCTCGAAAACAAAGCCGAAAGAAGAGCGTTTGAAAACAGAGCTCTAGCGTTTTGGAGGCGCAAAAAGGAAGGTCTTCCAAAATGTTGACCTCATACTGGCCCCGCTCGGCTAAGACCCTGAGGCGGGTTGTTCAAAGACCAGTTGGGTTGTCATAGTTGCTAATCGTAAATTCGCGCCAATCGTCTTTCGAACAGTTCGCCCTGTGGGAGCCCGCTCTTCTTCTTGTTAGGCCGGGAATCACCCCAGCCGTCCTGACAAAATTTTCCCACACGGCCTGATCGAGCATGGTGTCTCTTATTTCTGTCGTTTTCTCCAGTCCAATGTCATCCTTGAGGGTGTAAATGTGTGAAGTTATTGTTCTACCTCGATCTGGGTGACCATGTTAGGGTTCCGCAAAAAACACTGTACTTTTTGAAGCAGTTTCACGCTTCTTTGTGACAGGAGCAATGGCCGCGTATTCTTAATCTTCTTGCAACAATTGTTTCACTGACTCTTGGGAGGCTCCAGTTTAGTTCCTGGTTATTCATTTGTTATTGCCAGTGCATTCAGGGCCGTTCACAGCATTCTGGTGTGGCATCTATTGACACTTTTCCCCCAGCTTCTTTGTTAGGGTCCACGTTTCACTTCCATAGAGTAAGACAGCTTCCTGTTCAGTCAATTTTGTATACTCTTGTACTTAAACTTAAATGAAGTTTAGAAAAAAATTCCTTTTCATTCATATTGAAATCCAATATAACGTTTTTAGAAGCTTCCCCCCAGTCTTGTGGCATGAGGCTTAGTGGCGGTCAACGACGATGCGCATGTTTCCAAATACGTCAGAAGTACATTACAGTCAACTCCCTTTATAGCGGACACTGTAGGGACCTTGAGTTAGTGTCCTTTGTAGCGAGAGTCCGTAATAACGGGAGTTTATTTCGGACAAATGTCTGTAATTTATTTTTGCCCAGAATTTATCTGCTGTCCGTATTATCGGGGTGTCCGCAAGGGGAGAGTTGACTGTAAGAGGTTTTCCTTATGCTTTAGAAGCTTGCTTGGTTTTTTTAAAAGCTCAGTGCCCTAAAAAACTATGTATCGGTTCGGAAGTCTCAAGGGAAATTTGGTCGTCTCGAAGGTTGGAGTTTTTGATGATTTTTCGTCTCAACCGAAACTTTTAGCTTCCTTGATGCATGGGTCCGGTCGAAAGTTCGAGAACATGGAGCGAGTAGCGGTACTTTCATCAGCAATAAAATGTGAAAACCTCAACCTCTGAAAATCGTAGGTACATCTTAGAGACGAGGGGAACGGCATATTCAGACATTTTAGCCTTTCTTGAGCTTTAGAAATTTCTAGGAAATACTTGCTGCTTTGAGCAGTTATTTTACAGAAAAAAAAGTTGTTGGGTGTCCCTGAAAACGTTAATTGCAGGAGTTTTAAATGTTGACTTGCAATGAGATTTTAAAACTCTTTGTAAAGAATGCAATATTAATCACCCAAAGAGAGTTGTTTGCATTAAAGCTGCTTTGAATTACCCGGAAGCATGGCAGGAAGTTCAATGCAACCAGCTTTCTTTATCAGGATAAATTAGACACCATTAAAAGTTTCGCAGATAAAGAACTTTTCATTGGGTTGCCTTTTTCCAACTGAAGGTCTTTCTTGTTTCCTGTAGCCAATTAAAACCCAAGAGGCTTTAGGTCTTATGCGTTTGGTTCATTTGAAAAGGTTGAATATTCATAGTCTTACTGAGATATACCAGGATAACTCATGCAGGCCCGTTTTAACGGAAGAAAGCAATTTGTATTAGTTGCACTAACGAGTTACCGAGCTGCATTAGCGAAATTTTCATAAGGCGTCTAAGGCGGAAAACAAGTTATAGCTGTTCTGTTTGAAACTGCAGACAACTGGAGGCTTTGTACAATTTTGAATAAACATATGAATGATCATCTAACAGAACTTCAGAAATAAAATAAGATGAAGAAATTCGTATTTATCATTCCTTTGACTCAACCGTTTAATTACTGATCCTTAAAAAAACAACAACATCAAAAACACAATTCCTTGAAGGATATTTAGCCTACGAACTCGTCTGTCAATTCATTGCCAGAAAATTTCGTTCCCATTTAACACTTCGGTTCATGTGCTGAATAGCAAAAGCAAATCTACGCAAAAAAAAATTAACCGTGACCGTACGTATGTTAGGTCAAAGAAACCTCGAACTGATTCAAAAAGGCGTCATCTAATTTGGAAACAGCGTCAAGCGCCGCCCACTCGAACCATGAGGGGCCTGTAGTGATTAATAATTAACATTATAGTTTTAATTTAAAACTACTGAAACACCAAAAGCGGAAACAGCTCATAATCCACTCATGCAGTGTTATTCTAAAATATGAGTACCTGCACAAGACCGTCACATTCTTTGCACTTGTTTCAGAAACAAAAAACTGTCTGCTGAAGAAAACATATTCCGATTCATAGATGATTTCTACACTTTGTTAAACTCACAAAAAATCGCGTTAACGTTCTCATTAGTAGCGAGAAAAGTTAATTACGAGGTGTTAACGACCTCAATTATCACAGAAAACCATAGTGAACCATCAGGTTTTCAAACTAGAATTCTAATGTCCACAAATTTACCGCCTTCATTCTATTCGGAACTCATATGTAAAACCAGTGTCTGGCAAGTCTAATGGAAAACGTAACGTTCGTGTATGCTTTAGCCACGGAACAAGAAAGACAAACCGAAGCACTAAAAAACCAGCAACAAAATCAGCTCGAGAAATATCGCCATGTTATCCAAAGGCAGAAGGAGAAAGAGAGAGCTTTCCTGTCATTTAAGAAAGTTGAATTTCTTTCTAGACAAGAAACAAAGCTGAACGTACTGAGGCCTTCTTCCGCTCGAACAAGAATGGATGACAAGCTACCGGAGGTAACGAGAAAAGGTAGAGAGATTGCTCTTAAAAGAGGACTGCTTGCTACGGGCAATGAATTTATGAACGTGTTGCCATTTTACCGTCAAAAAACACACATTGGGACAGGATTTGTTTCTTCCTGGCGAAGCGGGATCAGCTCAAACCCATCAGTAATGCAGAGAAAACCTTTGACTCTACAAGGTCATCAACCTAGAATGATTGTAAATCAAAAGAGACGAAACGGCAATTATCACCATGGAGAGAAAACAGCAATAAGTAGCTCAGTGACAAAGAAAATCCCAGGAGTTGGTGTTGACCATGGATCGCTGGGAAAATTTAAGATAAATTCACCTAGTAAACACGACGGGGTACGTCACGTGGCGACAGGATTACAGTTTTCGGACGACTGTAGCAATCAAGAAAAAGACGAAAGCAATACACAAAGGTCCAACAAAGGCCAAAAATTACAGAGTGTTGATACAACGGTGAAAATGGCAACAGAGGGAACTGAAAGAGGCTGTCAGGTCAGCTGGGCTGTGGTAGCGCGATTAATTGGATTGAAAATGAAGTTTAAAAGACGACAATTTCACGGCACATTTCAGGCACCCGAGTTAGAGGTGTTAGACCCATCGCTAAAGACTGAGAGAAAAGTTGACCAGGGACTTTCCAGTGATCCATTAAAAGTAGTAAGAGGCTGTAGATATCTAAGAATACCAGACATGACATAAGTAACTCAACTTGTTCTCAACTGTCATGAGAATGTGAGGACACCTTTATTCACAATGCGTTGAATTGTTTGTCAGTGATCCAAAACTGGAATACAGAGAAAGTCATCGAATGAGGTGCTACGTACATCTGGACACTGTTTCTCACTTAAAGAGATGAAGATAATACGGTACAATTTGGCTCAAAATGGGCGCTCTACTGGAAAAAAGTTTGAAGGACATTCCCCATCGTATGCACTGAAAAGGACACACTGAAAATCATAAGGCACTTTCCTAAAGTCAGAACTGGCTGCCCGGACCCCGGCCAGATCGGTCAGTTTGTAATTACATAGGCTTGTTCCAAGAGTTTTTACTAGAAAAACGTCTCCGTCGTGAAAACGTTTACTATTTAGGACTTGACTGTTCTGGCTGGACCGGCCCTTAACCCTTTAAGCACGAAGAGTGATCAGCATCAAATTTCTCCTGGTAATATCACTACTTTATAAAACAGAATGGTCATGAGAGTTAAGGAAATGATCACACAAGATGAATTTAACTGACACTTCAACAAATTCTCCCCACTACTTCTATTGAAAACGTGAAGGGATAACGCATAAGAATTTGAATTTTGATGTTAGGGGTTACAGCCCTGTAAACATAACTGGTAACTGGCAGAAGGTTAAGCTTTATAGGTTCTTCAACAGGTTCTTATTTTCTGAAGAAAAAAGTTACATTGTAGCTAACAGAATTTAGTGGTGTTCAGCCTTATCCTTATATAAAATCTGCAAACCAAATAAGTATTTATGTGAAAATGAATATAAAAATAATTGAAGCATCGATTGCATGAATTTTGAAGTCCTTCTTTAATATCACATATGTTTTTATCTTAGAAGACAGGAACCTGTTCAAAAATTTAAGGCTCAAAAGGTTCTTGTATATAAGTGATCTAACTGGCAAATTTAGCCTATCAGGTCTAGGATGTTCTTTAGGCATCAGAGATCAGAGAATTCTGCTACGGTTCAGTAGCCTATGACTATAGCCTAGGCATGGAGCCTCTTTCAAATTAATCTTTGGTAAGGCTACACCTTTCTCCTGCTACTAGAATTTTACATGAAAACCCTACAGGCTCTTAAAAAAATGCTCTTACTTGCAGTGTTAACTCTATTTCATGCAACATGTTGCACGGACAACAGGACAGGTTTTTGTAAAATAAAAATGGTAACGAAAACGAAAGGAGACTATTATCTGCAACATGTACACAGTACCTTATTGAAATCCCAATTATACAACATAATGACAAGTATCAACAAGATAACTACTTCTAAGCAAACAAACAAAATGACAGTTTCAATAATTTTGCTGCTTTTAGGTATATTAACACAAAAAGGCCATCCTTGGATGATGTTACATATGCATGCTTTCATTAATAGACCCTTCAACCGTTTTTAGTTTCCACTTCACTTTTGTTGAAGGGCAGTAAGCAAATATCCATTGACACTGCTGGGAAGAGCACCTTGAAATTGGGAAACTTACCAAGCTTAAAGGTGATACGTCCACAGAGAGTAAGGATATTGCACTACAAAGTAAATTTTAAAGACGTCTGTAGTTGGCCCGCACCGCACAAATGTCTGTAACACAGAGGTACATCTCTGGTGGTTTTCAACAAATAACTTTCAAACTTGGCAACTTTGCTGATATTTTAAGGCATTTTTTTCCAGCTGTGTTGATGGATTTTTACTTCCTGGTCCCAGTCAAACTGTGGAAGGGTCTACTCTGCAGCAGTTGTGAAAACTGTTCATACACTGCTTATTAGTTTTTCATTTACAATGTGAATAAAAGTTTTATGCTCCTTGGCAGCATAACATGTAAAAGTTACCACACATAAATACAAAAGTCATCAGTAGAAGAACTCGTAATATCCTCGAGAGCCGTATTCTGTGGCAGGTTTGTTACGATCTTCATATCCTCTGTGTCGATCATCGCGATAGCGTCCACCATATCTGGACCAAATAACAAAGGAAATCATAAATGACTTTTGTAAGTTCAGTGCATTTATACTGAAATACTAATACAGTTGAACCTCTAACTATGACCACCCCTTGTAAGTGACAACCTATCTAAAACATGGTTGGAACTTCTTGTAAATGACCAACTCTCATTATCAACCACAGCCTCTTTTTAGGATGACTGTTTTAAAATTTTCCATTGCTTTTAACCACTTCTAAGCAACCAATTATTGATAAAATGGCCCACCTTTGTGTTTGCTGTATGTACTTTGCTATTCAGGGTATAAAAAGAACTTTTAGAAACAAAATGGATTAACATATATTATTAAAAACTGAATGATTGGATAATGCAATTTGCCCTCCGGCAACCAAAAATTTATACTTGCTCGCCAGTTGGCAACGATATCAAAAAGTTAATTTCAGACCCTGATATTTTGTGGGCAATTTTAATACAAAAATACCCCGAGATGGCTATAATTGTCTTGTATCCACTGGGGCTACATGCCTTGTTGGCTATCTAATTAACAATTATTCCACGAGAGCGCGTTGGATATGAGATGATTATAGCCAACGAGGCGCGTAGCGCCAAGTTGGCTATCTATCATCTCATATCCAACAAGCGCGAGTGGAATAATTGTTTTATTAACAACGCCCACAAAATCTCGTTGAATCTCCCCGACTAGAACAAACCGGAAAAGACAAGGGACTTCTGCTATTCACATGTCACACGTCTATCAAAACTGTCAACACGCGAACGGACTCGCCTGGACAGCATGAATGAAAAATCAAAACATTGTAGCGATGAACATTAGTTTTTTAAAAACTCATCGGGATTCTACGATTTTACACAGCAGAACAGGTAAAAAAACCTGGCAGATAATGTGAAGGAAAAGAATTTTTAAGTGACAGCCGTCGAAATTACTGTGAATTTGGATTTTCGGTGCAGTTATAAAAGTAAGAATAACGGAGAAAAACTATTACCTCGGTCGCTTGATATGAAGTTGTTTGAAGCCACAGCTGGTTTTGCTGAACGACATAAGAAGCTATACTGCCGCCTCGATTGCTCTAGTGAATGGCTGCATAGCCTGTATTTGTAGCTGGTTACTTGTGATTTGTATTCTTGATGTCGGATAAACAAGCCGCAGTTATCTATCGGCGAGTGACTCGATCGGCGAATGGCTTCGCGATCATGAAGAAACAACACTTGTCTTCTTTCGTAGCTGGTCAAGGTACTTTAGTTCCATGTGTTTTCATGTGTTTTTTGACAAACTTTCAAACAAGCTCTTGTGGCTTTTTTGTTTGTTTTTGTCTTTTTTCTTGCGATGAAATTGCATTTCTAGTATTCTAAAAAATGAATGAAAACAATTTGCTTCGGGAGCCGTTCTATCCTTCGCGAAAAAAAATCTCAGCTAGCTTCCAATTTTAAACTGACGCGTACACCGACCATATATGGAGAGCATGGTATAATAGCTCTTGTTATATTCCTAGACTTTCACTCAGCTAAACAGGGACTGCCATTGGTTGATTCTTGGTCACGTGGCCTTGACTAAAATCAAATGTATCCCGATCGTGATACATTAAACAATGTATCCCGCTCGGGATACATTGCAGCACGTGATCAAAGCATGGTGGAAAGTGGCGTGACAGAAGGCGGGAAAAACACCGCCAGGTCCAGCCAGTTTTCTTTTTCGTGAATGAACACAACAACACAAAAACGAAGCCTCAAGCTAAAAAGCAACGATTTTTAAAGTTATCCCAGAAGTTCCCAGAAGAAAAACAGCAGCTAGTGGAGGAAAAAGATGCAGATAATATGAGGAAAGTACTTTTGTTTGTAAATCATTCATTCAGTGGTTTTGAGAATTAAATTTGTGTTGTTATAAGTACCGAGTCGACTGTTTTGGTTCGCTCCGGTTATTCTTTTGTTGCTGTTGAAGTGAAAGTCTAGAAATATAACAAAACACTTAATGTCAGGTCTCTCGGGAAACCAGTTACTTTTGTTTTCCCTCGAGTCCTGATGTTTCCCTCGACTTCGTCTCGGGAAACATCAGGACTCTTGGGAAAACAAAACTAACTGTTTCCCTCGGGATCTGACATTAAGTGTATAATATACCATAACGGCTCACCCAATCAAAATGCTAGAATTGCATTATCCAATGATTCAGTTTTTAATAACATCACATATCCAATGCGCACTCGTGGAATAATTTATTATTACCTAAAAATTTCATGCAATACATTCTCTCCAAAAAAGTAGTTGGTCAGGGTTTCTCTTCCTAAAACACCTCCTGCAGTCCAACTGTTATAAGCAGTGTTCTCCCTAAATTTTAGCTCAGCAGGTAAGGGACCATTCATGGCCGGTAAGACAAAAAATATGTGCCAGAGGCACACTTTCCTGGGGGGAGGGGAGTAGGGGAGTGAGGGACATGGCTCCAACCTCGCCGTGAAATTTAGGAGCTACATTCTCTGAAAGGTACTTCCCTCATTTTAAGACCTATTTTACGCAAAATCAGCAGTTGTTATCTTTAGACAACAATTATTCAAAACGTTTGATTCCAATAATGTCTTCAATGCTCTCTTTCCAAAATGCATGGCCCATAAAAAGAGAAGCTGTGTACACTTTAGTACACTTCCATATATTCATTCACTACCTTAATCAGATCGGATCACAACTTGCATATTTTTTAACACAAATTATTCGATGTTAGGAAACCTTAAAGCGGTTCCAGGTGGTAAGAAGTGTTGTTTCGACGGTAAATTTTACCGCTTACCACTTGATAAGGAGAACACTGTACAAGTGACACCTCCCCTAAGCGACCACTAACTCTTCGCATTTGCGTACTGGTCACTTATGGAATGTTTGACCAAAATAACAATATTTATTTTATTATTATCAGCCTCCTAACTTTGAAAATAACTGGTAAAATGGTAATAATCATCATGTATAAAATTATTATAATAAAAATTTACTACCGCATGTTTGGCAAGTTTGATCAGATGGTATGGAAAACAAGAAATAATCAAAATAATAAAATCTTTAGCTTGACTTTAAGTAACACCAACAATACATGTACTGTATCTGGAAATGTGACATTTCAGGAGGCAATTAAATAAACTGTCACACAATAATGTTAATACCTATCATCTCTATGCCGAGATCTGTCATCATGTCTGTCTCCGTGGTCCCCATATCGCCTGCCATAGTCTCGCCCACTGTCATGTCTTGATCTTTCATAGCCCCTGCTATCCCCTCTGCCCTCATGGCGACTGAATCATGAAAGAAAAACATGTGAAGGGAAACTTTACTTATAATACAAAAAAAAGATGAACCTTTGTTGGAAGTAAAATCAAAATTCCAATATTTTCCTAACAAGTAAAAGTAAGACTTAAAGAAACAAAAAACTAGAAAAGAAGATTTAAAAAAAAACATTATTCATCTACATGTCAATGTTCTTAGCACAAAAGTACTAAAATGTATCTAGGATCACACTATTTTTATGTCTCCTGCCAGAGAAAAGACCCCATTTCAATTTTGCCATTTGAAGTATGTGAAGGTCCAGCAATTTGATCTTCAAATCCAAGTAATTTTAAGACCCCGAGTGCTGGTCTGGCCATGTGGATTGAACCCATGACCTGCTACTGCTCTGTAGTCGAGCACTCTAATAACTGGTCATACTTCCAAGGGGGGAGGGGAGGGCAATCCCTAATTTGTCTCAGAGTAAATGGATATGAATTGAAATAATAGAAATGAATAATTATTTTGAACTGTGGATAAAGATATGAAAGTAATCATGATCTTCCTAGCAGAATGAACAACCTAAGCACAATGCTCCAGAAATGAGACGGGTTTCGGGTCAATGACCTGACAAAGAACGCTTGCTGACCCGACCGATGACATTTAAGTGTTAAGTTAAATATAACAAAAAAATTAGCTCATGATCTTGGTGACCCCTCAGATGGTCAACATGATCCCCTGCTTGAAAGAATTAAATGGAATGCCGTAAGCAGTTGAAAAAGAACCTGAAAAAATTAAGGCTTGACCAGAAATCAAACCCTGACCTTTGCAATGACTGGATGCAATACCCTATCCATTGAACCTATCAATCCAACAGAAGAGCAGGTCATTGCGAGTTCATAAGATACCCAATGGTGGAAATGACATGAATTAAAATATATAAAATGAATAATATTTTGAACTGTGGATAAAGATATGAAAGTGACCATTGCAGTAGAGTGAACAACCTAAGTGCTCGAAAAAGCACCTGAAAAAATTCAGGCTTGACCATTGTGGTGACTAGGCGCAACACTCTATCCACTGAGCTTAACAAGCCAACTGGAGAGCAGGCCATTGTGAGTTCGTAATATGCTTGATGGTGGAAACGAGAGAAGATTTTAGGGTACAAGGTTAGGTGCGCAAAAACAGCATTTCTACACATTTCTTTCACACACAGTGAAAGCAATGAACTGAGAAAACCTGGCAGGGCCGTACATAGCGGGGGGGCGAAGGGGGCAGTTGCCCCCGCCAGGAAAACTAAATGTTTTTTTTCTAACATAGTGTCTGATTTTGCTGGGCTGTTTCTTGTAGCTATATTGGTCCGAAATCTCACGAAAACCGAGTTTGCCCCCGCAGACAAAAAATCCTAGGTACGGCCCTGCCTGGAACACACCAGAAGACATATAAACAAACCAAATGAAAACAGACAAACAAACAACCAGAAAGAGTATTAATGACATTTTACGGATGAGAGCCAGGGTTTCTGCTTGTAATTTTCTTCACTCCACTCATTGTATGGTCTTTTTAGGGATATTCCAGGTTTTATGTCCACTTCCAGTGTCACTACAAAATGTATTTTTGCTTCTCGATACCTACAATACATTCAGGCATATACAACGAAGTAAGAAGGCATTGTAAAATTGTTCCATGACTAATATTACCTGTCTCTGTAACCAGTGTTTATCCAATCCGTAAGGCAGGGAGGAGAAGCCTGAGGCTTGTTCACTGTCTTCATGTATTCCTCATCTTCGTTAGTAAATCGTTTAGAAAACATCTCTTCGTATTGCGCGACTATTTCCTCAGTTGTTGCCATATCGAGTAACAAATACAAAGCTAAGTAAGGGGAAAAACTTAATTACACCAGCAGAGTTCAGTGATCAAGAGAACGGACGAGATAAGAAACCTCGTGGAATAAACGTGGTTACTAAGCTGGGCCTGGAGGCCGGGCTACTCAGTGCTATTACCATGGTAATCCACTGGTAAAACGCGGGCGATAGAATTTCCATCTCCGCTGGTCATGGAATTGCCAAAATACTGAACATAGATTTTTGCCAATTTTTTTCTTTTATGAAAGGAAGAATTGTTTTTATTAAAATCATGACATAAAAAATTAGGGTCGTACTTGTTTTTGCGTTAGACCCGTGCAGAAAGTGTGCAACTCCCCGCCGCGAACGGAGGAGTGGGGCGAGTTTCAAAACGGCATATCGATATAAAGCAATTAGGACATAATGTGATAGAGATGAATCTTAAGGGGGTACAGCACAACATCCGGCCCTATATGGAAGCCTCCACGAGGAAGTTGAACATTTCCGCATTTCACGTTGTACGATCGGCATACGTTTTTAGGGGAGTTCACTTTTCATCCCTCCCCACAAACTGTTTATTTTTCATCCTCAGTTTGTGGGGAGGGATGAAAGACGAGCTCCCCTAAAAACGCCTGCGTGGAAGGCTAGTTATAGCCCTGATCGCAGTTCATTTCCAGTCACCGACTATGAATGTTTATGGCCTCGCGGGTCATCAGGTATTCAGTGCAAAGTATTCAAAAAACTTTACTGGTACTAGTAAAAATATTTTTAGCAAAAATATTTAAGAGTGAAAGTTAAAGAAACAAATTTATTAAATTACATAATGTATACTAATAAATGGAAAAACGGGCATAAAAGAAATGACTTTTTGGCGAGAAAATGCATTGCGGGTGGTTTTCCTGGCCAATAATCTTTACACTGGTCCAGTCGATAGAGTGGCCTGCGTCATGGGCGTGTTCAGCAGACTTCTGATGTTCATTTAGCCTAGTACCCAGTTTCCTTGTTGTTTCACCGATGTCAGCTCTGCCTGCATCACAATCCTTGCATTTGATATTGTAAATGACTCCACATTTCTCCTCAACCGCGATCTCATCTTTTAATCTTACCAGGCGTTGACGAAGACTGATGACCGGAGGCTGCGAATAAAAGCAAACGTCATCACTGATGAAGGGATTCGTATGGGTTCCGAAAGCTTTGCTAAACTTTCAACAAATCGTTGGTGTTGAGAAATGGCCGGGGGTACTGCCATATATGGGCTATATAGGTATGTGCCACTGTAAAGGGTATGGTTTTCAAGCAGTTTACTCTAGGATAGGGTATATAAATCAGAGCGTTTGGCTCTAGAATAGGGTATCATTTTTCAGGAAACTGATCAGTTGGTTGAAGATTTTATCTAGACTAGGTACACAGCTACTCTAGGATAGGGGGATTTGGGGAGTTTACTCTAGTATAGGGTAGCAAAATTCAGCTGAACTAGCTCTGGTAAAGGTTAAGGGTTCCAGGCTCCCAGCGGCACATCCCCACCCAGAAATTCCTAAAGTACCCCCGGGAGAAATGGGGACATTGGGGGGCACCCAATACCGCAATACCGTACGAAAAATTCACAAATACCGAAATACCGTGTCGAAAATGGACGAAATACCGATACCGCATTTATGATCGGTGACGCTTACCTAGCGTTGTATCCAAACTTGCGTGTGTTTTTTTTCGTTATTTATTTATTTATTTTTTTATCTCAAGCATGTATACACCAGAAATCAACCTCAGCCTTCGCCACGTGAGAAGATCTCGAATTGATCGGTACAAAGATCGAAAAGCCAGGTCATTGGATGTCCTACCACATCATAGAGTAACTGTCAGAAATTGTGTATTCATTTACGGTTACGTCTAAAGTCCTCCAAATATTGACCTACATTAGATAGGAGAGGCCAAATGAACAGTACCGCAATACCGTCAAGGATCTTCTTTTACCAGCCAGAAGGATGAAAAACCGCATACCTCACGGCTGGATGATACCGCAATACCGCACATTAAAATCAAAATTACCGAAATACCGCTTGAAAAAAAGCTCAATACCGCAATACCGTAAACCCCCATGTAAGAACATTTTTTGTAATAAGTCATCCCTGAAGTTACTCAGTATGCCTTGGTACTAGCCTGCGTAGCTGGCGGTATTGTGTGGGTGCGAGATTATAGTTTTGGCGGCGGAGCCATGTTCCAAAAAAAGGGAGTAGGGACGAGGCGGTATTTCTCGCGGCTTCGCCGCTCGTGACGGCTCCGCCGTCAAATCTCACTCGACTATATTACAACGGCTCCACCGCCAAATCTCACTCGACTACTACACAATACCGCCAGCTACGCAGCCTACCTTGGTACTTGAGGTTTGATTGACGTCGCCGAAAAACCCAAAATCCTTTAAAGTTTTTACATTGGTCGCGGGTTATCTAAAAAAAGCTGTAACTTGTATTTCTTGAAATAGTTCTAGTTTTAGCGATATTTATTTACCGACTCACCAGCAACTTGATGCAACGTAGTCGTTGCGTTACGCAAATTGGAGGTGGGGTTGGGGGATGGTTGGGGGTGTGTACAGTTATGACGTCACGCACTTCACGTGCGCGCGCACGTGGTTTCCATCGCCACGCTACGCGGGTGAGTTTACAGTGATTGCGTAGGTTAACGATTTTCGCCATTGAACAAGAAAAGTTCTCTCTTATGGAGGCTCGAAAATGTTTGAAATCTCCTGAAACATTGGATGATGTCGTGAAAGGTCTTCATGTTCTTTTTGAGGACGACCATGTGAATGTTGAAGAGGTTATTTCGTTTTTATCATCGTATAGTTCAAATCCCGCGGATTGGGCGAAGTACGCAAATTATGATCCTCACAGGTGGGGTGATGACATTATGTTGATCATTTGTGTGTTTATTAAATCTTAATCGAAATCTATAATCTAAAAGTGTTTTGATGGTGTGGTTAAAAAATTCTTCAGGTACACAAGGAATTTGGTGGACGAAGGAAACGGCAAATTTAACTTGATCGTGTTGTGCTGGGGAGAAGGTCAAGGCAGGTTAGTCCAATTACGATTTACCTGCCAAATGTAAGCTCATCTTTTTTTCTAGAATCTTTGCCCACGTTCAAATGATAGAAATATCTAAAACCGAGTGACCAAATTGTTAAGTAAGTTGTGCGATACACTGGTATTGAGGTATAATTATGTAATATGCAAATTGCTACAAATTAATGACGCAACCGCGGAGTTCGAAGTTCCCGCTAATTAGAATAGTTTGCCTCGGAAACTTTGCGCCTACGGACATATTATAAGCTTAACTATTTCACTTTTTATTAGTTTATCGTCTAGACATTAGATCCAAGTTTATGGCGAAACCACAACAATCTCTTGATCATTAATGATTTTTCCTGTGCACAAGTGAACTGGGAAGTCATATTGTTTTGTTGAAGGGTCCTATCCAATTACAGTCAAACCGGGAAAACCGGGGACCGCGGAGCAAGGTGAAAAGTGGGAGGGCTGACAATTGAAAATAATTTTTTCATATTGAAAATCGAAAAAAGGAATAAAATCATAGTATTTGATTTGTTTCTGTCGCGTGGCTTTGCATACTTTATCCAGTATTTGTCGCTCTTTATTGGTCGGCATTAGTGAAGATACCGAAATTCTTCATACAATTTTCATTCCATCCAGCAAATGTGTTTGCGATCTGAATCACGTCCAAACTTTCCGTTAATTTCTTATGACAATTAAATACTGTCAAGTTCCTGAATCGTTGCTGTTTCATGTTCGATCTCACAAGTAGTTGTCACCTTTTCTGCAGAGCTTACAGACTTTGACGAAGTCCCAGATAACTCTAATAAACGACCAACATACACTGTCAGTTCAGATTCAATGCAAGAAAAGACGCGATTACAATTTTAGTATAGAAAATACTACACTGAAGTGATCTGAAAAATTTCTAACTATGGCCGGTCACTGTTCAAGTAATGTAATTCCTCTTGCCATCGAATAATTCATTGATTTGAAAGGAGAAAGACAAAATATAAAACTTTTATCAACTCAAAACAACTACTCACCTTCGTTTGGCTTGAAAAAGCTAGTAATTTTCTTCATTTCGTCTGATAAAACTGATAAAAAACTCTGCCGGAGCTGGAGGTACAAAACACGCTGCCGAACGAAGCGAAGGGGTGGTCAAGGCATGGCGTTTGATCAAGGGGCAAGTCGGCCCTGGGGCACAATTACCGCGAAAAGCACTGGAGCCCCACAAAGTCCTGGCGTTTGAAATTAAAGAAAATACAGAGAATATAGCGGAATATAGACGGACAAAAAACTTGTTTCAAGTCTTTTTTTATTTAATTATTTTTATTTTTTGCGCAAAAAGTGGGGGCGGGGGGTGCAAAAAGGTGGTGGGGCCGCGGCCCTACCAGCCCCTCCCCCTCCGCGGTCCCTGAAAACCATGAACACCAGAAATAATTCTGGAACGTCATTTTGTTGCAAGAAAAAACCAGTCAGTCGTGAGAAAACTAAACCACAAGCAAGAAGTAATTAATGTGTGGTCTTGTTGCAAGCTCATGTTTCCTGATCTTTTGTTGTAACACAATGAACATTTCTGAAATATTTGGTAAGATTTCCATCTAAGCACATACATTTATTATGGATGCAACAATTTCATACTTTTTCTCACAAATAGTTAATGTGGATGGATTCGAAACATGCAAGCGTAATAAATGTATGGGTTCACGGTTTTTTCCTGTTTGACTGTAAGTTATGGAAACATTTTACGTGGGTTAGAGACTAATGTGAGTGCTTAACCTGCACTTGCTGACGTATGAATGGGTAATATCTGCTATTGACCAAGTGTGAGGTCAAGATGGATAGATATTGGCCAATGTGTTTTTCCTTCCTTAAAACTTCAAAAAATAGAAGGAAGCCAATATCAGTGATTTTGTTAAAAATAGACATGGTGAGACCTGGGACTCATCTTGTGAAAAATTATGAGTCCCAGTCCAGAACCAATGAGTTAAAAAAAAGAGCCTGAAATCAAAAATGCGTGGGCTTTTATGCAACCACACAATTATAATCTGAAGACAGACGTCAAAACTCTGCATTACAGAGTGCACTGAATAAATTAAAATATAATCTAGTCTATTTTAAAGCACAACAAAGACTAAATATTCATTGTTAAACAATAACCATTACTGCCTCAGAAATTAGACGAACAGGTCGGATATTTCTACAAATACAGATATTCAGATCAATCGATTGATCTTTGCGTCTTACGAGACACATGTCATGAATAAATTATTTTGCGTCTTTGGGAATTTTTATGCATCAGAGACACAAGACAAAGAGGTAACAAAATCACTGCTATATAAAGAATTTACAGCCACCTTGACAGAACAAGCTTGCTCAATTAAGAATTTACTACTTCACATTTACTGGTATCCTTAAAGACCATAATAAGACAATGGCATTTGCTATAATGAAACAACATTCACAGGGTCTGCTTTCTCTTGGCTATTGGTTGAATGGTTCTCTTACATGCTGTCTTAGAGCCTTTACACTGATTGCTGGTTTCTGCTATCCATTGTATTCTCACATTTCATTGGCTCAGACAAACTGTTCCATTTGTCTTAAATGGCCCAGTTTCGATTTCATCGCGGCTGCTGAATAGATGCACAAGTCTTAAGACTCATTTATACAGGGTGAGCCTCGCCATAAAGTAAAATATTCGCAAATTCCTGGTAAGGAAGTGCCTTAATGTGAGTTTAAAATAATAGGCACAGCTGTATGCAGGTCTTCTTCTGACCGGAATTTGTGAATATATTATCTTAGGTTGATGCTAGCCCGGTATAAATGAGTCTACAGTGCTTCTATTCAGCAGCCATGACCAATTTGAAACAGGTAGGGTTCTCAACAAAAGCTCTGTCTGGTTGTCTCAGACAAGTAGATTTTCTTGCCGGGCAGGTATAATTGCAAGCTCACAGCTGCCCAAATGGGCAATGGTCCAGGCAACAAGTCATCTTTTAACTAAAATCGTTAGCTAAGACAAGCAAGCAATGGCCCTACTCAAGCAAACTGTGAAGACTGCTTGTCTAACAAAAACACTGGAATTAATTTTTTTAACCCCTTGCATTTCATTAGGAATGTCTTAGGAAGCTACCCAAATTATTGGGCAGTTTTCCAAAATGGAAGGGTAATCACTTTTATTGGATCAATTAACAGACCATCATAGAGGTTTTAGTCACCCAAAATATGTTTTCTTTTTTGTACAGCTCCATTCATGATCATTCCGATGCTCACTGCTTTCTAAAAGTACTTGATGGAAGACTCAAGGAAACTCAGTTTGCTTGGCCTTCAGAATCTGAGCCCGAAAAACCTCTGGAACCAGTTGCAACAAGGTTTCAGGAGACAAATGAAGTTGCATACATTAATGGTATGATAAATTGTCATTTGTGCACTAAACAACAGCAAGCTGACAAAAATGTTAAATCCCATTCACACATCATATCATTTGTAGCAAAGAAAAAGAGAAACTGTCTAAACTTTATACCGTAAATGCTCGAATTAGTGCCCTCCTTCAAAAAGGTGAGGCTAACAATTTTAGTTAAGCTCCCCTTCAAATATGCATCCCCAACCCTCCCCTAACAGAGTTAGAATTACTGAATGCATTATTACATTAGAAGGAGGTCAATATCTTGAACTCAAGAGGACAGGTTCTTAGAGGAAACAGGATTTGGAAAGTGAGGTTAGGCCTATGGTTACAGAAGTAATATTGTAACCCTACTCCTCGGAAAACAAAATGAATGCCTCCTTTGGATTAGTGTCCCTCTCTTGACTCAAGAAATTAAATGTGCCTAGGCGCGAATATTAGTGTTTAGTGACTGTAATAATCAAAGTATCAAATTTTTAATAGTTTTATTATTGTAGATGTACTCTTGTATGCAAACAAATTATTGAGACACTTCTGCTTATTTTTTGTTTTTTGCTGACAGACAGCATAGGTCTTCATCGTGTGGAGAATGTTAGTCATACAAACACAGCTGCGACCCTTCATGTTTATATCCCAGCTTTTGACATGTGTCAGTCTTTTGACCAGCGCACAGGTCACAAACGCAAATGTCAAGTGACGTTCTGGAGCAAGTATGGTGTCAGAACACCTTATGTAAGTTTCTCTTAGTCAGATCTTGACTCTGGTCAGTTCTAAAAGACACTGTCATCAAAGCCTCACTGTTAGAGGTTTGCACAAAAGGCATTAGTGGCAAGGAGTGAGGAGAGGTGGCTGTATTTATAAACTATGTCATTAATAGATCTACCCTAAGGATTTGAATTTAGGTTTTCATAAACATCTCCTTCTCTTAAGATTATTAAGTAACCTGCAGAATGTACTGCAAGGTATCAGTGCTGTGTTGTAATGTTCCATGGTACTTGTCTTGTTGAGCTCAAGCTTTGAACTTTTGAGCAGTGTTGCTTTAGGTAACGTTAACTCTTTTGAACAGAATATCTTGATCTTTCAATGATTTACAGCTGTAATCTTGTATCTTGTCGCAGAAACCAAGTTCTTGTTCATAAAGATCCAAGAGAAAGAAGGGTGCATTGGAGAATACAGGGTGTTTCATGATGTATATTTTTCCTGTGATGTGGAACTCTAAATACTAAACACAGCTACCGCTTTCATTCAAAGGAGTATGTATTATAACAGTCTTCAACTACATGTATAGTTTCGTATGACCGTGGCATGTTTCAAATGCCTAATTTTATTGTTCACAGTATAGCCTATTGTATTGTTCTGTAACATAGATAATGAAAAGCCACATTAAAAAACAAAACTTGGATCTGTCTGGCTTGGCCAGGTGTGGTAAAAAGAGTACTTTTTTAAGGGAGAGACGTTAACAATGCTTGTCGATAAATTTGTTTTTTCAGGGCCACTTATATTTCTGGCAATTGCAACTTGACACAACTCTAAGGGATCATGTGATCATGTTGGTCATGAATTAGTTAAGGCAGGTGTAAGAAGGGATTATGCCGATTTCGCCCCGTTTGAGTGTGCCCCATGACTTATCCTTCAGAGTGACAAACCCAACAATAAAATGAAGTGTAGCCATTATGAGTCAGTTTTTTTTGTAACCCATGTCTCGATCGTAATCGATGGTTGAACTCCAGCACGGAGAACGCGAAGAGAGCGAAACAGGCTGTTTGCTAAGGTAGAAAACTTGGGACTTGAAAACTTAAGAAGAAAACTTGGTCTTGTATTACCGTATTTATTCGAATAAGCGCCCAACCTCGAATTAGCGCCGCCCACCTCGAATAAGCGCCCATCCTAAAGGCAGAAAAAGTTAATAAGCGCCCACTCCCACTTTAACTCAAATAAGCGACCAACCCCACCCCACCTCACCCCCCCAAATATTGAATAAGTACTAATAGGAGACTTCACCGAAGACGGAGTTTTCTTCAAAGTATTTTACAGGAACCTTGTTTTGTTTACATCTTCGCGTTTTGTCTTTACCATTTATTGTTTTGTTGCAAAATAAACATACTACACTTGCTGAAACTGCTGAAAATTTAATATAAGGGCCCACCTCGAATAAGCGCCCACTCTCAAGGTCCAAAAATTTAATAAGCGCCCAGGGCGGTTAATCGAATAAATACGGTAAGCCCTTCAGAACCGCCACCCAGTTAGCTTAGATACGTACCGATCTGCTGAGCGGGAAGCCGTTGGTTTAATTTGCCAACGGTTGATCTGTCTAGTCTTCTCAGGAAAGGACGATAAACCGTAGGCTCAGTCTTACAACCCTCCCACGTGTAATAAATTCTGTGGGAGAACCCAACATTTGTCGTAGGGGACATACCCAGTGTGGTGGTCTATCTCCCCTTCAAATTCACGTTAGGGGAATTGATAACTCATTACTTCATCAAAGTGTAAACTGCACCATATTTAAGCAGGCTGGCAAAAGTCTCCCAATCGTGGTTTTACATTTAAGTTATCCCTGTCAAGCTATGAGGGGAGTAGCCGTATAGTAAGATCAAGTCGAGTCGAACCTCCCGTATAATCGACCACCCAAAAAGTGGTCGCTCACGAGAATTTCTTTGGGGATGAATTTCAGACATTTTGCGGGGAAAAACTAGCAGTGGCGTCGCGTAATGTTGGCTGTTTTCTTAGGCTACATGCAACATATAGATTCTCTACCAAGAGTAAGATTGTGTGTTGCTGTATATTTAGCATGTTTAGACTTTCTGATAAGGAGAACGCTGATTTTAGGGAGCTGTATCGGCACAGAATCACTGGTTTCTGCCCCACCATGCTCAACGAACCAGGCATGTTCCTCAGGTGTGCCACTCGGAGAAAATTCAAACTGCAGTAGTGAAAAGGGGATACAAAAAATTCATCGAAACCAGGATTCAAGCTGGACCACTGTGTCAGAGAAGGAGTTTTCATAAGTCAGCGATAATCAAATCACGCCGGTCATGGGAGAAGAAGTTCAGTGCGCTTACCCCAATCGACCAATCCGCCGTACGAAAAAAGATGCATGGCTGAGATGGCGGCTGTACATTTTACCACAATTCCTTTCGAACCTAACACGGCCAATTACACATATAAAAGTGATATTTTGGGAGGGGGAGGGGCGAAATTCGTCCCTGTAAGAGCAACATTGCCTATCCTAGGTTTGAAGTTTATAAAACTTTTCTGTGCGTTTTTATGGGCAATTTTATGGTTTTCATGCGCTAAGAACTGTGGGTAAATGTACCAGTCGCCGTGCATCTTTTTAGGTACGGTGGATTGAAATTGTACCACTGCACGTCAGCGAAATCATAGCTAGGCCGCGCGGAATAATAAAACTAGGCGTAGGCAGTAAAGGCGTTAGGTGGAAAAAATATACACACCAGACTGCTTTGGACAGGATTTAACTATCTGTCTTGAGGAGGTGACAGGCTCATAGAGAGTGAAATGTGAACTGAGAATGGCACGGACCTACTCTACTGAGGTGTCCATTGTAGGGAGTGGTACGCCTCATAAAGGCGTCCCTAGGAAAGATCAGAGTTGACTGTACTGTTGTAGATAGTAGAGTACTGACAGCGCAATGATGTAAACTCTTTCGGAAGCTCTCGGAGATGTCTGTCTCAATCGGGGAAAGAAGACCAAGTGGCACGGCCAGGAAACGGGGGAATTAAGCGTGCGAGCTCCCAACACTTGCATACCAAGTAGCCTGGCGGTGACAGTCTTGCAGCAACAGAGCCCTTTTTTCACATGAAAAGGTGTCCACAGGAAGGTGCCAGCTTTAAAACAGTCGTTGGACAGTGTAGAAGGAAAAGATAAAAAGCGGTAACGGCTTGGTCGTCTGGTAATGGTGACTTTCAGCCCAGGATAAGCGACCTGGACGACATGTAGAATTTGCACGAAAGTTATGGAATGAAGGGAATGCTTTGCTTTTCAGCTTTAAATACAAAAAGGGATCTTACTCGTTAATCTCACACTGCGGGCAGAGGCTGCTCGATCTTTCAGGGTAGTTTAAACTCTGCATGCTTTGACGGAAACTGTCAGGGCGTACAATGCAAGTCATGCGAAGGCTCCCGTAATGCAAGAGGAATTTTTCTAGAGAATTCTAAAATCAAACCAGTTTCAGTATTGAAAGATTTTCTTTGCAACTACTTGGTACTTCCAAGGGCGTTGTTACACCAACCAATGCTCAAGGGTACTGAGGCACCGAGGCACCCAATTTGTCTTACTCAAAAAATTAATCTTTTTCCACCTTTCTGGCGACTTTTATCTTTAACTGAAGGTAAACAAAGCTGCGAGTGGATGTATTAAAACGAGAACTGAAACTTGTTTAATACAGGTGGTGCGTCCTGGAGGGTGCACCTTTGGGCAATCGGCCCCTGCTTTTGGGTTTGAACTGAACGCCAAAAACTATAGAGCCGATCTAGAATGCAGGCATTCACCGTTTTACTCTCCTTTCAACTGGTGTTACTAAGTTAGAATCTTCAACAGACGCTATAGCACTGACCCATAACATCGTTCCATGCATAAAGTTTGCGATCATACTAGCATAAAATCTATTGATGCAAGACGCCACTGCCTTCTCTAGCGGGAGTAGGTCTTCATTGTTGAATCTACAGTTTATGCTTTTTCTATCTTAAACGGCCCGACTTCGGGCTGAAATGTCCTTTGCTGCAAATTTCTTGAACGGATACAATCTCCATACAAATAACCCGATTATTACAAAAGTGATCTAAACAATTTACCGCGATTCGCAGGCCCTGCAAGCCCTCATAAATGAAATCAGACTTCATCTTGATTTCCTTCGTTCATAAAATCGCTCTACTTATTTCTGTGCTCATAAAAACAGGCTTTAATTTTCTGTGATAGAAAAACGCCCACTGTAAAGGAAATGTGAAATGAAATTTAGTAAAGCGCTAATTATACCGGTGAAATTTTTAAGTCAGCGTAAACAGGGGAACCTGACCGTAAAGATGAAGTTTTGATAAACACAAATTCTTATTGTTTCGCGGCTCTTTTATACCATTTGGTGTGGAAAAAATATAGTATGGCCACAAATCTTGACTTGATCTTCTAATTTCAAAGCATATGCAAGAGTAAAAGGAGCAATGCATAGGATAAAACTAAAACAGTTCCTTGCCAAACCATTTTGACTTCTGTCTCTTTGAGAGCGGCAAGGAATGTTTTCGCGCGTGTCCAAATCCACCAATAACAATAGACGTATTATAAGGCATCATTGAACATGACCAATCACAATGCCCCTTTTATGGGTAGTACGAGTGGAAGACGAAGAAGACATCTCATTCGAATCCAAATCGAAGAATTGATTGGGAGAGAAGGCTCGTGTAGTGTTTTGGCATTCCGTTAGGTTCTTTCTTCTGAACCGTATATGTATTGGTAGAAACCTTAGACGATAACTAGACAACGAGACGACAGACCCACGGGTCTTCGAAAGCGTCTTATCTCGGTGCATGAGCGAACATGTCTTCCAGGGGGTCGTTCAAAGTTCCGCGAGTTTCCAAATTCAAGCACGTATTTGGGAACCCGTACAAGAAAGAAAAATGCTATGAAGCGATCAGATTATCAACGCATATGACAGAAGGAGGTAACCTATGTGCAGTTAATCCTAAATTCCTCGCAGTGGCGGTAGAATCTAGCGGCGGCGGGACGTTTCTAGTGCTCCCCCTCGACCAGGTAAGCTTTGTTTAGTTTTGTTGTGTACCGAATAAACGGCGTTTGAGGCCTTCTTAGATTAGCAATATTTTTGTCCGTTTGCTGTTCAAATAATTTTATCATTTCCTATTTGCTGAGGGTTTTTAGGTATTCTGTTAGTTCTGTTATCCGTGTGGCAAAATGCCTGTAAAATGTCATGATCATTTTGCAAAGAATTACCAGCGTAAAAATACTAATTAGCTCTTGTCTAGCCGCGTGGAACCGGTATATAAGCCAAAGGCTGGGAAATTTCTAGAGTTAAGTGAAGCTTGGAGAATACAGCATTTTAGCTTGTTTTGTACAAGCTGTGTTGTTAGTGTTGTGACGCAAAGATGCTCATTACTTGGGAATTGTGACTTAATCGACAACACGAAAAAAATTGAAACAGATGCGCACTGCGTCAAACACAATTAAAAAACTGATTCCTTTTTCATGTAAATTGTCACTTGCTTCTGGTTTTTGAAGAATGTGTGATCTCGACCTGTTCGATACACGACTTGCAAACATTTAATTATACGTTTCCAAGTCTTAAATGCTAAGATAGTTTCATTGTTCGCTGCCGTCACCAAATAGTTTACCTTTGTTGTAAATGCAAATTTAGATTCTTGAATGCATGTAAGCTTATTTTTATTTTAGGCGTGACATTTTCAAGTTATTCAATCATGCAACTTGGGAAAATTTAATACTGCATCTTGCAAGAACTTTTCACCACAAAATTAAACAGACTTTGTGGAGCTTGATTGAGCTGTTTCGTCGGTAGCAAAATATTTTCGGTTGGTCTGAGATAACTTCTGCTATAAAGTTTACCGACACCAGAGTAATTAATGCACGTTTCTGATACATGTATTATTTGAACAAATAAAGCTTCATAGTTTGACATGTACCTTGTAGGTTACTTTGTTTTCCAAATGTGTTAGTTTGATTACAAGATAAAATTTTCTGAAAAATCTCTCTACAGATCTGACCTGTAGGAGACAAGAATCCAGTATTCAAGTGGCAGAATGTTTTGATTTCATGTTACCCCATGCATGTCATTATTTTGCATTAGGAGCAGGATATAAAATTGTGGTTTAGCGGTGGTGACCAAAAGTTGGGAAATATAATCCATTTTTAATATGATCTTCTGGTATTTTTCATTATTATTATTTTGCATGTGCTAAAAAGTCACAAAACAGAACTGATTAATTTAACTACAGGAAGGTCGAACAAAAGGTCTCTATTTCTAGTGAGTATGAATATTTAAAAATCTGTCGGACACAAAAAAACCTGTGGCTGCCTCCTTCTAAGTTTCTATTATTCACATAATTTACTCATATACCCAATAGGATACCCTAGATTGACAAGACGAAAAGGGTTCATGGATGGCCATAATTTGCAAGATTACTATAAGTGTCTGCAAATCTTTAAGCTAAAATCTTGGCACAGTCACGTACAGAACAAATTATTAATTGAATAGCCAAAGGTAAACTTTCTTGTATGAAGACAACAGATGTCCTCAGGCACTAGAATCTTTGATTTTGGTAAAAATCATGATGATCAAGTACCCGTGACACAAAGTTCAGTTATTGCTTGGCGAAAATAAAGTTTATAATAGTCTTGTACATTCAATTCTGTCTTAACGGATGCCTCTCTAAGACCGACACCTGGTGTTGGTCCCTGCCATTTTTCAGTCTTTTTACTGTAGCTATACTCTCTATAAGACGGACACCTCTCTAAGACAGACAACAGACACTTTTGAAACCATCAACAGACAATAATAGAAGTTCTTTATGCAGTGAAAAATACCTCAAAATGGAATTGTAGGTGCTGTACTTGACAGTAAATTGCAAAATGTTAGATATTTTGTAGTCTTGCTCCAGTTCACAGTGTGTATGCTGGTACGCTTTTAGACCAGGGAGCCATGAACGTTTGCTTGTAATGAATGTTTGATTGCGTAAGGAGAAAATAATTTTCATTTCTCTCCTACAATGGAATTTACAATGTTCCAGTTTTAGCTGTTTTATACAAGTTGTATAAACAGACATGTATCAATTGCCAATAGGTTCAGCATTAAACTCACTGGTGTCACGTTACCTCGACCCTATATAAGCTGGACAGCTCCCTAAGACGGACAGTCAGGGCCGGTCCCAAAGGTGTCCGTCTTAGAGAGAGTTGACTGTAATCTGTAAAAAAATAGTTTACTTAAAGTAGCCTCTACTCAGATAATCACACAAGTTCCAGGTGTTAAAACTGGTATATTTGACACTTAATTGTTCACGGCAAACATTTTAAGTAGAAGTAGACTAATTCAATGAACTTGCATGTAATCATCAGAAGCAAATTATTCAAATTCCTGGTGTCTAGTCCCTGGGTCTGATCTCTCCATGAACAAAATACAAAAGTGATGTTTCCTCCTCATCCCCCAGGCACATGGGCAGGGAACATACATGTACATGTTCAGCAAATCTTGCCCCATGTGTGGCTTTAGTTACCCCAGAGTCAACCTCTGAGGGAAGCCACTGACTTCTGAGTTGTGTGTCAGTAAATGCTTTAAATGAAATTAAATGCAGTTAAACAGCAAGAAATACCATCTTATGTTGTCAGTTAACAGTCAGGTTGGTGTTGCAAATGCGGCCAACCTTGCAAACATGAGCTCCATGTGCTTGGTGCAGTGTTCCATGGCAGCTACCGGGTTTTGTTCAGCCTTTGGATCCTTCATTTACCCCCACCCTTCCTAGCTTTTTCTCCACTGAATAGTCAATTTGATGGGAGAGTAGTTCTGTTGGCATGGGGCTCATGGCTGGGAGGGTCTGAAAGTCCCTGGACATCCCAGGTACCCTCGCCATTAAGCAATGCAGTTTTTGATGGAAGTGACAATACACGATACCTTTTGACAAGTACATTTAAAACTTTTTTTTTTAATTCTGTCCATTACAGGTGGGACGAGTACCTATAGATGCTCCAAAAGTAACAGGTCATGGACGACCTGTGTTAGATATTGAATGGAATCCTTTCAATGATCAAGAAATAGCATCCAGTTCAGAAGATGGGTCAATCAAAATATGGCATATCCCCGAAGATGGGCTTTCCATGGACCTTGATGAATACTTAGTTGACTTAAGGGGTCACACTCGGAAAGTCAACATAATTAGATGGCATCCCTGCGCAGAAGGAGTTATAGCCAGTGCAGCTTATGATAGTGAAGTGAGAATATGGGACATTGTTGATGATAGAGAAGCTGCAACAATTCTTAAGGGTCATCCTGAAACAATTTTCTCATTGTCTTTCAACTATAATGGAAGTTTACTAGCATCCACTTGCAAAGACAAAAAGATAAGGGTTATAGATCCCAGAGCTGGACGTCTTGTTGCTGTGAGTATGGCGTCATATATTTATTTAATTCTTTTCTTTTTATTGTTGACCATGGTGGCATAAAGCTTACATCATTATTGGGCTGCCCACGCTCAAACAAGAATTACCTTCCATCTATGTCGAAAAAAGACAAAATGGCGGATGGAACTCCCAGAAGGGTTTGTGTGTTCCATTCCCCCTTCATTGCAGCCAATTTTTGTGGGGAGGGGACAGGTGATTTCAGGTCATCTGGTGAACACATCTGGAAGTTGAGTTGAAACTAACACAAAATTATTGCGCGGAGTTATTAGCCCTATTTCTACGCCAAACGATTTTCTAATTACAGTATTCAGGTGGGGTAGTTAGCCAGCACGGGAGCTGCAGAAACAATGCCCTTCCACGGTCCCCACAGGAAAAGACTTGTTGCAATTCTCTCCCTGCGTGTTTAAAGTCTTTCCTTTTAATAAAGGAAAGGAGTATGCTATTTGTAGGTTGCTTCGTCAGTAGAAACATATTCACATGGATAGTTAGAAGGGCTTTAAATGCAATATCAATGTCATTGACTGAACAGTTTACTTAGTGTATTAAGGATTGTTGTCACTGATTTGCATGCCGATAAAAATAATATTTTAGTCATGTCTTTAATGCCTTTTTTCTTAATTTGCACTATTTAGCATGGAGTTGGGCATCCTGGCAACAAAGGTTCCCATGTAGTCTTTCTAGGAGACATGAACATGCTTTTTTCGACAGGATTCTCAAGAATGAATGAGAGACAGCTAGCTATCTGGGATGTGGTAAGACTATGGCTTAATCCATATTTCTTTTATTTTTTTATTATTAACCCTTTCAATTTTAGATTTGTGGTGAAGTAATTGTCATAATTTGTAGCTTTCTCATCTGTTCAAGAAATCACATTGCTTTGTTATCATTCAACTCAGGTTGCAAAGAAAGTCAGTTTTACAGCCTGTCATTCGGGCAAGCTGTAGCTAGCATGTACTAGCCCACAAGTCATTTCAACTAGCCCCAAAACCCTTTTCGATTAGCAGGATTGATTACAATCCCTCTGTAATTTGAATTTTCCCAAAACCAGCACTTGTCCGTCAGGCAAGTTAAGAACAAAAATCACTAGCCCGATGGCGAAATTCACTAGCCCTGGGCTATCGGACACTACTTTCTTTGCACACTGCAACTGGACTAAAAAATCGTGAAAGGCATGAAGGATGGTTAGTGTACTGGACTTCAGACCTGATAGTTCAAGTCTGAATAGTTTGTGTCCTTAGAAAAACAACTTTGTTCCATGCTGCATTCTTATAATTTCTAGCTGATAATTTATGTTTAAATACCCTTGAACTTCCTATTTTATTTGACAGAGAAACCTTAAGAAAGCTGTAAAGATGGACACCCTCGATTCATCATCAGGAATTTTGCTTCCATATTATGATCATGATACAAAGATTGTTTTCCTCGCTGGGAAAGTACGTGATAGTACCTCTTAAGGTTAACAAATTGTATTTAGGTATAAATATGCATTATTGAACAAGTGGAGCTAAATAGTAAATGGTGAATAGTGTGAAATAAAATGAACCTTATGTTGTGGGTGTTTCGTGTAAATTGATAGAAGCCCACGGTTTTTCTTTCTCTCTGCCATCATTTTTTGTTTCTGACAAAGTTTTGTAACACGATACTGCTAAGATATGTTAATTCTAGAGAAACAACTTGCATCCTAGTTACTGGTAGTAGAGGGTAACAAAATATTACCCCCTTAATATGTAGTTTTTTCTTAACGGAAGTCTGCAGTTTTTTTTTTAACTTAAGTCTGTATTAAAGTACATGTAATGTGCATGCAGAATGTCTTTTGTCAGTGATGGCAAATGGGTATGATGGGTAATCAATTTTTTTTTCTTTTTATTTCTTAGGGTGATGGTAACATCAGATACTATGAAGTGTCTGAATCTGAGCCATACTTCACTTTTCTCAATGAGTATCGCAGTTCTTCCCCACAGCGTGGACTTGGTGTCATGCCCAAGAGAGGCCTTGATGTGACCACATGCGAGATTTTTCGGTTTTACAAACTACACAATAACAACTTTGTAGAGCCCCTCGCCATGACTGTTCCTAGAAGAGTAAGTCTGTTATATAAGTTTTCCAATAATTAAGCAATTTCTCATGCCCATGAATTGTTGTTGGCTAAAAGCTATCCTCTTGGCAGGCCTGCAAATAATTTTTTTTCTTCTGACCAAGGTCACCATATTAACCTTTTAAGCCCTAATACCCACATACAAATTCTCCAAACTGGTCTCTATACACTTCCGTAAAGAATAAGTAAAGAGAATTTGATAAAAAATCGAAGCATTTTCTCTTTATTGATCATTTATTAATTCTCATAACCATTTCTCTTGACAATCTATGGTCATCTTTTGGAGAAAATTGATGTTGATCACTATTGGGACTTAATGGGTTAATTAGTTGGACAAACTACTAGAGTTGTTGGACATAGATTAGGTTGACTTTTAATTTATTTAATTATTACTATGCAGATCACAGGGCACAGAGGAGTTATTTAAATGTGACCTTGATTGTTGATTGTACTTAAATTTTACAGTTGTTTCTGTGCATTGTTTTTATGCTGTTGAATCGATCGTCTTAAATATAAACCAGGTAAAATATTATCCAATGCTCCAGAAAACTGCTGAAGGTAATGAATGTGGATGAATAACAGCAGCTAAGATATTGTAAAGAGACTATAGGGATGAAACTAATTTAGGCCAATTTTCAGCCTGCCATAAATTGTCATTCCCTGGATAAATCTGCACCATTTTCCTGGCTGATGCCAAAACAACATTCTTTTTTCCAGAGAAAATTTGAACAGTGATCTTGTTTCAACTGACTTTCCAGGGGCACATTTTTTAGCGTTGAAAGCTCGCTTTTGTACAGTATGGACCAGAAGATACTGGTGAGGGAAGTACATCATAAGTTATATAACAAACCAAAACAATGATAGGAAATAAAGTGTTGACAGGCCAAACATGATTCACAAGCTCATAATTTTGTGAAACGGAAGCTTAGGGTTTGCTCAAACAACAAATATTTTCTTCTTTCTCTCTCTAGCGGGTAGATTATACAGTGCATGGAGCATTCTGTAGTTTAAGCAGCTGGTCTTGCTTTGAGAGACTGTTTTATGCATAATTATTGATTACCATATTACATTATTTCCTATGGTTTACAAATGTATGTTTCTGTTGACCTTTTAGGTGTTGCTGACAGAATTTGGTTTCTGCATGCTTTCTGCACCTTTAAAGCATTAAGTCTTTTATTGTCGCTAGATAAAGATTGCAGTTCTGTTTAGTTTTCTTCGAAATGTCTTGACCTAACTAACTATATATCAAGTTTTTTTTGTGTGTAAATGCGATGATTTCCTGCTATGCTCAGCGTGACAGCAAACCCTCACTTTCGTTTCCATCACCAGTAAGTTGCAGTCCACATTGAACAAGTCACGTGGTATTTAGTTTCATCCCTTATCTCTTTTTCTTCTTGGCACTTTGCCCTTCATATTTGTTCCCACCAAGCATTTTACCAAGCTTGTAACACGATCGCATGACGGTTTTATAGGTCAAGTTCATATTCGATTCTACAGCAAACAGAGGCAAATCACGCTATCAACTGTAAAATTTAACTGTAATCAAGGTCACAAATAACTCCTCTATGCCCTGTGTGCAAATCTTCAGCTACAAGGTGATAGTCTTTGGTATTTGATTTGTCTGGTCATCATGTCTGGCAGCAAAAAGGATTTTGTCAGTTGGACATAATTATCCAATGACTGACTGTTATTTGCAGCTCTGATAAGACTACAGACAAATGGAACTGAGAAAATGATGGCACAGTACTTTTTCTCTGTCATGCAGGCATATAGTTGTCTGTAAAACATTACTAGCATTAAGTGTTCATTGTCTACACTCTTATAGATAATTTGTAGAAATGACGTTGAAATGTTGCAAAATCTTGAGGTGAAACCATGGGCACTTGACTTTTGAAAAGTACGATCTTTAAGTGTAAAGATCATGGAAAACTATTGTTGTTGATTTTTAAAATTCAGTACTTGCATAACTTGTGAATTATTGCTGCCAGTTTTGTGTTTTTTGGACTATTGTGGTTGATTTTCTGTGACACAGTATTATGGATCATTTTTTTTTGTTCTAGCAATCAGGTGTGATTCAGCGAGACTTGTACCCATTAACACCTTCCAATGTACCTTCCATGAAAGCAAGGGAGTGGATTGATCAGGGATTGAACAGAAATCCTAACCTGATAGACTTACTAGTAGACTTCCCTCTTCAAGATGGTGAGGTTGAAACACGAGACATGAGATCAAAAGAAGAGAGAGAGGCCTCTAGTCCGAGACCAGTGGCTGTGAGGTGAGCAGTCCTAAGAGTGATCAGCATCAAATTTCTCCTTGTAATATCAATGTTTTGTAAAACAGAATGGTTAAGAGAATTACGGACATGACCACACAAGACAAATTTTCTTGATATTGTATCAACTTCTCCCCACAACTTCTGTAGGAAGTGAATTGGGGCAACAAATGAGAATTCAAAATTTGATCTTAAGGTTTAGAGTTAATTAAAAACCAGTCTACATAGATATTAGGGTTGTCATGTACAGTGGAACTTCAATATAATGAAGGGTCAAGAGACCAGCAAAATGTGTTGCTATAACGAGGTTTCTTAATCATGACTGCTGACTGCTAGTGCATGTTGTTTAACTTCCTTGTTTTTCTTTGTAGCAAATCACATAATCATACTAGGCCAAAAATGTTAGTTTTGTTTTCCTCAGACCTGAGTCATTAAGTCAATAATTTTTTGTCAGAAGCCCAACTTCAGAGTCACCGCCAAAATCACCTGTGAGAGTTAGTAGCAGAAATGACGAACAGCATCCTGCAGCTCCAATGGAGTCAAACCACTTTCCTTCCCGCAGCCAGAATGGAGAAAGTGATATTCAGTATGTTAAGGCCACAGAGGTATCAAGTATGCCAGAAAGCAAGCGCAGGGATCCCATTCAGGTATGCATTGCTGCTTGTGCTAATAGACTTGTGTTGAAAATATTTTTAATCTTTTGGATAATACTAGCACAGGCAATACATGTACGAAACCGCTTCTACAAGAACTAAGACTAATTGAGCAGATTCAGGGCTTGAAACTGTGAATTTAATATTGCTCGGAAGGCTGATTGTATTGCCAGTACATCCATTCCTCGTGAAAAGTATTGTGAATTCATTGGAACTAACGTGCAGCATAATTTTTTTATTCTTGCCTTATGCTGTCAACTCCCACTCAAACTTAGAAATTTAAAAGGCTTCATTTTTCTACCAAGAGGTGCAATTTTGCTCTTTTTGGGGGAAGATGGTGACCTGAAGATGACTTCACTAACTTCCTATGCCATTGCCTGCAGAAATATCACAGACTGAATGGCTTAATCTTGAAAATTTTCCATTTGTTTAAATTCTTTGTTTTGTTATGTTTTGCATGTGTAGGTAACAGCTAAGGCTGTATCAAGCAGAAGAATTAGCTCATCTTCAGAAAAACGGAGATCTGGAGGAGACAGACGTTCAGGAGATTTTTCAAGCTGGGACATTGATACTGTAAGTCGTTAAAGGTTGTCAATGAGATAAAAAGTTATCCAAGATGTCAACTTAAAGTCTGAAAAAAGTCTTTACAACTAAGTACAATAGACCTATTTGGCTAACTCAATGTTGTACCCAATTCAAATCCCCCTGGGTTAAGATTCTTTGTGTACTGTATTTGCATTATAATGTGGCATTCACATTTAAATGATATGGAAATTTCTGAAACAAAACGTTTTATTCCCAAAGGGTATGAATTGGGTACAACATTGGGTTAGCCGAATAATTCGGCTAACCCAATGTTGGTCACAATATTGGTCTATGCCTCAACCATACCTTGAATGAATGCCTTGGACCTTCTTTGTTAGACTGAAACTTGCTGACAATGGTGAACAGAGCATTTTCCATAATGCCTTTCAGTATTTTTACCTACACATGTACACTTATACTATTTAAAATCTTTTGAAAAAGTCTCCAATTGTATATTATTAGTGTCCGTATTCTCCAACTTGTTAGTGTGGTCCATGAAACTTGCTTGAGTGACTTGAGTGGGGTTTCTACAGGTTGTACAGTGACTTATCTATCACTACATTTTGAAAAAATTAATGTTTGTCTTGTTGAAAGAGGCGGAGAGAAAGAGGCTCTGCCTGAATCGCATCAAGCCTTTGAATTCACCTCAACCCAACTTCTGGACTAGCTAATCTTGTTTTGTCTCGTCAAACTAGCTTATCTGTGTGTGAGCATCTGTTTACTGATAAATTGACAGTCATAGCTGAACCCACTGTGCCAAGTGCATGGTTATTAGTCCTGGGTATGAAATTGTATCCTAGAACACTCAGCGCATGGTCAGCAAACATCCTATTTGATTTAAGAAGAGTCTTTCTTGAGTAAGACAAAATCGAGTAAGCGGAAGAAACGATCTACAGCAACAACAACTTTATTAGGAACACATCAACAATACAATAGAGTTTAATGTTTAATGTTCCCACGCAAATCGAAAAATCTAGTCAAGGCGGGGGAAGGCGAAAAAAGAAAAAGAAATGTTAATGCCAAGTCACGGCAAGTATAAGGATAAACGTAGCAGTGCATGCGCATGTTTCAGCAACGATATCGTGCAGTTCTTTAAATTAACGCCAGGTTTTACAAGGAAGAAATAAAACAGGTTTCACTTCAAAGAAATATTTTGTATTTCAGAGGGTGAAGTACTAACGAGGGTTACTATGTATGTTATCAATGTGTAAAGAAAGTCAAGTCCGGTAGCCGAAGGCTAGTGGATTTTGCTATTAGCCTGGTTAATTCTGTTCTCAAATGACAAAAGAACTGTAATCACTCCTGCTCATCAAAATTAGCAAAAATTTACGTTTCGTGTTGGTTAAAATTACCTTCAGACCAGTACATGCTAGCTATGGCAAGCTGTAAACTGACTTTCTTTAAACAGACAGACAGACAGACTGACTGACTTTATTAGTGTGTCGAGGCCATATAGCTTGGGACAAACCCCATACTAATTTGGGCACACATCCTGGTTATTGTTTACTCTAGTTAAGACTTGCCTACAGTGATCAGCGAGATGAAATCCTCTTCCTACAAACCCAGATAAGAGCAAAAGATGCAAAAATATTCCAACTTGAAAAAGACATGGAGTATTTACGTGAAAAGTGGCAAAGGTATGTACAAGAACTTTTGTTCCATTTTCCTTACTTCCTGTGCTCGCGCACACTCCCCTTTCCTTCATATTTTAGATGAGTAGAACAGGAGACTCGATTGGTAGGAAGTTGCTTTCATGGTTGACTTTTATCTAATATACAGTCTTTTCGAATTTATGGCCAAATGAAACCCTTGAATAAAGTGTCAATGTGGAAATCGCCTTCTTATCATTAAATCGTGTTTTCTAAAGAAAATCATGAATAACTTGTCAATGTTTCATTGTTGTTCTCGTTAAACGATTATTTTCAATAATGCAATTTGTTTATCCATTTTATTCTCAGGCGTTAGTAAGTCAAAGAAAGAAGAAGTTATATAGAGAAGCAAGAGAATTTTGTGGAATACCTTAAACCCCTGACAGTAGTCAACATCTATTTTCTCCTTAAATCAACACTGCTCAATCAAACATAGAGGTCGGGAGCTAAAATAGCCTAACAAAACAGCCGACGTTTCGTGACACCACCAGCAGTTTCCCGCAAAATGAAGTCTGAGGAACGAGTGAAGAAATTCCATACTGATGAGGCCTAACTATCCAGATCTGGGTAGTGCTTCTTATTGGTTGAAAATTTCCTTCTGCGATGTAGAGGCAATCAGAAGCACTACCCAGATCGGTATGGCTCGTTCCTCAGACATCATTTCGCAGGGAAACCATTGGGAGTATTATAAAATGTCGGCTGTTTTCTCATGCTTAAGTGATCAACTTTTGAAAAAGGTCTTGAGTGTTAAACAAATTCTCCTATAGTACTATAGAAAATGTATGGAGAAGAATTCCCTACTCCAGAAACTCAAGGGAGAATGAGTACAAGCTTTGGTTGCAGTGACTTCTGGGATCGTTTGGGTGGACAAGCGATGTTATGATTGGTCGATGGTATTCAAGGCAACCATTGACCAATCACAAGTAACGCTTCTCCACCCAAATGAGTCCAGAAATTATTGCGCCGAAAGCTTGCACCCATTCCCCTTATAGTTTCTGTAGTAGGGAATAAGTGGGAAATTTATGCTGATACTAGGGTTTAAAAGGTTAATCAATAGTTTGGCCTACTGTGCATATTTAAATCGGCCGTTCCTGACGAAGAGAGTAAACCATTTGAATGAAACCTATTGGAAATTGAGTAGTAATTTCCTGTGGTACTGGTTAGTTTAATGCTTGAAGCATGCAAAGCATACTTGTTACTGTTTGCTCAATTTAACTATAAACTGTTCAATCCACTCTTGATTTTAAAAGAGGAAAATCTTTTATTCTAAGACAATAAATTCCTAAGACAAAGGTGTTGGCAATGTCTTGTGCGTATTTTATTTAATGTTTTTGTTTTGTAACACTATATAGATGAGATGTACTTCTTTGCCTCTTTATTTTTGCGTAAAGTAAGAGACTATAATGTGTACTCACGATGTACAAACTTAGATGATACATAATTATGCGCTAAATTAGTGATTAAAATAGTATTTTTAATTCCGCTCACTGTGTCAATCGCTTTGATGTTATAAGACTTCTTCATTGCGCGCTTTCGTCTGGGCAGTATCTTTCTAAACCTGAGGCCTGCATAGGCCCTTTTTCAAAAATACCAACAACAACTTTATTGACTTTATCTTCGACATGAAGATTTCAGTACCAAACAATCAATACAATAAAAAATACCATAATACTCTTTGTTGTCCCTCCAAAATTAAGCATGAGCGTTGTTTTCAATTTCTCTATGGCCGATAGTAAGTCCCAAGAGAAATTGAAGACAATGCTTATGCAAAATTTTGGAGGGACAACAAAGAGTATTATGGTATTTTTGAAAAAGGGCGGTGCCAAGTCCAGGAGGATGACGTACAGACTATTCTGTCTGCAAAATGTAACGAAGCAGGGTCAACAAAGTAGCGAAGCTAGTGAATGGATTTTGTAACAAACATTACATACATACTTTTTTTAGACTTTCTAAAAGTCCTTTATTTTTTTTCTTTCCTGGTTGGTAATGCCATTTTAAAGACCTCGAGACTTCGTCGGTCGCTGCGTGACCTCATACATTGAAGTTCGCTTCGCTCACTTTTAGAGGGGTCGAACTTTCTTTCAACTCCTTTTTAAATATGTTATCTGAGTCAGTAGATTTGACATCATCAATGATGCCATTTCCAAACTCCTAAGTGCCCTTAACCCCTGAAACACTGACCTAGATTTTTGCATAGATCAATCACTGTGTATTACTTAACCACCTGAGGTAGTATTAAATTATTAATATATAATAACCTTATCCGAGAGAAACGATTTAAGTCTATAGTTATCCTTGCAACGATCTGGACGCACGTTGAGTTAAAAAATGACTAATTTAAGAAGAATGAAGATGTTCAACTTTATATTCTTAGCCTGCATAATTCAGGTTAGTATTTAATTTCCCCGCCTTTTGCTTTCAGTTTTATAAATCCTAATCTTTTATAACAGAAGCAGGCCTGTTAGCGTCTTTAAACTTGAATATTATTTAACTTGTTTCAATGAAGCAGATGTTCTCAACTTTGACAGAAACATTTTTCCAGTTATCTGTGCCGTTTATCCGGCCCTTGCCGCCTTATTAGTTTAGTTCCTGGGTGTGTTTTTTTTGTTATGTTCGAATCATTCTATTGTGTTCAAGTTCATGCTTTTTGCTGTAAAAAATGTCATGGTCTATAAGTGCCACTCCAAGAAGTCCAGTATGAACGTTATATATTGAGAGTTGACAGAAAACCAGTGCCACTACCCTAACACAAAACCTTGGCACGATTAGTTTTATTTTTTTCATTCTACGTATTCTAGTTTGACCTCTTTTGAGACTGAATGGACCTTAATCATACTGAGCTGCAATTCCTATTTGGAAGATACATTAACGAGACAAATTATTGTTTATAATAGCGAGACTGTTTATCTTAACTTGAACTGAAAGAACGTGACTTCTTTAAATTATATCTCCTGAGTAAAACAACAAAATTCAACAGAAATTGAGTCACTTTATGTTTTGTTCGCGCTCAGCTCAGTGCTTCGACTCCTAACAGAACTGTGAAATTAGTTTTTGAGTTAGCAGTATAATACCACTACTAAGGTTTATCTACTTTTTGTAAAGCAAATTATTTTATTGTATCAACAATGAAATCCCAATTTTTACAGACACACATGCCGTGATCCTGGACTCTATCCGATTAGGGATCTTTTTCTCTGAGAGCAGATCGTGTCCTTTCTTGTAAGTTTTCAAACACCTGCCTTCTTCTCCGCTTGAGCATTTGCGTCAGGTTTGACAACGAAACAGGAGGAAGCAATTTTTGGCTACATTATGCTCTGTCTCAATAATTTAGATCCTACCATAAACTTACCTAGTAAAATGGGAAAAAAAGCGTTACTGAAAAGATCGTTCTTCTGCACTGGCGAAGACATAAAAGGAACGACAAATTCATGTGCCGAAGTCCGGCAGAACATAAAAAGTTAACAAATTTCGAATATGTCCTTTCTGTGGAACTTCAGACAGTGAAGTTCTCTCTTGGTTACGTAACTGTAGTTGGTCAGTACGAATTTCGTCAATTTAATCAAGTGTTATCCAAGCTCAGGAAGAAAGCTGATTTATTCTTGCGGAGCGTGCTGTTTGAATCCTTGAAGCTAAATTTACTGAATCCAAGAGCGACCTTAGTCTAGTTTTTGTGCCGGCCGGCCTTCGTCATTCACTAGAGTCTGCCTTTAAGTATCTTCAAATGGGTCTAAAACCGTTTTTTTTTTTACATTTTCAGATAGTTAACTTGCCCGAACTGTTTTTCGTTTCGCTTCTTGAACTGCCATGTTTCCCAACTTTTTATTTTTTTATTTTTGTTTTTGTTTTTGCAGTTACTCCAGGTTCCAGGGCAGGCGGGTAAGCATATTTTCTTATTTTAAACTCTGTAGGTTGTATGCTTGGCAGCTTTGTTATTGGCGGAAAATTCTGACGCACCTGGCATCGCTCAGTCAAACAGCCAGCAAAAACCGTGACAATCATAACTTGTTCGCATGAATTTTCGCGTACTTTGACGATGAGATGTTATAAAAAATCGAATCATTGGAAATTGCAATTCTAGAGTTTTGATTTGCTTAGCCATCATAGCCGGTATACTAGCTCATATACCATGCTTTCTAAACGTGGTCCGTCTATGCGTCAGTTCAAGACTAGTGAGTCTAGTGAGAGAACTAAAACAATTTATTCGCGGAGGAAGGGCTCCTGAAGAAAATTGTTTTAATATTACAACGCTTGAAAATGCAATTTCAACAGAAGACACGGAAAAAACGACAAAGTATATATAGTGATGGAATGAAGTTTTCCTCAAAAGACGTCGAAAAAAACTCGTGAAAAGACAAGAAAAATACCTTGACCAGCAAGAAGAAGATGAGCCTCAGTTCTTTCTGATCGCAAAGTCACTCGCCGAAAAATGTTCATACAGGCTTGCAGATATAGTCCATAATATTTTTCTAGTGTGATTGGCCAAGACAACTTTGATTATCCGGGATTTGATTTCGGGTGACACATTCCTTCGTTCGGCGGCTCTCTCTGGTTAGAGGCAATTGACAGCCACTAAAGTCTTTAGGTTTCACTTTCATTTTCCTGATAGACTTGCCACAAGTGAACTTTTTCAAAGTGACGAAGTTGCTAAAACGGGCAGCAAACGTCGAAAAGAGACGTATCGCCCTGGGTATAACGTTCCCGAGGCTTCGTCACGCGTTCCTACCCCACGAACGGGGCAGTAACGCGTTCCTACCCAACGAACGGGGCAGTAGCGCGTGACGAAGCCCAAAGAACGTCTGCATAGGAGGCTACCCTTGGATTCTGATTTCCGTGCGGTGGATCCTGGATTCCTTGTCAGTGGAACTTGGATTCCGGATTCCAAACGTTAGCAGATTCCTTGAGCTAAATTACGGATCTAAAGCGGATTCCACGAGCAAACATTTCCCGTTCCCGATTCCACAAGATTCCGAAATCCGCGTTACTTTTAATGAGGTGAGATGTATGACCCAACAAAGACGGACTTTAAAAGACTACCTTACTTACTTAATTAATAACCGATAATATGAAACGGGCATTACACCAAAAAAAACCGGCGCATACCGACGAAGTCGTTATCAAGACAAAATGAGAAAAGCTAGCCAAATTCGCGCCTCTGTAAATAACGGCTGTGTAGACTACTCATCTCACTTTATCTAACTCAGATATCATGCTGTTTCAGTCGTGCGCTTAGTGGGAGACAGTAGAAATTACATTGGACGCGTTGAGTTCTACCATGAGGGCAAATGGGGAACAATTTGTGAAAAACGCTGGGACACGAAGGATGGCACAGTGGTGTGCAGATTACTGGGATTTGCCTCCGCGAAACAAGTATTTAAAGGGGCACACTTTGGTGGAGGTAATGGTACGATATGGCTGACGAAGCTTGGTTGCTATGGTAATGAAAGCTCGTTGTTGGATTGCAAAAATGCAAAGGCGAACCTTGGAAAATCAGACTGTACTCATCAACAGGACGCTGGAGTGGAGTGTGACCAAACGCCTGTTGGTAAGCTTTGCTAAATATAAGCTCACAGGCTGAAATTTATACAAAATTGTCGGCGCCCGTTATTTTCCTCAAGGATCATACTCGACGTCAGAGCTCTTCTCTACTGCGCATGACTGCGGATCCGAAGGCTCTGGTGAAGAGATTGCCTCAAGGATAGTAAATAATGCGAAATACGCAAGCGCGTGAAGCGCGAGTGAAAATTTCCACAAGCGGAGAACACGACTTGGGGCGGTGATTTTTTCGCGCGTACGCCATACTTCGCTCGCGCTAGCTTAGCTGCTTTAACAAGGCCTCACAAGATTGGTGGAAAAAGAATGACCGAACAAAGTTACCGATGGAACCGAGCCCTAAAACAAGGCGTTTAAGGGGGGATGGGGGAGGGGGGGAGTGTAACCCAATCACCTCTTCTTTTTTTGCTTCCTCCTTTTCTTTCTTACCCCTTTCCCCTCCCCCCCTTTAACGCCTGGCTAAACCCCGCTTTACGGACATCTCATTATTACGGACACTTTTCTTTGTCCCTGGGGAAAGAAAGCCCTTAAATTTTCTCTAAATTCAACCCACTTAATATGGACATCCGTTAATACCGACACTTTCTAAGGCCTCCTCTTTGACTGCACTAGATTAGCCAGGGAAATTTCGCGTCGTCTCGTTTTGTGTCTATTATGTACAACAATGCTTTGAAGGCTTGGTCACTATTGATACTATTTGTAAGTGTGTGTGAACTTAACGTTACGTTTTAATTTTCTGTCAATTGGTACTAAATCTTGCATGGCACGACTGTTCCTAATATGCTGTGGCCTTAAAATTTCTTACAGGCATCGGTTGATATTTCATTAACATGTTAATTCTTTTCCCTCCTTTACGACAGACCATTATTGTAATTATGGAATTCCAAAGTTGCTGACGAAAGTCGGATCATTTCATTCTCCAAAGTACCCTGACAGATATCCTAATAAGGTAATATGCCGCTGGACTATTCAAATTCCACAAGACATCATCGAAGAAGAAAACATCATCAAGCTTACATTTGTAGACTTCAAACTGGAAATTCACTCTACTTGTCTCTACGACAGTGTGGTGATTTATGATGGCGACGAAGGCAGTAACAGCTCCATGTTGGGTAAATTTTGCGGTGAAATTCTCCCCTCTCCAGTCTACGCGAGCAAAGGGAAGATGACTGTTACGTTCATCAGTGACGAAACGATACCTGCCTCAGGTTTCAATGCAACGTTTGAATTTTCTTCAGACTTGGGTTAGTTTTGTTTATTTTTTTAGTGCTTTGACTTTGGCTGAAACAAGTTTTGTCAGTCATCAAATGTTAGGAGATTTAATCATTTTGCGCTCCTTCAACTAAAACGACCGTGTTATCTTTTCTGATGAAAAAAATATACAGTGAAGCTTTCCGGGGTTCCGATTTTACCAAAATACGTGAAAAAAACCTTAAAATTTGATCTCGTCCTCGTAATTGTTCTCTTCCTCGAATCTAAAGGCCTCAACGCATATTACATTACGAAATTTATGAACCCTTTAAGTCCCAATATCCACATACAAATTCTCCAAACTGATCTCTATACACGTTCTTGAAGAATTAGTTGAGAGAATTTGGTAAAAGATCAAACATTTTTCTCTTTGTGATCATTTTGTTAATTCCCATAGACTTTGCTCATGATAGTCTATGGATATCGTTAGGAGAAAATTGATTTTGAGCACTATGGGGACTTAAAGGGTTAAATACTACACAAATACATGATTCTATTTGAAACAGATTTTTCCCTTTTTCTTTGTTTGCTGCAAAAGAGATGATGCCCAGCGCCTCCTCGAGGACGCTGGCAAAAATTCCAGGCTCCTGTCTAAGCAGAAAGCGATATACTCAATAACTGTTTTTTTTTTCCGGTTACAGAACAGACTGGTTGTTACTAACTTAGAAGTGTGTATAACACTAATAATATAGTTACGACACCTACTTGACAGAACAATTTTCCAGTCTCCCCGATTCTCTCATCCTGTCCAGCCAGCTACGCTTGAAATTTTGTGGAACACCATCGTTGTGTGCCTCCTGAATAAAGCTGTAATGTTAGCAAAGTAAGGCCAAGAGCCGCCGGATTCTGAAGCAAGTACAATTTCTGCACTTCCCTTGCCTTTTGGGCGGAATTTGTAGCTGACGATATTCTGGTTGGCTATGGACTCCAACAGTTACTGAGCTTGTGATTCATTCTATACAGTAAAGCCTACTCTTTTCAATGTGTGTAATAAATGCTGCATGATTTGTGAAGACTTTCCTTTGCTTTTATTGGTCACTTTTCTATTGCTGTTTCATTCTTTATAGTTGAGCCAGAAATCCAGTCCATTACCACTGACCAGTCAGTACTGAGAGGCTCAAGCGTGAAACTGCGCTGCTCGGCTAACGGGGTTCCCGCTCCGACTGTTGTGTGGACAAAAAATGGATCCGATGTTGTGTTGATAAAAGGACAAAGCACTGCAATCCTGTTCCTGAAAAATGTAACCAAACAGCATCATGAAGGTGTGTATCACTGTGCAATTAACAACACTGAGGGAAGTGACCACGCTGACGTCAATATCAAAGTTGTAGGTAAGTTTCCAGCTGCTCCTGAGAAGTGCACGTGATTACATTGTGAAAGGGTAGGAATAGCCTGCGTCGCAACGGAAATTAACCTTGGTTACTAACGTTTGCGAAGCAGCTCCGAGATTCCCACAACGGACTCAACCAATTACCGGAAATCGTGTGGGGGGAGGGATACGTATTCTTTTTGTCTGAATTTCGAAAACCGTCGTTTCCTGATTTGAGGAGGAAGCCCTGCCTGTGTCTGTATTTAAGCACTGTATTTGCGCTCGTTTTCGTCACTGCAATGCCACATGCACAGTTTCAACCCATCTTTGTGTCGTTTGTCACCATTTCAAAAAATGTGGTTGTGGTGGAGGGAAAACAATAGAAATGTGGTGGCAGTGGTGGAGGAAACAATAGAAATGTGGAGAAGCAAAAAGGGGAGGAGACAAAGTGAAAAAGTCATTTGTCGTGGTAAAAGAGCTAGTTTGCCTTAGTCCTCATTAAATATGCACGGTTTGCTCGGCAAGAATCAGTGAACCGAAACTGGAACAATACTTTAAACAATGAAAGCGGCAGGAAATAGAACTTAATTACATAATTACGGTAGGACTTAGTGATTTCGAGTCACAGTCGAGTTAGCGCTTATTCCTTCGACACCATGAAACAACCAATGACCACTTTTGTTTTTAGTCAACCAATCAAAAAGCAAGACCTTCATCGACCTTAAAATAACAAGGAAACCTGTACAAACGGTTAGGGCCTGTTTACATGAAGGTGGGGGACCCCAGGTAGGTGAGGTAACATGTGGCGGGGTACCCTACCTATCATGTAAACGTGATCACATTAAAATGAGAGATTGTATGGACAGGCGGGTTACCCCACCTAATCGGGTTACCTCACCTACCTGGGGTCCCCCACCTCCATGAAAACAGGCCCTTAGTCTACCTAATAATAACACATGAGCTTCCCCCGCATTCTATTCATGCATGAGATAAAGACAAAAGACTAAGACGTCATAGTCAAAAGTTAATTAAGTACACAAAAAAATGGAGTAACCGGTCCCTAACATACTACTTTTATCTGCCTTTTTAAATTATTTTTCAGAATGTCCACCGACTTGCACGTGTTTTTCAGAAATCGACGAGTTAAAAGTTGAGTGTAAAGTTTTGAACCTCACCTCTGTTCCAGCTGGGATACCCGATAGCGTCAGAGAACTGTAGGTGGATTCTATTCTTGATAACTTCTGTCTTGTTTTCGTTTCACTAATTTGCCGTGTATTCGTGTATTCTCAAGACTTTCTACTTTTTATCTGCACAGTGACCTGTCCGATAACTTCATTGAGCATCTAAAAACGTATAACCTGAAATCGTTAACGTTACTTCAGAGAATGTAAGTGAAACAGTCGGTCAGTTTTTCTTTATTGTTCGTTACTTCCTTTAGACTACAGCGGGCCATAATATCCCTTGATTACTTTTGGGCCTCCTGCCTGGCAAGCGTTTAAAAGTGGGAAGGAAGAAATCCTGGGCGCGAGAAAAAAAATGCAGTGGCTGCGTAGCAAGCATTTCTGCTGTCAAGCATTTCTTGACGAGCTATGTGTAACTGTCCCCTTATAAATTACGGAGGGCGGTTCATTAACAGAGGTTCGGCTATAATTTTATAATCAACATCGCATCGGACTTTTTTGTTGCAGATATTTGTCCAACAATAGAACATTACGAGCCGCAAGGTCGATTTTCGTGCACGCACCAGGGATCCTTAATTTCCATGGAGATACCCACAAACTGGACTCAAGTAACTACAAGGCGTTAGTCTTGACACATTTCCTTGCCCACCTCAGGTGTTCACATTAATCGCTTTCTGTCAGTTCATCTGTCAATAAACTCATTTTAGGACAGGACACAAATTTGCGTCAAATATCAGAGCTTGTCTTCTGCGCGCCGAATTTATACCATCGGAGCGAGATATTTTAACTCAGCTATGGTTCTCGTCAAAACCACTTAATGAAAATACTTAAATTCATGGTTGGTGTTAAAAAAGGGTCTTGGTGCAAGTCTTGGAAAAAAAAAGAAATATTTTTTTCGTTTCTTAAGCGAAAGGTAAAATCTAGCGCTTTATGAAGGTCGAATTCGAACCCTCCAAAGTAATAATTATTCGGTACGTTACCTGGTAAGTTACATATTGTCGCCGAAATGGTTTCAAAAGTTCAACGTGAAGAGTTCTGGATGTTATTTCGCATTATGTCCGAAGGACAGAAACTGTGTTCGCCGATATAAGGTAAGAGGGACCTTTATTATTTAAAAGGTAGAGGAGCAGCTTGTTATGGCTCTCGCATGCGGAGTTCGAGCACATCGGTGAAGCCGGTTTGACGACACTGAGGAAAACAGAGGAAAATATTTTCTTGCCTTTGGTATTGTGTATATCCTCGATCACTATACAATAACGCACAAATATTATAATTCAAAGGGCATTTACAACACGCGCCAAAAGAGCCGTGATCCCGCCAAAATGCTCGAACCATATAACAGAGTGTAAAAAGGGGGCTGGTAGGCAACACACGACTTTTACCTCGTGCCAAAATGCTGCTTGTTCCAAAAATTGTTTTCTCTGGTGGGTATATTATATTCTGGGTTCTACTCTTTGAATGAGTAAATGTGAATTTTGCCGCTTGTTTCATACTGAGAGGTCATGACACGCATATTGATTTTCTGCGGTTATTGTTTCTGGTCGGCATGATTTGTCCTCTGATGCAAGAGCACTTTCTTCGACCTCTTTTGAAACGTAAATCTCTTCCTTTGTGGCTAAATAAGAGTTTTAGGTTGTTTAGTCTTCTCCAAAGTGCCTCCTGGATCTGAATAGCTAAAGGCGATATTCTTTTGTCCGTGAATGTGATGATTTTCTTCAATTTATGTCACGCTGGGCCCAGCTCGTTTAGTATTTTCTGCACGATGTTAGATTTTCACCGAAAGTGATTTACAGATTCAAATTTCGAGGAATGGATTATAGGAACGCATTTTGTGAAGAGAGATTTTTTAAGTAAAAAGAACTCGGATCCTTAAATCGATCGTGTTTTAGCTAGCCAATTGCAATTTTCATATCCTGTGTTAGTTCGGATAATTCAGTAGGTTATTCTCTCCTCTCCCTCTTAGCTTACAGGCGGCGCGCCCAAGTTTAAGAGGTGAAGAGAGATTTTTTTCAAGGGTAAAAAACTCGTAGCTTGAATCGATCATGTTTTACTATCTAGCCAATTACAGTTTTTATGAGCTATGTTAGTTTGAATAATTCAGTAAATTTTTCTCTCCTCTCCCTCTTAGCTTACAGGCGGCACGCCCAAGTTTAAGAGGTGAAGAGAGATTTTTAAAGGGGGAAAAACTCGTAGATTGAATCGTCATGTTTTAGCTAGCTAGCCAATTACAGTTTTCATGCGCTGTGTTAGTTTAGATAATTCAGTAAATTTTTCTCTCCTCTCCCTCTTAGCTTACAGGCGGCACGCCCAAGTTTAAGAGGTGACGAGAGATTTTTTTCAAGGGCAAAAATCTTGCAGCCTGAATAGACCATGTTTTACTAGCTAGCCAATTGCAGTTTTCTTACGCTGTGTTAGTTTGGTTACCCTCTCCTCTCCCTCTTGGCTTCCAGGCGGCACGCCCAAGTTTAAGAGGTGAAGAGAGATTTATTTAAATTGAAACACTCGTAGCTTTAGTCGATCATGTTTTATTAGCTAGCCTATTGCAGTTTTTATAAGCTGTGTTAGTTTGGATAATTCAGTAGGTCATTCTCTCCTCTCCCTCTTAGCTTACAGGCGGCACGCCCAAGTTTAAGAGGTGAAGAGAGATTTTTTTCAAGAGTAAAAAACTCGTAGCTTGAATCGATCATGTTTTACTACCTAGCCAATTGCAGTTTTCATGCGTTATGTTAGTTTGGATAATTCAGTGGATTATTCTCTCCTCTCCCTCTTAGCTTACAGGCGGCGCGCCCAAGTTTAAGAGGTGACGAGAGATTTTTTTCAAGGGCAAAAAGCTCGTAGCTTGAATAGACCATGTTTTACTAGCTAGCCAATTGCAGTTTTCTTACGCTGCGTTAGTTTGGTTACTCTCTCCTCTCCCTCTTGGCTTCCAGGCGGCACGCCCAAGTTTAAGAGGTGAAGAGAGAAATATTTAAATTGAAACACTCGTAGCTTGAGTCGATCATGTTTTACTAGCTAGCCTATTGCGGTTTTTATACGCTGTGTTAGTTCGGATAATTCAGTAGGTTATTCTCTCCTCTCCCTCTTAGCTTACAGGCGGCGCGCCCAAGTTTAAGAGGTGAAGAGAGACTTTTTTCAAGGGTAAAAAACTCGTAGCTTGAATCGATCATGTTTTACTACCTAGCCAATTGCAGTTTTCATGCGCTATGTTAGTTTGGATAATTCAGTGGATTATTCTCTCCTCTCCCTCTTGGCTTACAGGCGGCACGCCCAAGTTTAAGAGGTGAAGAGAGATTTTTTAAGGTAAAAATCTCGTAGATTGAATCGTCATGTTTTAGCTAGCTAGCCAATTGCAGTTTTCATGCGTTGTTAGTTTGGATAATTCAGTAATTTTTTCTCTCCTCTCCCTCTTAGCTGACAGGCGGCGCGCCCAAGTTTAAGAGGTGACGAGAGATTTTTTTCAACGGTAAAAAACTCGTAGCCTGAATAGACCATGTTTTACTAGCTAGCCAATTGCAGTTTTCATACGCTGTGTTAGTTTGGTTACTCTTTCCTCTCCCCCTTGGCTTCCAGGCGGCGTGCCCAAGTTTAAGAGGTGAAGAGAAATTTTTTTAGATTGAAACATTCGTAGTTTGAGTCGATCATGTTTTACTACCTAGCCAATTGCAGTTTTTATACGCTGTGTTAGTTTGGTAAATCAGTAGATTATTCTCTCCTCTCCGTTTTGGCTTACAGGCGGCGCGCCCAAGTTTAAGAGGTGAAGGGAGATTTTCTTAAAGTGAATAGTACATAGCTAAAATCGATCGTGTTTTGGCTAGTAAATGCAGCTTTTTTTACACTGCTTAAGTTTGTATAATTCGGTAGATTTTTCTCTCCTCGTCCTAATGGCTTACAGGCAGCACGCCCATTCTTAAGAAGCTGTGATAAAGTATAAAGTAAGTCACAGCTTGAATCGATCGTGTTTTAGCTAGTCGTTACAGAATTATTGTTTTTGTTCATATTTTGTTTTTGTTAGTGTATATAATTCAGTAGATTTTTATTTTCTCTCCCTCTTAAGTCTTTAGCTCTTATGCGATGCGCCCAATCTTACAACGAGTGGTGTTGGTTTCAAAAGCGAAATTTAGTCATTGTGATTTTTTTTCTGATCTACGGCTCTCAGTCTGGATAATATTCAGCGTGATGCCTGTGTTTGATGTACACCGGAAACCGGAAAAAAGCTAGTTTTGTCCGCGGGCGGCAATACTTTAATTTTGACAGTTTAAGGTAAAATATAAAGATAATGTCTAAATCATTTGTGAACTGTGATAGTTTTTTTTTTGCGTAAATATCTCTCTTCGATCAAATGTGACAGTTAGGCCAGATTTATACTAGAGTTGTAAAAATTTCCTCCGTCTATGTTGAAACCGAACAAACCTCGCGGGTATCCGCTTTGGCGGTGATCTCCCTGAGAGACAATTGAGTTGTTGTTTTCATTGTTTATTCATCAAGTTCTCAGTTGAAATTATTTTTCGGTAATATTGTTCTTATTTATTGTTTATTGAGTGGGTCGGCTAAAATTAAAGACGATGAGTGAAGCTCCAATGCAGAATTTTTGAAGTCCATTTGATATTATGCTTTCGACAGTGCACGTGAATAGCAACTAGGTTGGGTGTCCACTTAAGATAAACTGGATTAAGTGTCGAAGATGAAAGATTGCTCAATAAAACGAATATTGTTGACAGCTTTAAGATAGGCTCAGGGTCTCTTGATGTAATATAACCCTTGGTTCAAAACAATAGACTTGGCGCCTCGCCCTTCAGAAATATGCGAAGATTGCGACGCTGAACGTCGCAATCCCCCGAAAATCGAGCCTGCGGCTTGTAATGAACAAAACTACAAAGAAAAACATTTCAGGACACGAATAGCCTGGAAGAGATGTAAGTTGTCGCCGTGTATCTCGTTTAAGAGATACCCCCACAAAATATTCCATGCGTAGTCAATCAATGAATCGATCATCGGTAGTAATCGGTAACAATCGATATCAATTGGTAGAAATCTATAAAGAAAAACGTTTTAACCTCGATATATATCGATTTCCGATAGAAATCGTTAACAAGTGATTAATCGACTGTTATTGATTACTACCGATTGTCATTCAAGGAGTTCAGCACGATGTTTCTCCTCTTGCTTTTTTGACTCATTTAGTATCATAGAATCATAGTATGTTACTAAAAGAACCAAAAACAATCGTTTATAGGAACAAATTCCTCTTCTTTTTTATTTTCGACTTGAGCGCTGTTCATAATAACAGAAGAGGTTGCAGCGAAACTGACATTAGTTTTGCGATTTCAGTAAGTCACATTAAATTAAGGCTACCGTTTGACATGGCACTGGATGAATTATTTGTTTACTCAATCTACAGATTCTTGGCTCGCAACAAGATACAGGAAATAGAGCCAGGTTCATTCGATGGCCTCGAGGAGTCTCTTATTATCTTGTAAGTACACGAATTACAAGAGAACCCGCCCCCGCCGCCCCTTACTTTGTCTTAGTTAAATTTGCGTGTGTAATTTTTTCACATCGTCACCCTCAAAAATAGATCAATAGACTTCGGTAAAAGCCAGTAAAAAACTAAGCCTAAGCCATAACTACGAACAACGGGGTATAGTATGCAAGATGAAAAACTTCATTTAACAGGCCTGTACTTTGCTAATTAATTTCCAGGTTTCTTTCAAGTAATAGTTTAACTAGTTTGACCACAGGGCTTTTTACCAACTTGACAAGCCTACAATACCTGTAAGTTATTAGCAAAAGGTTCCACTATTTTCAAAAGTACAAACTGCCAGGTACCAAAACAACAGTTTCACAGCCATTTAGAAGCCTATCAAACTTTGTTTATGTTGTACTCATATATCTTGATTGTGTTAAAAATATACGTATTAAGTACCTTATAAAAAGAAATTGTTGTAATCATTCTACCCCCTTACATTACGTTGCCCAGCACCCCCCCCCCCCCCCCCTCCTCCCTCTCTATACGGCCCTTTGTCAACTAAGCTGCTAAGCTAGCCTTAATTGTAGAGAGGATCTAGGAACGACAGTATTTCATTCACTGAAAATTAAAAAGATCTGCATAGCCCCAAACAGTACCAATTCAGCCCTGCTGGCTTAAGTCTGATTCAGCCCCTCCGGCCTGGAGCCATTTGAGCACAATTTAAGCCAAGACAGCCCCATCAAAAGGCTATTCCAGCCCAGACGGGGGTCCATTTTAGCCCTTGGGGCCAAATCAGCCCCAGGTAATTGGACTGTATTGTACTGTATTTTACTCACCGAAACGGCCCCAGGTTTAGGGCTAAAACAGAACTTTCTGATTTACGGTGTTTCACACAAAGATTATAAAAGACTTGAAACTATCGCTCTTTATGATGGCCCTGTAAGTTAAGGTACTTTGCATTACTCATTTATGCATCAAGAAAGTTCATCTCGGCAAATAGGTGAAACATTTACTCAGGTTGAGAAGCGACATCAGTGAAATCACTTCATCATGTATGTATATACGTATGCCCTCAGATTTTTGAGCGACAATAAAATTACAACCGTGGATTCATATACCTTCAGTGGCCTCGCAGCCTTGGAACTGATGTAAGTATTGACTGAAGCGGAATTTTTAAAACTCTGATTGTGGGGTATATAAATCATTTTGCAATGAACATTGATAAATATGATTAGTCGAGCTTGCTTTAGCAGAGCAAGACTCTAAATATGCAGGATTTTTTTTGCGTCGGTCTTCCCTAGATTGTAGGCCACGCGTTCCTAGCGGAGACCGTGGAAACGGGGGATAGGATCCGTGACGACCTTACACAAGGTAGAACTGTTTTCTGCTTTTATATCACACTTAGATGATATTTCAAGCTGGAAATCATTTATGTGCAAGTCTCTTCAATTTTAAAGAAAAAAAACTGATATGAAGGGCAAAAAGATTCGAACCCGTGACCCAAATTGCCACTACACCACACTAACCATCCAGGCGAGGAAATAACTAAAGTACACATAGCATCAACCCCAACCCAACAAAAGAAGCTAACCAGTTTCGAAACAGTGCGTAACCCTAATCAGTAAAGGAAGTGCTCAACCGTAATCAGTAAAGGGAGTGCTTAACGATAAGGACTACTACGTAGTGTAAGGTGTCCAAGGGCCTTTCGACAGATGTTAAAAAGTGCTGACCAATTAAATCAATAGGCCGCCATTATGGAAGAGGTCTATAGCCAACTGAAACTAGCCTGTGTCACAGACGTAATCTAAACCATGCGGACTCAACTGCCGTCCTGTTTTGGGCAACGGAAACGTCAAAAAAGCAATAAGTTTAATGAGCAAAACAACAACTCTGCACGACCACGCTTTTTTGTACAGTTCTTTGCCGTCCCTGCACGACTACAACGAGACATGACCAAATTTTGAGTTGACTTGAGAACGGGAACGGCAAAGCGATAAATTTTACTTTCTACATCTACATCTACATAATTTATTTGTAAAATCCCATAAGGACATCTAGCAAATTCTCTTTATGAAATCGGACGCGGTCCTCCCTCTTCAGTTCCAACCGAACGTCTCTCCTTTCAAGTAACTGGTTGACTTGGTAAAAGGGCTAAAAAGTTGTAAAGGACGCGAAGTCTATTTTTCAGCGACGTTTTCATTGGCGTCGCCCTTGTCGGATCGTAAGGTCTCTAATGTTGGGAGAGCTCCGGTCTGCCGAATGGGAGGTCGTGGGTTCAAACCCCGCCAAGACCAACAACCAGGGTCTTTAAAAAAGCTAGTGAGATCATTCTGGCTCTGATTTGAGACCTTATATCAGTTCAGTTGATCGCGTCAACTCATTGGTAGGCCTTCATCTGTCTTTCATTAGCCAAATCGAAGAGGACGTAAAAGAACCCACTCTACTCTCCGAAAAGAGTAGGGGAAGTTTCCCTAGGGGTGTGGTCTACCTTTCACGCATCACGCTTCATTCATATCATGGGCTGTGGGTGGGTCACAGTAAGCTCATAAATGGACTGATAGCGGTTTCCCCGGGCGCCATTGTATGTTGACGTCCTAGCTTACTTTTAACATGCTAAGATATAATGTGAAGAGGGAGCGTCTTGCTGTCCTCTAACAATACATTACATTACATTAGGGACTTTAAGATCCCACCACGCAGACGACAACTGGAACGTCAAAAAAACAATAGGTTTAATTAGCAAAACAACAACTTTGCACGTGCATCACACTTTTTTGTTAATTTCTTTCCCGTTTTTGCACGACTACGACGTGAAAATGCCTAATTTCGCGTTTTATGAAGGACGTAAACAAGCAACGACGAAATTTTATTTCTCTTTCTGAGCTTGAATATGGTCCCTTGAAATTCAGCTTCAGGAGGGTTCGCCTACAATTGACAAAGTAAGTGGGTAGGAATAATCACTATAAAGACTGAAAAAACTCAAATTCACTTTTTAAGCGACGTTCTTCTCGCCGTCGCGTCGTTGGATCTTAAAGTCCCTAATAACTTCTGTAATACCCTGCGCAGCTGGTGGTGTTTTTTTGGTGTGTTTTTCGTTTGTGTCGTATGCAATGTAAAGGATACAGCCGCGCGAAAGTTGTACCGAGGTCAAATAAAAAAACGACGGGGGAGGGAGCGAGGGAAAGAAGACACTTCCTCCTCCTCCTCCATCGTTTTCTCCTTTGACCTTTTACCCTACGAGAAACGAACGCAGGCTACGTCTGCAAAACAGCGCCGAGATCCTTGCTCTAGACCCCCATGCAACGGACTTAACGAATGACCCGAAGTGCTTTTCGAATTTCTCTCCAACCTGATTGGCTAATCAAACAACGGCGTATCTTTCACGACACTCATGGCACATTTTCAAACCCTGGTGCACAGATTGGGGCCCAGAACAAGGATTTTTGGCGCTGACTTGAAGACGTGTTTAACCAGAGGGCTGTGTCGCTTGTGGGATCTGGCTGTTTTCTGAGATTGGTCTTTGTGTAATGTTATTTGAGTCAAATGTTTGATTTCTTTGTTCCAGAGATTTGGCGGACAATCCTATCAAAAAGATGAATCACTTTGCCTTCACGATTAATAACTCTGCTCTACACACAATGTAAGCAGTTACTGACAATGATAACAAGTGTTGGGACTCTCTATTATAACTATTTATTATTTAACAATAGCTAGTGTCACCGGGTGATCCAAGCCATAACCTAAGCTTTAAGCCATAAACTTTCTCCAAAACATTCACAGATTTGTATGCGTATTCCCGAGGGAAGGAAACAGTCCTTTGCCCAGAATACTAGAAGCACTCAAAAGGAAACAGTCAGTCTTGGGTGATGCACAGGTTATATATAGAGTGTTTTACCCTTCCTACAGAAAAAACGGAAATTCTGTTTTGCAAATGAGATATTTTTCGCCCTTCTGTTTAAAAAGCTGGCGACTCAGGATGGGGAGTCGTTTGGGGCAGTGTATCTTAGCTTATTAAATGACTTTTTCTTACTTCACCAGTCAAGTTAAATCGCTGAACGCTTATGAATGAAATTTTAACCAGTGCCGCTTGAAAGACCCAACATTTCAGTAATGTATTTTCCGTATTGTTACTTTTCAGTTACCTGATGAACACCGAACTGCAGAAAATGAACCACAATGCATTTCATGGCCAAAAGGATGTACGCACATACATGTAAGTTTTCTTCTTACCATTCTGAAAGACCAAAGTCAGCAAAAAGCAAAAACTACACCCTTTCGTCCCAAGTGACGTCGCTCGTTACAAACATAGCTAAGTGACTATGGGGACGAAAAACATCCCCGGGCAGTGCCTTACGCATGCGCATAGCCATATTATGCCGGCAGTCTTATACTCCCATGATTAATGCACCAAAAACCATAATCGAGCATGCTTCAATCAATTGTTTTTCCATTTCAGACCATGTGATTTTCGCCATGGGACCTTTTTTTTCGCATTTCTTCCTATTCCGGAGCATATGACTTTAACGTGAAAACGCAACAGGGAAATTCTCTTGTGAATATCACATGCTCTGTATTGGGAAAACAAAACATAAAACTAAAACTAAAACGGTCCACTCCAATACTTGCGCTCACTCAGGAAAATATTCAATTTGTGTAGCTCCGTGTGAGGGAATTCGGGAAATTTTTGCTTGTGGAATCTGGAATCCTGGGCTTTGGTATCCGGAATACAGCTCAAGGAATCCGGAATCCGGGTAACGATCGGAATCCAAAATCCACATCCCACTGACAATTCGGAATCCACGGCGTGGAATACGTCAAGAATATCAAAAGCGACGGATACGTTTTCAATACATCGATATTTCTAAAAAAACAAACGGAAGTACCGAAAAGGGAGAGTAAACGCCTACTTAGTGTTTGATAGCTTGCTAATTTGTTTTTGTTGTTTCTAGCCAAAGGTTTTTTCCCAGTTAGATATATTTTTGCCATTAATTCTTTTCTTGCTTTAATTTGTAAGTAGTAAGTCACATTAACTCGTCTCTTGGTTTACTTTGACTGGCTTTTAATTTCCTGAATATAAATACAGGGACTGAACAGAGAAATTATATTTTCTATATTTGCTTGCTTTAAAGTTCACCTGAACATGTGACAGACGGATTTGTGACAAACAAGAAAGGCCTGTTTATCGCCCTCACAGAGGCGGGATTTGCAGATGGGAATACTAGTCACCGCTTCCCATGTCCTACTGGCACTTATGTTCCTCATCTTAAGAATTTCAAATACAGCACAGCCATAGAGGCTAAATGTTTACCGTGCCCTCCAGGTAAGTGATACTGATAACTTCAAGAGAGACAGTTTAAATACAGGCAACACAATTAAACTGGTACTTTATTCTACCAACTTAGGCTGTGTATACATTAAAAAAGAAGGTAATAAATGTGATCGTCTTTAGTAGAACAAATCAAGATTGAGGTAGTCTATTGTTACAAAGCTGGAATTTATTACCAGGAGGTATCGCTTATTGGCTTCTTGGGGTCATGCGGCACATGGCGTTTCACGCTAATCAGTTCTTTTCCACCTAAAAAGCTCATTTTTTCCTCTTTCAGGTGGATTTTATTCAAACAGGGTTGCACAAGTTGGTGCCCTGTGTTTTCTTTGTAACCCTGGAACCTTCGTCCCTCCAGAGACAGCTCCAGGGAGGAATGTTTTAGATTGCACTGTATGTCCTACAGGTAAATAGGCTTACTATTACTGAGCAGTATGCAGGATCTTTGTTACAATGAACTTAGTCTAGTTGCCTTAGCTTCCACGAGTCTCCTGTAGCTCAGTAGTGGAGCATATGGACAAATACCTAGGAAGTCATAGGTTCCACTTCTGTTGAGTACTTCAGCCTGCAGACGTCTCCTGTTTCCTTAGTTTGTTGTTCGCGGAAAAGGGAAGTCTGTGTAACGTCTCTACCAATTGTACTCGGATTCTTTCTTCCGAGCCCGCTTGCAGTGTCACTAGGTGAAAAAGCATCTTTCTAAGGAAAACATTTTTTGGTAAAGTGGTAGCCGGTTCTCCTCTCGAAAAGACGGCTGCCGATGTTTGCATGCTAGTAAAGTGGGTGAAGATGAGTTTCCCTCTGCCTTTGACTTTAGTATAAGGGGAGAAAAAAGATAAAATAAAGATAAGGAAATGCCACGACCACGCCCACATTTTGCATAATGTACTTGCTCGTAAACAGATCCTAAAAGAGGAATGTCCAAAGTAATTTTCGTAAAGGTTTGACTATATTGGTCATTCAAATTCACGGGTAATGAACTTAAATCGTTTCTAGGAACCATAACAAGCTTAAGAGCTGGATTCCGAGCGTGCAAGTGCATCAGAGGCTTTCATCGCGTGAGTCGCTTTGGTCATTGTGAAAGCTGTCCATCACAAGGACTGGAATGTGTCAATGAATCAGTTTCCCTGAAGAAGGGCTATTATTGGCAGTGGGACTCAGAAGTTAAGAGACTTGCTTATGAAGCCTTCGCCAAAAATTTAGAAATAGAGGATGAAACCTACTTGATGAATACATCTTTATACAATGGAACTCTTCCAAAGCCTTACCAGTGCCCGCGGGTAAAGTCATGCGAGGGGGGACTAGAATCTAAATGCGCTACTGGTTACTCAGGCCCCCTGTGCGAGGTTTGCCAAAACGGATATTACAAACGGGTTCTTGCTTGCAAAGCTTGCCCTTCCGGTACCTGGGTCATTGTGCAGCTTTGTCTATGTGGTGCTGCCGTTCTCGTTCTCATTATAATTTTGATATGGAGCGGAAGGAGAAAGAAAACAAGTGAAAAACGCCCGATGATTGACATCCTGCTGGCCAGACTGAAAATTGTGATTGGCTTCTATCAGGTAACATCCGGGATAGTTGAAGCATTCGTCTACGTCAAGTGGCCGTCATCCTTGTCTATGATTGGTGACTACGCCGAAGTGATCCAACTAAATATCCTGCAATTTGTTCCTCTTCACTGCCTCTTTCCGTCTTGGAAACAAGACGCGTTTAGCAAAATGTACTTTTTGCTGGGTAGTAATGCTGGCGTAGCTACACTCGCGTTTGTAGGCTACTGGATTAGAAAACTTTTCCTTTTAGGTAAATTCAACTCGAATTCCTCTAAAATGAGGGCAAAGTTATCTACAACAAGGGAGTTTCTATATCGTAACGTGTTTTTGTTTCTGTTCATAACATACCCAAGCACTTGTTCAGCGATTTTGAGGACCTTTCCCCTAGCATGTCACAAGCTCTGTACGGAGAGTTCCTGCACGCTTTATCTCAAGGCAGATTACAGCGTCAAGTGTGAAGGTGAAAAATATCATTTCTTCAAGCTCTTTGCTTTTGGAGCTTCGTCATACGTCGTTGTTCTTCCAGGGCTGGTATTGATAGCGTTATGGAGGCAAAGAAGAAAACAGGTTTTGCGCGATGAATCTGGCGAAGAGGAGGCAGTGGGGATTAACAGAATAGGATCTGAGTTTGATGACATTGCGTACTGTGCTTCTGAAATCGCAGAAGAAAATGATGAGATCAACGGGGATGAAGATGCAGAAGAGGGTAAGGATACTTGCGCCTTTACATCTTTTTCCAGAAGAATAATTTACTATAAACAATTCCTTTGTCAAGAAAAAAAAAAGCTAAATCGCAAAAAGTATCCTTCTGATTTGGGAAAATTACAGTTATCTCCACCCCGTCTCCACTTAAATCTCTTCTTGCCGAGGTCAAGGAACTCCCCACAAAGCGTTAGATTAGGCCCTAAAAATACTCTTTGGTATTGAATTCCCTCGGGCATCGAGACAGAGTTTTTACAAGCGAGATTATAGCTATCTGCCTACAGTCGTGGAACTCTTCTTAATTTTTACTGTATTTGTTTGCCAGGTTTTACGTTTCGTTTTTCTTTGCAGCGGTTATCCATCCAATCGAGAGAGATTATGAGAGCTGCTACATCACCCTTGTATTTCTTTGCTTTCCACAGAAAGGCCTAATGAAGAATCAGAACTCATTTCTGGAATGAGCTTCCTGTACGAGAACTACAAAGATGACGCTTGGTACTGGGAGCTAGTGGAAGTCGTAAGAAAGCTCATACTGACTTGTGGGATTATTCTGATTGGCCGCGAGAGTAGAGCGTACGTGGGACTGGCCTCTATCTGTTCTGGATTGTTCGCAATTTTTTACGCTTTTCGAAAACCAATCAGAGATGAGTTTGAAGATAAATTGCAGCTTACGTCACTTCTTGTGATTTTTCTTAATCTCGGTATTGGAGTGATATTAAAAATCCCCAAAGAATCAGTGCCGTCAGATGTAGATCAATATGTGGACTCACTGCTGGTTAATATACTTGTAGTGGGAGCCAATGTCTTGGTGATTGTTCTTGTTGTAGGTATGTTAATAAAGACATTACTTACATCGTTCATTAGTACTACTAAAGCACACATGTCTGAGTGGTCTGCCAAAATGTTCTTGTTTATCAACAGTTCATAGGTTTCAGCATCTTCATTTATTCATTCATTAGAGCGTTCGTTTATTCATTCATTTATTCTTTCATTCATTTTTCCCTATATTGATTCACCTTCAGTCCTTAGTAAAACTCTACAACGAGCATCATCCATGGCTTTTAACACAGAAGAGCTTCTACAACTAATGTTGGGACCCAAGGTCAAAATCTGGCCGAAAAGTGAACGAACTCATGATCGACTGTTTACATTCTGTTTACAAGGTGTTTCTTTCTATGAAAGAATATTGATTCATGAACTCCAAGTTACAATTTGAACGGCATTTACAGTTTACAGCTGTAATCTTACTTCGGCAAAGTCATGGATTTGTTGTTTTGATTATTTCCTTACCACGCAAGACCAATTAAACAAGCTAATATCAACAACCGAACCGGTCGTTTACTCACTGTGTTCCTTCAAATATTTCATCAATGCATCATCGATGCATTCATCAATGCACTATCAATGCATTCATCACTGCATCATCAACGAATTCATCAATGCATTCATCAATGCATCATCAATGCATCGTGCAACGTACCATCAACGCATAATCAATGTAACATCAATGCATTCATTACAGCATTTATCAATGCATCCTCAATGCGCCATCAATGCCTCATCAATGTATTTATTGCATCAAATGCATCAATTTCTTCCATTCAGTTCTTCCTTTCATCATCAGTGCGTCTCCAGTACATTTATCAATGCATCATCAATGTATTAATCAATGCATTCATAATGCATCATCCGCTGAATGCAATCCATCAATGCATCGTCAATGCATTTTCAATGCTTCAATAATGCATCATCGATGCTTCATTAAGGTGGCTGAACACAGTTTTGCGGGCGGTCAGCGGTAACTAGCGTGAAGGCGCGTGTTTTAAATTAGACAAACAAACATGGCGGCGAAAAAGCAATGGTACACAGAAGAAGATTTCTCAAAATCTACTCATTAAAATTTTGTGATATTTGGCAAAGTTTTTACTTTTATTGTATTTTAAATAATGAGAACTTTAAAATGGAAGTTGAACAGACGAATTTTGTAACACATTTAATAATTACAGTACCATTATATTATTGATTATCTAAAATCCCGTCTGTTAAAATTTGGTCAAATAAGTCTCAAACGGTAATGATTAATTATAGTAAGCTGTGTGCAAGTTTATAGGAAAATCTAATGAGCGAATTTTATGTAAACTGAGCAAAAGTGGAATTATAAGGCTGTATTCAATCGTTTATGTTGCCATGGAAACTACGAAAACGTCAAATTTTACCTGTCAATCAAAACTTTTTATCAGTGTATTTTTCACTTGCCAAGTTTCAACTTGTGAGCTGCAACCTTTCGCTTGCCATGATTTGGCAAAGGACACATACTCATGAATTGCCAAAACTGTGTTCAGACACCTTAATGCATTATCAATGCATTTATCAATATACCATCAATGCATCATTGCATCAACTGCATCAATTTCGTTCATTCAGTTGTTTCTTTCATTTATTCAATTCATTTAAATTAGTTCATTTGCATTGCTGTTCGGTCATTCGCTCCTTTGTTTCTGTCACTCCCCGGCCTTCCGCCTTTCTTCTTTCCTTTTTAAATTCACTTTACCCGTTCAATTCATTTTTCAGGCCTTCATTCCGGTTCGTTCTCCGTTCGTTCCTGTATTCCGTCATCTACTAATATATCATTTCTGTGCCTCGCTAATTCTTGATTTAATACCTTATCCACTAGGTCGCTACCTTGCTGTGTTAATTCACAATTTTATGCTTTGGAGAAAAAATCCACAATGCTCTGCAACTTGCTGTATCACCATGCTTCTGTCTTTGAACGAACTAACCAGCGGCGTGAATTCAGTAGCAAGCATGCGCAAGACAAACTTCCGGACCAACCTGGGAATGGGAGGAGTAGATATGCCTTCGATGCGATCAGCTGTAAATGATAATGTCGGCTTTGAAATTGAAGGAAAGGAAGAGGACATAAAGGGGAAAAAAGACAAAGTAACGGATACAAGAGGAGTTAGATTTACCGACGTAAAAGGACCAACCGATGAAATGTTGTCAAACAACATAATAAGACGTGGTATTCCTGAAGGACGCCGTTTCAGCAGTCGATTTCCAGAAAGACAAATCAGGGCATCGAATTCTTAGACAATGCTCTGACGCCTTCATTTTTTACAGTAATCAAATTAACTGACTCTGAGTCTGTTCCTACTTTAAAGCTACGTTTGAAAACTTTTCTTTTTAGATATAATTTTTGTAAATAGTTCATTTAGGTTGTAAGCGCATTGAGATTTCTTTATCATAAAAACCTTTTTATTGTTATTATCATTATCACATAGCAGTTTCCCCAAATAAGGGAGTGTCCCCCGGGACATGACCTTGAGAAATGACGCAATGATAATCAGCTCATCTAAAGAAATCAACGTTTTGTAAATCATCTAATCAGTCAGAAGGAAAAGGCGTTGATCGTTTATCAAATTCTCTTGACTTATTCTTTAAGAAAATGTATGGAGATTAATCTGAAGAATTTGTTTTTTGGATATTGGTGTTTCAGTGAATAAAATCTAAGATGAACGCCTCGAGGGCTTACTCCCTATAATGGCCTATACGGGATGGCTAATACAATCCTCGGCGACAGGTGTACCTTTTTCAAGCTTCACCTATATGAATGAGTAGGGAATTCACTGGTTCATGTATATATATGGTGGGGGAAATCCGTCATTTCGTTCTGTAAAAGGACATAAAAGCCAGCTAACAGACGCATCTTGGGCCGTAAAAAGGACAGGAAATCATACTTGTTTTGTGATTTATTCATATTTTTAAGAAAGACGTTGCATTTACAGTAGTTAAAAGGGCTGCAAGTTCTAAACTAACTATGTGAAAGAGACTGACATTTGTCGATATAATGTATATGATAGGGGTATTTTTCTGTCAAAAATGGTATATAAAAGAGGACGGGGTCGGACCTTAGGGCGGAGCCTCCCTGTTATGCTCCCGTCCCTGTATATAACTTCGTTGAGGCCTGACCCCTTCTCCGGCGATGAACGCCATCTCACCTGTCGCTGTACTTAATTTAAGTTTTCAAGCCGTAAAACGATGAGCGCCAGGAGTCCCTATGGGCTCCTGTGAGAGCTTTATTTGTTATTTTACTTGTTTTTCGGTGCCTGAGGCAGAAGGTTAAAATAAACTTGAGCTAGGTTCATGAAATGGTAGCTTATAAAAACAATTTATCATCTACCGAGAGAATAGACCCTTCCATGGATTTTAAACTTTTGACATGGACCAGTCAGGAAAAATCCGTCGACACCACTGGAAGAGCGCCTTAAGTTAGTAACATCGCCAAGTTTGGAGGTGATACGTCTTAAGCGAGGGAAGATATAGTTCCGCAGTCCTCCGCAAAGTTGGGAAAACGGATTTACTGACGTTGACGTCTGTAAAATTTCTCGACTTTATGGAGCTTTCATCTTCGTTAGTTTTCAACAAATCAGTTTCAAACTTGGCAATTTCACTAATTTAATGGCGGTATTTCCAGCGGAGTTGATGGATTTTCCCTTACTTGCCCATTGGAAAAAAAAACAGTGGAAAGGTCTTGCTGGTCTAGAAAATATTTTGTTCTTATCGTGTGGCAAGAATTTTTTGCGGGAGTTTGTTTTTGGGCATTGGTGATTTTGTGTTTTGCGGAAACTAATTTTTTTCGACTAGGACAGATTGGTTCTTCTTGATGGGAATTAATTTTTCCGATTTTCAGCAAGTCCTGGACAAATCATTGATAATTTATAGAGAGATTTAGTGTTAAACGTGAAATTGTACCACGAGACCAAGTTTTCCCCTTAATAATTGTTTACTTTTCATTACTTCTGCTCAAAAATGACTGGTATCACGCCAATTTTAACCATGATAAGAATTCATCGGGACATCTTTTATCTGCGTATTTCCTATTTTAAGACACTCTCAACGTGAATCTGACGTTTGCCGTTTGCCGTAAACAGGGGCACCCAACGGAAAATTTTGAAAAAAAGACCTAAAAACAACAAAAAAGCATGAATAAAGATGTCTGAAGCTATTTTAAACATTTTGGGAGATTGCTGGGAAAAATTCATCTGTTCCTCACTCCCAGCAAGACTGATGAAAAGGTTCCCAGCCAGCAAGGTGCACATTCAACCTTCAACCTGACTTACTGGGAAGTTTCCCAGCAGACGTAGGCCATAGGGCAAAATTCAGCCCTTCAGGGGGGGGGGGGGGTGATAAGAAATTGGGTGTGGCCTAAAGGCTACATTCAGCCCTTCAGTGGAGGTGGGGGGGGAAGGGCTAAGAGGTTTCTGACAGATAGCGCACAGCAGCTATTCTACACATCAAATCACCTAAGACACCCACAATTTTCCAATTTCCAAGGACATATTATTTTGTCCAAATCTCCCAGCCAGCAAAAATTTGCCTGAAGAACAGATATTTTGAGGAACAGATCCATTGGGTGCCCCTGGCCGTAAAAGTGAGAAAACGCAGTATGTAAATACATAGTTTCAAACAATACTACGATGTGCGTACCCTGGGCAAAACCAGTAAACAGATTACTTTTCCTTGTCATTCTAATTCGATTACAGACGAACAGACACGATTTCTCAGTCCTGCATTTTTGCCTAGCGAATTTAAGTTATATACCCTGGAGTAAATTTTTGAGGGAAAAATATTGGCAGTAATTTTGTGGCGGGAACTTATTTTTGCGAATCACTGGAAAAATCGCAAAAATTAGAACCCGCAAACGTTTCGTGCCACAAGGTATCTCTAAAAGCTTTGTGATGAGTCTCCAAGTCTCCCATTTTGTTTGTTTGTTTTTCTTTTCGTCTCGGAGACTTTTACCTCAAATTGTTGACCGGGGAGCCGGCGACTCCCGTATACAAAACGTACGGGATATTTTTATCGGAGTCGGAGTCGGTAAGAGCCCTTATGACCTAGTGAAAATCAAACTCGGAGTCGTAAGCGGAGTTACAAGCGCGACGGAGTGGGAGTCAGAAGAATCAGTTGAGTATAGCGTCCGTAGGCAAAAAGAGAAGTTTCTGTGGAGTTTGTGACTTGGAAAATAGTGCCTAAAGGCTGGAGCAAGTCCTCGAACAGTCAAGCGGTACGAGACAAGTTTGTCATTTTGTCTTTTCCGTTCATTTTGCCGTGCGTCAGTTCAGGAACAGATCAAAGAAGACGTTCAAATGAGGTAAGAACAAATACTGAAGTTGTATACTCGCCTACGGCTTGTGTCAGTGCCACTACCGTATTTCTTCGAATAATTACCGGGGGGCGAATATTTCTTTTTTCGCACCAAAAGGGGGCGATTATTCGAGGGAGGCGATTATTTCAAATACTGCTCACTGCATGGAAGGTCGTGCATTAAATATTTTGGTTTATAACATAACATAACATAACATAAAACTTTATTTATACTCGAATTTTAGAGTAGCTAACAAGCTAATATCTTCGAGCTGACACTACATAAAAATAATATAGGAAATATATATATACATTAAATGCATTATAAGAAATAATAATTAAATAATTAATAATAATAAGCACATAAAAGAAAAGAAAAGAAAAGAAAATATTATTTACAATTCACAATTTTAAGTTTAAGTATGTCAGGCAAAAAGAATCTACAAGAAGGTAACATCCTGTATTTTGGTCTTAAAGTCTGCAAAAAAACTGGTACGAAAAAAGTCCGGCAGTGCATTCCACTGCTTAGCTGAAAAGTAAGAAAAGGAGTTAAGACCATAGGTAGTTGTTTTAGGTTTACTTAGTGAAAAAATGTAGTTGCCACGAAGATCATAGGAAGAGGACTGGAGTGAAAACATATTCTTCATATAAGTAGGAAAATGAGTGAAAAACAAACTCTTATATAACAGAATGAGGAAATTTTGAATGCGTTTGTTACACAACGAAGTAGAGCTGACTTTTGAGAGAAGAGTGTTGTATGGAGACGAGTAATCTCCAAGTATAAATCTAAGTATTCTTTAATTTAAAGCTTCAAGCTTATCCGCACCGCGCGCTCCACAAAATTGCCAGACAGAGGAGCAATAATAAAAGTGAAGTAAAATATACGCTTTGTAAAGTTTGAATAAGATTTCCTTGCGTATCAGTTTTCGAAAGCGCAACATAACATTAAATTGATTATTAATCTTTTTGCATACATTTGATATATGTTTAGAAAAATTCAGTTTATTATCTATTTCCATTCCAAAAATCTGTAACGTGTCCTTTACTGGGAAGGAAAAAGAATACTCCGTATCACCGAGGATTAGACACTGGTGCTTGCTCTCATTAACTAACATCCCATTTTCATGGTACCACTGATTGGCCACGCCAACATCATGAGATACGCATGCATCCAGAGCTGCCGGATCGACGTGGGAGTAGTATACGTGATGATCATCCGCATAAGCGTTCAACTTGGCCTTCTTGACGTGGAAGAAAAGACCGTTTATGAGAATGTTGTTTATTATCCCATTAAATCAAAGAAATATCACATCAAATAAACTGAACATGGGCTTCTAAAGTGTTCCAAATGTGGTTCCTTGATTAAATTTTTTACCCTAATGATTCGATTTAGCGCCCTCCTTCCAATAGGCACCCCTTTCGATTAAGCGCCCCTATTCTTACATTATAATATTAGAGTACGGGTACGTATCAACCGAAATTCGTCTTCCTTTAATTGCTCACAAACAAATGGTAATGCTGCATTACAAAACAAGGATTCTTTCGACGGGATCACCAAATCGGACGTTAAAGATACCGCACTAGAAAGCTTTCATTTACAGTGTTGATATTAGTGACACTGTCAAAGCTATCGGCGTAGAAATAGATAAAAATTCCCTCAGGTTAACTGAACATTCACGGTATATTTGTTACTGTTAAAGTTTCTGTTTTAATTGTTCGTTTTGAATAATCAAGTTAAGGTTTTGTTTTGAACATTGGGTTGTTCCTCAAAAAAGAAATAAGCGCCCTCCCTTGAGCGGTGTTCAAAAGTAAATAAGCGCCACAGGCACTAAATCGAATCATGACGGTAATTTTCGATCGTCACTGATCAGTTTTGCTGGATCAGATTCCACTTCAATTTGACGAGGAGGGAATAAAAGAAAGAGAAGATGGCAAGAAGGGTTGGGAGGGGGGGGTGGGTGGGGCGATTATTTCAAATATTTTTTCAAAGGGGGCGATTAATCGAGGGACGGCTATTATTCGAGAACATACGGTATTTATCTGTGATCCTATGCGGTTTTAGAAAAGAACAAATACTGAGTATTATACCGGATCACCCCGGGGGTGGAGGGGGGGGGGGAGGGCGGAAGAGACCTCATAATTGCTATTCTGAACCAGGCTGGGCAATACTTGGACCATGGGTTAAATTTAGAGCACTCTTAGTCGATGCTGACATGAAAGAGAACAAAAAACAAGAGCAAAGACGTGACAGATAAAACTGTGTGCAAGACCGTACTTGGCGAAGAAAAATTCTTAGTTTGACCTTGCGGTGGAAAATCATGGAAATTGAAAAAGAGGGAGAAAATGCTTTGGTAAGTAATTTATTTAAAATGAATACATACATGGCCAGTCGCGATCTGGAAAGATCTTACAAGCGGCAGTTTATGATAGCTCAACAGACATTATTTGCTATATATGCTAATTCAGTTATTGATTATAATAGTGGCTAATTGCTCTATTTAGTAATAAATGAAATATACTATTCATTTTAAATTAATGCTCCAATAGGCCACTTTCCCGCTGTAAATTCAATCAAAACTCAGAATTCGGTTTCTTTTTGCCTTAATTATTTAAGTATCTCAATCTTACAAATGCTCAAAAAACATTAGAGTGAATTTATGAAATATAATATATTTACTGACTGCAGAAGAAATATACAAGTAAAGATAATCATTTAAGAAACAATAGCCCAGATTTGTACAAGAAAAATACAGACTAAACGATTCATGCAGGAGGTTGTAGTAAAATGACAGCATCATACAGATATTTTGTTATTGTTCATCAAGGCAAATTTCAGAATCTGGTGAGCCAAGTAAAGTATTGAGCATGGCAAACGCCTGCTGCAGGTTTTCTGGGACATCAAATTCTGGAATCTTCATGCTGACGGAAACATCGTGGATAGGCACAACGCAGTACTGACGGCAGTTAACGGTTTTCCAAGGATACTTGTAGATTTCTTTGGTCAGAGTGGTTTTTGTATTAGGTAGAAGACACGCAGCAATGTGGATTCTAAATCGCTTGTTCAAAATACAACCCAAAAGGGCTACGGCATTGCTTAGTGCCCATAGAGGGATCTCAGGAAGATCTGTAGCATTTTGGGGTTGGAAATAAGGTATGACAAGTCCACGAGTTTTGCCTTTGAGTACATTGAATAGGTGGATCAACATTTGATAGACGCTTTCGGTTGTTCTTACGCGATTGAAGACCACCTCCGGGATGCATGTGTAGTCTTTCGGTAGAGTGTTCCAGTCAGATGGCTTGGCTGGTAGTACAATATCCGTGTAACTGATCATCTCGGGGCTAATATTCCCTGTAGCTATCCCGTAAGCAGCACTAGCATGAAGAGCACAGCCCCAAGGCTGGTACAAAGTGACAGAATCTACTCGATCACTTAGGTAATGTACAGAGCAAGGAAGCATTGGACTTTGGACTTCACCGTGTGCAAGGAACGTCAAGTCTATTATACGATCCCCCTTTTGTTCTTCTTTCACTTCCTCTAGGTATTTTTCAATCTCGTGTCTTAAGAATGTGAAGGCGCGAGCCATGGAGTACACATAATCTCGACGATCCACAACAATGTCGTCAAATACTTGGCACCAGGAGTCCCTAGTTTCACATGCGGCTATGCATTGTAACACCTTAGCAGATTCTTGGTCGCTAACTCTGCCTTCACGAGAAATCCTTTCCAGAAAGTTCTGCAGCTCGCTCTTAAGGCTTCTCTCCCAGTTGTCTCCCAGTGACCTAAAATATTCCATCAAACAAGTTTAAGGAGGAGCACCTTTGAAGTCATCCAGGGGTAGATTTTAGTATTTCACTCAGACTGAGAACACTTTAAGTTTATCTGTATTAATTGAACACATTTTAAAAAGCAATCGCTTGGAGCTGTCCCCATGAACATTTAACAGATATTTTCAGTTTCAATGAAACGATTGGTAGTGGTAACAGCACGATTTGTAGTGATATTTGGCATAAATACCACGACTGATATTTCGAAATTGTTATACGTAATTTCACGAGCCGTTAGGCGACTCGGAGTGAAATTTGCGACACTTTTGAAATATCACGAGTGGTATTTATGCCAAATATCACGTACAAATCATGCTATTATTTGTTTATACTACTACCCGCAAACGGTTTTGTAATTTTCACAGGTAGGTATTTCAAATTAAGCTGAAATACCACTGCTCTAAGCCAATCAAATTGCAGAAAATTCTCATGTAGTAGTATAATGAGCTTAAATTACATTTCCAAAGCCATTCGTGTCCAATGTAATACACACGGGTTCAATACACACATGTTCAATAGCCAGTGAAGTCATTACGTTGCTAGGAAAATTTCGACGTCAATAATTATTACACAAATGATAATAATTTTCATCTTTACCTAATACAGCTGTGGCGACCGTTAAGACCGCTGCGATCTCTTTGTTACCGACGACATAGTTAATGATCAAACCTGAGACAAGGGCACCCATGCAACGACGATTTCCTCCTAAATACGTTGAAAAACTTCTCAGGCTATCCAGAGTACGTAGTTCTAGATTTCTAGAATTAGAAATACATTCTAAGTGGCGCTATAAAATTTGTATCTGTTCAGTCATCCCAGGGGACTTTGTGTCTTTTCGAAATTTCCAAGGCTTCATTATCATTTTCCCGGAAATTTTAGATGCTATTTATCGCTTTACGAAAGTGATAATTTTTCTGTTGAAATGTGAAAGAAGCTTCAGAAAATCGTAGGGAATTTATTAGATAAGTTTCGAAAATTGTACATGAATGGAACGGTCATCTAGAAGCAAGCAATAGGAAATTCTAGGCAATCTCCGAACAGATATTTTACATAAATAGTCGTTGGGTGCCCCTGCTGAGAGGTTCATAGTTTCTAAAAAATGGGGGCCAGCCACCTTAACAATTTTTACCTGAATCGAAAATAAACGTTGAACGTTGTTATCCATGAAGGGTCCAAAATGACCTTTCTCAAGACAACCAGAGCCCTTGAATTTTTGGACGAGGTCCTTAAACTGATAAGGTCTTCTGTATCTTTATGGGCTTTGTTTGGCAGGCTAAGACCACGCGCAGGGATGTTTTCCCCACACACAGAATCCAACATCTCTTGCAAAGTCGAAGCGTCCTTGCAAAATAAAATGCCATTACTAAAGTTCAGTTGTAAGCTTCGGTTTCTCTGCGTTAGAAATAAAACTAACAAGGAACAACTTATATTAGTATACATGGTATCTACCATCCATTTACTTTAAATGCAAACTAGCCATCGAGCCAGTTTGACACTTTAAAATGTGGACGTTTGAGTAAAGAAGATGAACTGGCACGGATATGGGAAACATCAACAGAAATTGTTACGAGAGATCTGGAAACAAGCATAAATTATTTTTACTTATTATTCATTCAGAATATTTCACCGTTTCTAATTGGCCTTAATTCACCGGCTAATCCTTCATAACTGGCGCTGACGATGATATATTTCCAATACAGAATCATTGACGTCACGCAAATCAAAGGCTAGGCAGGCCTAGCTGTTTTGGTATTAGTGCAAACCTCGAGGAAATGGACGGTAAAATAATCTCGTTTAGTTTACACACTGTGGTGAACTTTGCTCGCGCTGTGATTGGTCGTTGCCCATGATCGATGAGAACAGATAAAAGATACACGGATGACGTCACGGGAAACTCGTTTTTCCAACATGGCGCGTGGGTTTGAAAATGTTTGCGAGATCACTTCAAAAAGTTTAGAAGGAGCTGTTTATATAGAGGATATTACATGGTGGCGCGAAGATATGAATTTTATTTTCGAGTGGCAAAACAATATTTTACGAACGAGCGCAGCGAGTGAGTAAAATATTGTTTTTGCCACGAGAAAATAAAATTCATATCTTCAAGCTGCCGTGTAATGTTCTTTTGATTATAAAGACAAAAAGACATCAATAAAATAATAGATTTTTATCCGCCAAAAAGTAATTTTCACGGCTCAAATTTACAGTACAGCGATATAAGACACTGTTTACAATAATCTTGAGAAATAACACTGAGCTGAATAGGGCTCAACAATGATAAAATATAAGCAAAGCTTTGAAAAATGTATAATTAAAATTCAAACGACGCAAGACTCCAACAAATTTTGGAGGAAAATTACCGAAATTACGTCATCGATAAACTCACGTGTGAGATTATGGAAAATAAACCACTCGGGTCCCGGATGTAGTTTTTATGAATTTTACGAGTGGTATATTTTCCAGTAAAACACTCGTGTCGATATAATAAAAAGTAAGAAAAACGGAGAAACGGGGACAAAAAGTCATAGTTCATGTTGTATTGAAATGGCCTGAACTGGAAGGAATCTTCTCAACAGTTACCATTGGCTGTCATCGCTACGAGACACTCGCGGTTTTAAAAATGAAGATCAGTACCACTTCTTTGTCCTTAATACATTTTGACGTCAAAGGTTGTTTATTACTAAACAAACGCACGGCTACATCGAATCTGGTCGTTAGATAATTCCTGAGGTGATTATAGAGTTGAGCGCGCACTGGTTGGTCTAAATTTGTGTCACTTGTCGCTATTATTAAGTATTCTAAATGATTTTAAATGAAAAGGAAATTCAGTTTTCTCGGCTGGCAATTTACTTTATTCATTTGCCTCGTCAGGCAAGTAAATGGTCAACAGATTGGAAAACCAGTGAACTACGTTGGAAAGGTTATCTACAGAAAACGATTCTGCATCAGGAATAAGTCGACGTCGGGGGGCACCTTAAGGAAAAAATTAGGGCCATTTATACGAGGAAAAATAAGACGTAAACTGTACCATTGATACGAGCATGTCTTAACTAAGACGAAAAAAGCGGTATATAAAATGGTTCGCGTCTCATTTCTGTCCTGGACTCAATTTCATGTGAATGTTGCCCGTAGCAAATTTTCAAACTCTCTTGATATTTTGCCGAAAGCCTTTCTCTTTTAAACACCTCCTAATCCATTAAACGCCCCCGCTTGGACCCCTAAAATTGAATAGACGCCAAGGGCGTTTATTAGGTCAGTTACGGTATACGAAGTTCTTCTCGTCTTGGTTCGTCTTAGCTAAGACGCGTTGAAATATGTCATTTACACCGGAAAATTGTTTGCGTCATATTTAAGACAAGTCTTATGTCAAACGTATAAATGGCCCTTTTATTGTCCTCTCGTGACAAGATTTCACCGACTGTGTCCGTACTCCACAACTGAACTGGCTGGTACTGATTGAACAACAGCGCTTTCCCTCGATTTCTTATTAAAACGTTCTCTACCCTCATAAATACTTTCTGAAATACTTAACTTACACCGACATTACAAATCATTTCAAGCCCAACCAATCAGATTCCTGGGCCATTGTCTTCAGCGCCCCCAGGGGGACCTTATTTCTAAATACGCTCTGTACCACCCGACACATGCTAAACCAAGACCTGATGGACAGAAAATTCTATTCCACGAATATGCTGCAAAGCTAATCAATCCAGAATATTCCCATTCCTTACAAAATTCGTACTTTGGCACAGGACCGCAAAGCCTGGAGGCGCATGGAAGTCGACTGTTGGCACCATTGGGAACCCCCATGTGCGCCTCAGCCGAGCAGAGCGAAAAATGAATAACTTAGCGTTACAGTAAAGATTTTCCCGTCGCCTCGCGTCCGACTACCACCCCATCCATCAACACAACGAATATCAAAGCACGAGGTCGCAGATTCAAGTCTACGAGTGCTAAGAAACTACATAAATCGTCCTAAGCTCGCCTTCTAGAAAGGAAATTGAAATGAGATTGAGATTGAGACCATTTCCTGTCCTTTCTCAGTAGAGCGTGTGTTCAGAAGAAATTATAGTTTCTTAGCACTCAAAAAATCACAATTTTTCTTTTTTTTTTTTACTCTGCTTCATGCGAAGGCTCCGCAGCTTACCCACAATAAACGAAACAAATTCAAGAATACGCAAAAATATAGATTGCTCGATGGATGTCATCTGCTTTTTGAGGAGTGCAGTAGTATAAGCAAGTAAGAACCTGCGTTTTTTGACCTAAACAGGTTCTTACATAAATGGTAATTAGCACAAATTCAGGCTATTTAAGTTCTTAAATACGTTCTTATTTTCTGAAGGAAAAAATGCAATTGTAGCTAAGATATCAGTGGTATTTTGCTTGTTCCTTATAAACAATCTGCATACCAAAACATGGCAGTTGGAGTTATTGCTCCCGCAGGGATTTCGCCCAGAAGGCGAAATCCCGAGGAGACACTCTAGTAACTCGCGCGTATATTAAGGAAAGGACTTACAGTTGAAATATACAGTCATACAGTCAATATAGAGCGTTTTCACATGACGTCACGGCGGCCATATTGCTGTTCCAAAACAATGAAACGGCGGCCATGTTGGTGTAGCCAGAAAATCCTCGGGGAGTTGAACTCTTTTCTCATGTAAATGTTTTCTTTTGTTCCAATAAATTAGCATAGATGCTGGCCACGTGAGTGAAAACGCTGTATAGAAAAAATCTCGATTCGCTTGAACAGGGGCTGCGAGGAATCGGTAGGTAATGATGACTTTTCCATTGTTTGCGCCCGCAAGTACGAAATGGTTAGGATGACGTAAAGACAGAACATCCCCAATGGACAGCTTAGGTAGATTTTGTGACATTTATTGTGCAGTCATACTTCGACACTCTTTTGCGTTACGTGTTATCAGTGACATTCTGTGGAGCAGTTGTTTCAGTGAAAGCTATGGACCAAACTTTTAACGACACTCTTTAAGCGCAGAAGAAGTTATAAGGTGCGTATAACTGTGTATATATAAACACTTGGAAAGTTTGCCAGACACGAGTTCTCAAATCTTTCAATGCAAACCTTGCCAGACACTCTTTCTCTCTCTTTGACCGGAATAAGACTCAGCAAGACGAGTGATCAACGGCTGGCTTCTCACTAGCAGAACGATGGACGATTACAGAAATTCTCCGACAATCAAATTCTGTGCTGACTTATTCCCTGCTCACAGATGTCCTTCCGCTATAACGTTTAAAATAAGACTAGAATGCGCGAGCGTGAATCAGATCAGATTGATCAAACGTCCTTTTCATTTCTAAGGCTTACTTTCCGGCAAATAAAATGAGCTGAATGTGAAAAGTGAAAGAGAAACAGTGAAAAATTGAACTTTTAATTAAATCTTTTCTTATGGTTTAGAATAAACTATTCTCGAAACTGAGAATGTTTTGACCAAAGCTGTGTAAATCAGTCGACCTGAAACTGTGCATGGAACCTTGCGTTTCCTGTATTTATCTCACCTATTGTATGGAATATATGTGAAAATCTTCCTTATGAATCGGTATCTTTTAAAGAGCTACACAACGAGCAAGAATGCTATTGACCGACAATATACAGAGCCGGGGCAGCTGTAGTGTCAACTATTACTAGTATATATAAGGCACCTTCTCCAAAGAGGATTCTGAATGTTGACTTATCAGTTCTTAGTAGAGAGTTTAAGCTCCACGTATACGGCGAGCGGCAAACGCCCGATTCAAGTTGAGAATTTCTCAAAATAGAAAATGAGCAGATAGAAACGGTTCAAAACAATTCGTACGGATAAAAAGTTGCTCGAAACTACTAAGTTATGTGTAGAAATAGGGAGTTTAAGATACTACGAAGGCGACGGCGGCAAAACGTCGCTTAAAAAGTAACTTCGCGATCTATGAAACTTTAGCGCGATTATCCCAACTCGGTCACTATGTTTTATGTAGGCGAACTCTCCTAGAGTTGAATTCTTTAGAAAAATATCCAAGTTTAAGAAGAGTAAGAGAGATTCGTCGTCGTTTGTTGAAGTTGTCGATAAAACGTGAAATTAGGCAATTCACGTCGTACCCTCGTGCAGTAACGGCAAAGAAATGTACAAAAAAGCGTGATGTCTGTGCAGAGTTGTTGTTTTGCTAATCTTAACCAATTTCTTTTTGACGTTCTCGTTGCCGTCGCCGTAGTGGCATCTTAAACTCCCTAATAATGAACAGTAAACGAAAAGTAAAGGGGAAAACTTGGTCACGTGACACAAAAAAAATCGCGTTTGCCGTTTGACGTAAACGTGAGGCTTAACCTTTCTATTTACTTAAGTGTACGTGTACAGACGTTCTTTTAATAGACTTTAGAAAATAAGACTCTGTTTCAAAATTTTAGGCTAAACAGGTTCTCGCAAAACACCTGTTCGTATTCTGAAACAGTGCCCAGAAACAGGCTGTTTCGAAGAAAGTCTACGAGGAGGTAGGGAAATTGTAAATCATTCATCGGCGCATATACATCCAGTAATAAGAAATTTAAGCGTTGAAAATTGCACACAAATTTCTAGGCTAACAGCAAACTGAGCTTTCTTTTCGTCAAAGCTAAACTTCTTCAGTGCGTGAGATCACTGCCCAAGTGCACTGATCTCAGGAGATTGTTCCAGAGTAATAATGATATGAAGTATTATGCAGATGTGGGAGGCTGTTAGTATTATCACCGAAGCCGATAACATTCTCTCCGATTTGCATAATTCTTCACATCAAGCGAAAGCCGAATTCTATGATTTTTTAAATATTTATTCAAAATATTGGTAAGTGCATGTACCATCGATTGTTTTGTTGTTAATTAACGTACAAAAACACCCTGCTTTCTAGCGGTTAGTTTATTTTGACTTTTTCAGTTGGAAATTAAATTTCGAAATTCTTGATCATTAAGCCCCGCGAAAATAAGTAACAGTAAGGTAGTTCTTACCAACATTTGTCGTGTAGTCTCTCCTTGGTCTCCTTCAAACTGTTTAACAATAAAAGGTATCCATTCCCTTAAACCGGAACATCCCTCCATCGTGGCAGCCTTTGACCAAAATAAAATAATAATAATAATAATAATAACAATAATAATAATAATAAGAAGAAGAAGAAGAAGAAGAAAAAGAAGAAGAATTTTATTCAACTTTAAAAATATGTACATAATTTACAGAAGTATTCGAACTAAGCATTAAGCACTACATAACATTAAGAATTATATAAATCATAAAAAATACAATCACTGTGTCAATAACGATTTCCTAAATACATTCCTTGTGGATCAATAACTCTTGCAGGCGGTCCAGAGTTTTAACTTAAGTCAATACAAAGGAGAATCCGTCTCTGATATTAAAAAGAAACAAGACGCTACGGAGCGTACACTTCGGCGTCGTGGTTGTGAAACTGATTAATTGTAAATGCGGAGGAAATAGTAAGAAATGAAATATGGTAAGAGTAAGGTGTAAATTTGTGAAATTATGCAATTTTCCAGGATATTCTGAAAAGAGCAACGTCCAAGAGGCCTACTCGCCAAAAACTAGCATTTCGGGGCAAATTGTCTCTGAGATATTAGCCCCTCTGATGACTCCATACAAATCCTTTCTCATTTGACTTGCTTCTAAACGTTTAGACCTAAGTCAAATATGAGGTTACTGGCGGTGAATAACAAGTCTAACAAAAGAAACAGTGAAAATGAATTTTCTATTTTTCTTGCATCAGGCTTCAAAAACAGCACAGCAGTCTCATGTACTGATTAAAGATATGTAAGGCATGGGTAAGGAGTCAATTACGTTGAGCATGCAATTGGCTAAAACAGATCAATGTTACGAGTTCGAATGTTTTGAGGATAATTATTCACTGACGATCAGCACGCAGGGATGTCGGATTAACACAAGGAAGTTTAATGCCAAAGGAACATAGTCTTTACGGAGCTTTAAAACACAGCATCCGACAAAACAAACTTGACTTGAACTTAACAGCCTCTGCCAATAATAACAAACTCTCACTTGAACTTCAGATATCTTACCATGGGCTTCGCCAACTTGTAAACACAGAATCTGAAAATCGAACTTCGTCACACTTGACTAAACACAGCACTCCAGACTCGTGGGAAAACACTTAGCTCGTCAAAAGAACTCGCTTGGAACTTGTATACCGTTTGACATAAGGTTCTAGAATATACTAAACAGGCGAATAGCAGTAGCTTTTAGACATAATATTTTATGATTTCAGTAACTCATGCAAATCTGCTGACTCATGCTGAAATGTAAAAATGCCCTAATTAATAATTCATGAATAATCCAAAAACGTAGAGAACGTTCGAGAAAGTCACGCAACGCATGAAAGCAATTTTACTAAGTAACACTCAACAAGGACAAAACGTCTTTGTGCAGCATTTTGTAACTTTAAATTCATCATAAAACAGTTCGAAAGGAGCGCTCACTCGTGAAATGTTTTTCAACACTCGAAGAGAAATTTCGTGTCTCTGCGCGGCCATGTAATATCCTCTATTTATTCCTCGAGTAAATTAAAGACTAAACTCGAAGTGATCTCAAGATATCACGAAGTAGTCCGGTCTCATTTCGTGAAATAGCCGAAACAAGCCGAAAAGTCACGAACTTGCGCGCCCAATCTTGTCCCGAAACTAGAGCATAATTTCATAGCTATTTTTCATGTCACGAACTACCTTTTCAAGTTCTGTGTTTACAAGTTGGCGGAAGCGGTAAGATATCTGAAGTTCAAGTGAGAGTTTGTTATTATTGGCAGAGGCTGTTTAGTTTTACTTAAGTTCGTGTCAAGTTTGTGTTGGCGGATGCTGTGTTTTAAAGTTCTGTAAAGAGCGCAATCGGCTAATCCCTCAACTTAGAGTCTCCCCTGATCTGACGGGTGACACAGGTGAGTCGGTTCAAACCCCGGGAAAGCCCAAATAATAATTCTTTCTTCCTCGAATAAGTTAAGGAATAAATCAAAGAAATCGAAGTGATCTCGAGATATCTCGAACTAATTCGGCTCTCACTTCGTCAAATAGCCAAACAAACCGAAAACCTACAGACCTTGCGTGTCCAATCTTGTCCCAAATTTGTCAACTTTGATACATTCCTGAGCGTCGCGAATCCTTTACTTCGCGCTCCGCCGAAGTAACAAGTTAAAAAGAATAAAAACTCGTATTCCTAAATTCCTAACTCTAATTCACGCAGGCTCTAAAATTTAGAGATCTGTATGGTAGATCTAAGTCGGCGAAGTCTAGCAGTCGTCTTCTGGATCTTGAGCCTGCCAAGCATAGTATCGCAGAGCGTACGATGGCGAAAGATACTTTAGCTCTTATCCAGGAAATTGCGCTTGAGTAACTTTCTCCCTTCTTATTTGCGATCATCTCCGGAAGTCTGCTGTGGTACTTAACACACTCATCCGCCATTCCACCTGTGGTCGTGAAAACTAGGGGAGTGTACCTTCCCTGTTCGATCTCCATTACTCTTTCTGCATGCTAAAGGATGTCATTCCAGTGGTTCTGTTGGTGAATATGCATCTCATTAAGGGGACTTAGATCATTTTTCCATGTGACCTGGCTGGGTACAGGGCAATTCCGATGGTCCATCGGTACCAATGGTAGGATTGGTACCAATAGAAAATGATGTCATTCCAATGGTTCTATCGGTGAATATGCACCATTGGAATGACATTCTTTTCTAAGAAAATAATCTAAGTCCCCTTAATGAAATGCATATTCACCAACAGAACCATTGGAATGACATCATTTTCTATTGGTACCAATCCCACCATTGTTACCAATCGACCATCGGAATTGCCCAGTACCCAGCCAGGCCACATGAGAAAATAATCTAAGTCCCCTTAATGAAATGCATATTCACCAACAGAACCATTGGAATGACATCATTTTCTATTGGTACCACTCCTACCATTGGTACGAATGGACATCCTTCTTATCACCACTAACACCAATGGAGTCTATTTGTGAGTATTGGACAACCCTAAACAGGCATCAGGGGCTTTGTTAGCGCCATGATTTAATATCTCCCCAGTGACCTCCTGAAGGACCGGCTCTACTTCCACATCATTACAGACCATCCTTAGCACCTCTGCTTCCAAGTCGCGCAGTTCGTTATGGCGCTGGATAATGAATCCGCCGCGCTGACATACCATTGCGTGATCTACGCTAAATTGAACACCTGATGTGCAGATCATGGGCGTGTCCGTTATTTCCCAGTCGTACCGTAACTTGATTGCATCTCTAAATTCCTTCTTATTCAGATTGTAATCCAGCTCTTTGAGGCGAATCAAGGTCAGCCAATTTGATGATCCCTTCTCTGTAGCTTACTCAACAGTTCGCTTAGCTTTTGTCGGCAGGGAGTTCTTCACCTGCTCCAGCCTCTCACTTAGACAGTCGTCTTTTCGTTTTCGTTTGCTCAGTTGCAGTGTTCGAATTTCGGAGGCATCTGGATGGTGGTGCTCTTGCTCAACAATTCGCCTCACGAGCGAATTAGTAACTTTTATTGAAGCCTCGTATTCAGAAGATGAGGTCACTACGGGATCTGTAAATCCAAGGCCTCCCATGCGCACAGGGAGAGCAAGGAGGTCGCGCTCTACTTTAGTGACTGTATGGTCAGTGACAGCTGGTATGAGAACCTCATTAACTCGCGCGCTCGAGTGGCTCAAGTAATTCTGAAATATCCGGTAATGTTCTTAGGAAATATGTCCAACGGTGCCGCAGACCAAAAGTGAAGGCTGCATAGCTGGCTTGAGGCAGTGATATGGCGAAATCTGCGAGTTTAGTAACTTCATTGACCCATTCGTCTACATTCTCCCCAACATATTCTTCAAGGAACAATCTAGATCCTAGAGCCACGCCTAAGTGCTCGTGGCCCTCTATGGCGACGTTAATAGCAGTGTCTCTAAACACCTCCCTGGCAGCCTGTTCTCGTTCCGGTTTGATGGTCAACCAACATTTCTTGGTATTAGGGAAGTAACCAAAAGGAGAGACCATCCCACCATTTCCTGACGTCTTGCAGGGAACCACTTCTGGTTGCGTCATCAGCAAACCAACACTGTTTTACTGCGCTTGAATGGTGCAGTCGCGTTATAAGTGGTTGAAAACTTATGGCGTATAGACTCCTGAACAGAGGGTCACCCTGTGTGGTGCCCTCTGCTGGTATTAGCTCTTCACCGCCTGGGGCTGACCCAATACGGGAATGTAAAAATACAGTGTTTGCATCGGAGTTGAGAAAAACGGCGTTTTGTGAAGTTAAGGTGGCCATAAGTGGAGCTTTCTGCTTACGAGAGTGTCCGTTACATAGACCATAATGCACCTCGTTTACACGCCAAAATTTTGAATAACCTTTGTTTTTTATTTCTCCTGGGTATTACAGTCGTCCCAAGAGAAATCAAAGACAATGGTTATGCAAAATTTTGAGGGCAAACAAGGCGCATTATGGTCTATGTGAAAATAGTGAATTATACATTTTTTACGCAAATGTAATGTGCGTTTGAACACGTCATAGAAAACAAACAATTTGTGATAAAGTGATAAAAAGGTCACCGTGGATACTTTGAGGGGTGTCTCAAATGCAAGTGGTGTGGCGCGTTTCGGTTAAACTGCAAGTGTCGGGGTTTTGCTATTTTCAGTTGCAATAAAAAGTTACAGAACAATTTGGACATTCAGCCAAAACAACAGTTGGATGCTCGTACATTGGGAGGAGCGCTGCTTGATGACACACAGAACGGCTGTGTGGGAGTCTACTACAACACTGACCCTAAGCCGGAAACCTCAAATTACCGGGTCCTCAGACCATTTCGACGACCGGTCAAAAGAAACCCTCTTTGGCCTGGTCAGCACATGAGAAGCTCGATTTGGGTGCAAACGCAGGGTAGGACGCCTCATTCAGGGAATAATATGTATGGAGATTAAGTCTAGAGTCAGGACTTGTGATAGTGCTGCATGGAACTCCATTTCCACAATAAAACATGGAATATCTCTGGCATTGCCACTGATGAAGCTCCCAAAGCTTCTCTCGCGGTTCTCGTTTTTAAGACGAACTCCTTTGCAGCATCAGCTTATACAGACAATGTGTAGTTACAGAAAAATATCCATTCACACTCCCCACCCCCCCCCCACCCCAACAGAGAGCAACGGAAATTCAGAGGGAAGGGGGGGCCAAACGGAGGCAATTCCGAGGGGGTAGGGAGGTGGCTTCTCGGGGTCTTTGTTCCGGGTCTCCGTGTAAGATTGGTGAGTTACTAACAGCTGTTCTGTTTATAGTCTCCTGGCTACCACTTATTCTACTGTTAATCAGTGTTTCACAGCAAAGTTATTGTTTTCATCTATGATCTTTTATTTGCGGTCGGCTGAGTGCTTTTTTCACGACTTGCACAGATAGTTCATGAAATACGATTGTCATCGGCTCATGAATAAACGTACGGTCATCTATCTGTTGCCTTGGTACACAATCGATACACTACTTATTTATTAACCTCGTCTGTTCGGTTATTACAGAGAAATCTCAGACCGAGGCCCTAGCCTTGATGTATTCACCGACGATAGCGAGGTAAAATACATCAAGGCCGAGGTCTGAAATTTCCCTGTAATGTCCGAACGGACAAGGTTAACAAGTTACGGCACATGACAAAAGGGCCCGCCGCTTATTCTTGGTCAGCGGCACTCTTTTAACTGTATAGCGAGATTTTTCCCGAATCTGTCGACATTCTTGGAATGCCGTGTTGTACCGACTACTATGCATGGTATGTGACCGTGAGGGCCCTGGTGTTGAGTGTAAGGTTCGTCCTGATGTCACGGAAATCACGTGAATGCACATTCAAGTGATGCAACAATCATTTAACAATCACAGTGAATAAAATTTGTACTGATTCTGCTCGTAGCCAATCAGGAGTACGAAGGACAAAATTTCACCGTGAAAAACTATCGTTCGTCCATACAGCAACGCGGAAGACGAAATTTCACTGATTATGAATGAACGTAATGACGAGAACGTCATCCGAGAGCCGTTGCATAAACACCCGCGCGCTTTCAAAAAAGGCCGAGGGAAGGTTTACTTCTGTTTGCTAGGTTGAATCATTTATTTTGGAACACGAAAACAAAATTCTGCTCAAAAAACTGAAGGAGGTGTAAGATTGCTTGAAAGATTTTTGAAAATGAAGGACGAAGACTGGAAAATTGAAGATATTCCAGCAGCTGAGCTGAATGAATACATCAGCGAATTTATCATCTCTGTCCGCACTAACTTGATAGCAACGAGTACAAGCCGACTCCGCTTCGAAGTTTAATGACCACATTCGAACGACAGTTGAAGAAAAAGGGCTATTCTGCCAGCATAATCAACGACTTGGTCTTCGAGAAATCCAAGCGAAAAAAGCTGAAGAAGCAAGGAAAAGGAAATAAACCTAAAGCATCGGTAGCTTTGACAAGCGAAGAGTTAAAAATATTGTACGAGAAGGGGTTGCTCGGTATGTGTAGTCCTGAGGCACTTTTAAACAAGCTCTGGCTGTTTTTACAAGCTTTCATTGACTACTTTTTACACTCTTGATCGCCCCATTTTTGCAATTTGTCTACTAAGAAATTACACGAAAAAAATCTCAGTACCATGGTCTATTATGAACCTGAGCCCACGATCAGCTAAAACCAACAACTGGTCAACAATAACTAAGAAGACCAGTAGGTACTTCATATATGATTCCTATAGTGTACCGAGATATAGATTCTTATAGTGTACTTGGCCTACTTAACTTACTTGGGGTCTTTGAGTACTATAAGAATCTATATCTCGGTACACTATAGGAACTGAAGTTTAGTACCTACCGAAAGACCTCTACAAGGCAAAATTGAGATTATTAGATACTGTATTAACATTAATGAGAAGATTATTTCTCTCTTTATCGCGAAAGCAATTATCTTTCACATAAAAGTATAGCACATGTACATTTTTGACGGGAATTTTGTTTCCTGGGGAAAATTGGGGAAATTCCGGGGGGGTATGGATATTCTTTGGAACTACACAATGTCTGTTCTCTGCTTAATGGCCATTCAAAACACCTAGTATTTGATTTACGTACAGCAAGTCATTTTTCATTTTTTCTTCGTCTTTTCTGTCTTTCTTTCTTCCTGTTTTTTTTTTTTTTGGGGGAAGGTGGAGGAGTCATCTCAATTCATACGGGATACAAGGAGGGACCACCCAAAAAAAATTCTAATAAGGAGGGGGTCATCATATGCTACAGGAGCTACTCGTCAATTCCCACTAGCCCTCTGAGACATAAAATGTGAACGGTCCCTAAGTGACAATAACCAGTGGCAGTAAACAGCTGGCAGAGATCCATTTCAGGGTTAGCCTGCGTAGCAAGCGTTTCTGTACGGTTTACGAGAAAAGACCGAGGAACGAGAGTCAAAGACCGCGAGAAAAGTGGCGGAAGTAAAAGAGCACTTTTTGGCTCTCGTTTCGTTTCTCGCGCGGTCAAAACTGAAAGTCCCCTTCCTCGGTATTTCTTTGCTCCGAAACTAAACGGAAACGCTTGCTACGCAGGCTATTTCAGGGTCAAAGATCGGAACTAATTCATCTTGGAGGTGTTCCTTCGGGTAAAACGGAATTCACTGTAACTGTCACTTGACTTCTGGTAAGATGTATCACACTGAGCTTCGCGGAACGTTTTTACTTTATGTGCACTTTTAACAAGACCCTAGAAATTGTTTCAATTTAGCTTCTGTCAACTTTTGTTCAACGTTTGGTTCACCCATCATAACTGAAATATGTTTCGAAAGAGCGTGTTGAAACAAATGTACTCTGCTTGTTTGAATTTAATTCAACATTTATTGCTTAGACATGGGTTCAACTTTTGCCAAATGAATGTTGGGAAAAGGTTGAAACTGTTGAACGGATAGGCATTGATCATCCTGTCTCAATCTCAGCGTAGCTCAGCGTGATGTTGAATTCATATATACCCGGCAATCGACCGCAACTTCTTTAGAAGTCGTGTTCTCCTCAAACATTTAACTGGATCAGATAAAACCTATGCGATGAAGACGAAAGATTGCAAATTTCAATTTAGCCTGTACACACACGTTGTTTTATTTTTGTTTTCGTTCTTTTCGAATTATGCTGGCGGTCCGTGGAAAATCCCCCGCGGTTATTATTTTTTATCACGCGCCCTTGACGGACTTGGAAGAGAAAATAGAGGGTCTGTGAACAGGCTAATTTCAATTTTTAGATCATTATATTTTTTTCATTTGTTAATTACTTTAAACAGGACCAGATGATTATAGTCCATAAAATTCCCACTGTGAAAATTATGTTCAGTTACCTGATGTAGGGTGCGAGTTAAATCACTGGCCTTGCTGCTGACATCGAAATCATGAAATACATTCATCAAATGCGGGAACTTTACTGTACAAAATTAAAATAATAATTGCTGGTAAATAGAATAAGTGTGCTTCAGTGAGAGAATTAGAAATCAGACAAGAATTCAAATAGCACAAGAAGTTCAACAAAGAAGACAAAGGCATTAACTTTTTACTGAATATACTTAAAAGAGAAGAAACCTAGGGAGGATGATGAATTGACGTTTGTTAAAAAAATTTCCAAAAAACTTTAGGCTATGTTCACTCTTACAACTGGAACAAGTCATTTACACACTTTGAACATCTTGCCAGAGTGGTTGGCCGAGAGACAGTGAACTGTGGAAACAACGGTAATGATTGCCGCTTTCACATTGGGTGCACTCGAGTTCGGGGCCGACTACTTACAAACAGTGTTTATAGAGTGAACGAGAGCCTCAATTGCACATCGGAGTGCTCACAAAAACCCACCACTACATTTTGTATATCCATGAGTTAAAAATTAATCAATAAATAAACCACTATTAGAAAAACATTTTATTTTCGGTACAATAGAGAAATCGTGAGGTTGTCGCAAGTGTCGTTACTGTTTGCTGTTGTATGTTCAAGGGCAAACCCGGGCCGGCAGAAGAGCTTTGAAGATTCCATCTTGTTTGTACTACATGTACATTTGTTGTCTGTGCAAGAGCCCCTTAGTGTGATGCATATGTTCTTTGGTGCCCTAAGAATGTCTGCATACATGTACGAGGCTAAGGACTAGTTAGCCCATCTAGGACGATACTTGTTACCACCACTACATTTTGTATATCCATGAGTACCAGTGCAAAAAAAAAAAAAGAGACAAATAAAAAACACAGCAGCAAGTGTCTGCCTCAATCTCTATATGCGCAATAACTTGCAAGGATGCCACAATTTACTCTCAGATTAAAAGGTAAGATTTTACCTTTGATGTCCCTTACAAGCTTGATCACGATCGGTGCTTCATGACTAATTAATCGATTGAAAGGAAAAGCTTCAGCCAATGTCTTCAGCAATATCCAAAGGCCGTCTTTCACTGTAGCGGCTGAACTACAACCATTTTCCAGTCTATGAAGGTTCGAAAAATACATTTGTAGAAAAAAGTAATGAAACATGCTGGAGGGAAGTTTAGTTCTCTTGTGACTACACTTCCGCCCATGAGCCCCCCCAGTTATAGGCCCATCAACTGTAAATGAAAAACACGTCCAATTATAAGCCCCCCGCATATTAAAGCCCCATTCTAATTCTGTTCCAATAATTATTGTATTAGAATCAGTTTGATTTATCATGACGTTTTGAAGCTTTTCTTGAACACCGCTTAATGCAAAATGTATTTTGATCAGCACTACTACAATTTATTTCGAAGCGCTTTTTCTATTCCGGTTATAAGCCCCCCACCACCACCTTCCCCCGACTGTAAGCCCTAAAACCCCTTCCGAAGATGTAAAAGCCCACAGCAGGAGCCCATAACCCGGAGCGTGCAACTGCCATAAATTTCGTGTAACGGCGTTTTCACAAGTAAGTTTATTTTTAGATAAGCTTTTCCCGCGAAAAATGACTGTTGTCGCTTGGACCTTTTCACAGTCGGCTGTTTCGGAGATGATTTCGATTTCCCTTACCGTGAATTATGAGTTGTCACCGATGAAGTAGACGTCCCGGGCTCCTCTACGTTTTGCAGATCTTCCTCTGAACTGCTAGTTTCCGTGTAAATACTGAAATTGTCGCTTGAAGCACTGTCAGAAGAATCCTCTGAAGATTCCTCACGTGCGTCCGCCATGCTTTTTTTTTCAGTGTGAAGGAGTTGTCCTGGTTACGTATTAAAAGTTTATAATTGATGACGCACTTGCTTGTTATTGGCTTTTCGATAGCAATTCGCGGGAAAGGCTTATCTAAAAATAAACCTACTTGTCAAAACGCCGTTGCATAGGCGCAGTATGGAAGTTAGACGCTCCGGGTTATGGGCTCCTGCCCACAGCTTATGAGCAGCAGTTTACGGTATTTCAGTTAACACTGCTAAAGTAACTACTTGGGGAAAGTCCTTAGTCCTCCTACACTTTTTGCATTTTATTTCCTGGCTGTCTACACTGCATGATATTGATGGTCTTGGTATATATCTCAATAAAGTACAAAGAACTGTCCATAAATTAATTTTTTTGCCTAATTGGGACATGTTTTCACAGGAAGAATTGTGTCAGGATGTCACATTATGGGGGCTGCTACTGAATCTTGGCTTCGGCATTTTACTAAGGGCATTTTCTTATGTTCATGGGTTTAATAAGGCAGAAACACACACGAAAATGTGCAGGAAAAACAGTTACAGTGTAAGTTCCCTTTATATTACAGCTGGGTTTGTTTGGCCTTGCCCCCTTTTTAGCCCAAAGACTGGCCCCTCGGTGTTTACTTTATCTGAAGAAAAATATGAATGACAAATGCCTCGCCGATGTTTAGACGGGTTGTGGGGCATTACTTGGCGGAAATAAATTATACACACTATTCTTCTAATTATCTATGGGCTCTTTTAAAGGGTTCCTACCGACAAGATCCTTTCTCACACTCCTTTTCTCAAACCACCCTCACACTCGCATCTCCTTCTCGCTCCATTTTTCGCGCGGTCTTTGACTCTCGTTCCTCGTTCTTTGTTCCGAAACCCACGGAAACGCTTGCTACGCAAGCTACTTACAGGAGCCACTGATGGGCTTCTGTCAATTACAAGGGGTGGATCTCGGATTCCTTTTTTCTTGAAGGAGATTAAGGTATGTATTGTTCCTTTTCTGTGGCCAAAACGTAGTATTCGAGGCACGAGAGAGGCTCTGTTCACTGGCTAATAAACACATCCACTATCTAACATACATTGATCTGACAAGAAGTCTGAAAGAAGTCTTTGATTGATCTGTTTCTAAGAAACACGCAAGGAAGCTTGAGCTTAGTCAGTACACTATTGAAAGATCATGATGCAAACATCATGCATCAAACCCATGCATCAAACCTAGCGAATTAATACGATTTTCAACTTTCTTTCTACATTTTTTCTTTTTAAATGGTCACTCCCGCATTGTCATTCTAAAAAATTGTAAAATAAAGCACTCTATTTGAAAAAAAAATTTTTTTGAAGATTAAAAGTTTGAGAAATACCCAGTTTTTCAAAATGCTCAAATGCAGTCTCAGGCAACCTATTAAATTCTCCCCACCCCAGAGACTTGCGCCTTTGGCATCGTTCGGTCCGTCTCCTCGTTGGATAGCACCTCCCCGTAAAAAATCTTGGCTACGGGCTTGAAATGGAGGGCTGGCTCGCTAGCTAATGCTGAGATTTCAATAACAAGAACTGCCTGCCACACGAACAGAGGGTTTTCTACATGTAGTTCTGTCATAGCGGTTTTTGGTATGCTCTTTATACACCTGATGATGATGTGAGCTACACTGAAACATACCTTGTACCTTTGTGTTTGCAAATTAATTTGTAAGAGAGTTGTCATTTCCTTGATGGAGGGTTTCAACAAGGCAACTACTGGGATTGGATATACTATGAGCCAGCAAGAATGCGACGTTTAGAAATTAGCCAAAAAGATATACACCAGAGATTCCAAAGAATTTCTACCGGGACTCCTTTGGAATGCTGCCTAGGGCCCGGAAATGAAATTGAAGGTATTGGTGGCAATCTTGTAAAACGCGGGGGAGGGGGGCGATTTTTGGTGGGAATGTACCACTGGCACCCCAGAACTCTTAGCCTATACCAGACCTTGTTTAGGTAAATTTTGCATCTTTGAGCAAACTCTCCTGGGTCACGTAGGGAAAGCATTAATTTACTTATGACTAAAAATCAAAATACAGGTTTCATAGTGTTGAGTCACAATACCTTGCAATGCACCCATTAATTGGATTACGTGTCCCAGCTGTACATAGACAGATCTCCTCTTGATTTCTTAATAGCTTCTCAACCAAGTCATTCATTCCTGACCACACTTCCTCAAAAACGGGAGCTATGCAACTCCTTTGAAAGTTGAGAAAGGAGTCATGAGTGACCTCCAAGTTGACAGCCTCACATAGGGATTTGATTTTGAGGTAGTTATTACCACAGATGAGGACAATAGATGCTAAAACTGCCTCTTCTATAGAAAGTTGAGCCAGGGTTGTCATCTTTTGCTTGGTAGCATCTATCTTTTGCATGACAGTCTGTTTATCCCAACGTTCAACTTGTTTTGATTTACGAGATGTCTCTTTTTCGATGTTGCTCGGAAGACTCTTTTCACCTTGAAAACCATCAGAAGACTGACAATTGATCATTTGACCACCACCACGATTCACCTCATTACCTTCAAGACTGTAACCAAATAATATAGTGTTATTACATGATTCCCACTTGTACATCTCGGCCACCCAATATTCCACCGCACTAAGTGGTCTGTGTGCAATGCAAATTCTGACAAATGTATAAATCTTGCTTTGCGAGACAGTGCTTTGGGTTTTAAAAGATAAAGTAGGACTTTTTTATCATAATACTATTGTAGCTATCTGGCGTTACAGGGCTCACTTTTTATTGAACTCTAACTCGTCAAACTCGCGTAGGTTCTATATGAGTAAAATGGCTGTCCAGTTTGCTGCCGAAAAAACGAGTAAATTTCTCAAATAAAAAAGAAAACTGTTCCTGACAACACGAAGAAGGCGACAAAATTTGGTCTGTCAGTTTTTACAGGTAAGAGCTTTGCCTGTTTAACCTGCATTTAACGATGAAACCAGTGAAAAAGTTTTTTGTCTACAAATGCAAATTTCAAGTCTTGCTTTACTTTATTTAGCTCGGCAAGGAAACGTGACGACCTTCAGTCATTTACACCCCAAAATGGTAATCGTTGACAGCAATAAACCGGTTAAAAATCATCGTTTTTAACTAAATTATCTCACTGTTTTAGTACTGTACTAAAACTATTATTCACCTCAGTGGCGGTGGATAGTGGTGGAAATTAATCACACCGCTTCGCGCAGCCACCTCATTAATTCAGTGAATAATATACCCAGCAACTTGCAATCTTTGTGACGTCCCTGACTGAGGAACAAGAAGACCTCTGCAAGATTTCCATTGGGGAAAATTTCATCCTAGCAAGAGATATTCCCAGTAAATCATATTTTTACCAACACGGCTTTTGATCCAGGCTTTAAACCTCTTGAGGTTGCACCAAACTTATAAGCTGGGCATCCTGAATTCAAAGAACTTTTAAGCTCCCTACAATAATATTATTTGTCCAGGAGCATCGGCCTTGTAGTGATTGTATATTGGGTTGCCTGTGCTTGTAATGCATTGTGGGCGAGTGTGAGAAAACAGTATGGCGGAATGAAACTTGTCTTGTTTCCTGAGTGTATAATCCACCCCCATCGAGGACTGGTCTGGCGTTCAGACATTACAATGGCGACGAGGATCAAGTTAACGAGATTTCCTGGCGGCATGGTGCGAAATAATTTCCAACCGATGAATATTTTGGGATCAAAATACAGGGCTGTCAACTCTCCCAGATAATCCGAGAGACTACAGATTTTGGACCGTATCTCCCGGACTCTACCCTGGGTGCCAGAGACTTTTCTAGCGCGGTTTCCGGTTTCTGTCAAGTCTTTATAGTGCCGAAGATGTGTCGGCCTTCGGCCAACACCGAAAATTCCCGCCGCACGCGAGAAAAACCTCTGGTACCCAGGGTACCCGGACAATAAAATTTCAAATATTTTGCGTTGTTTTAGCTATTTAACTGTTAACACCAAACTTTTTCTCAAAAACCTCCGGTATGCCATTGTAATATAAGCAATAATGTGATTGGTAGGAAGTAAACCAATCAGGTCAAATGTTACAATGCCAACAACATCTTTTTCGCGCATTTTATGTGATGGCAAATTCGTGATGACCGGAGTCAACGAGTATCTTTTTGGCGCAAATGGCGTCATTTGTTGAACGTTATGACGTCATCTATCATCCCTTCCCTATCAATTCTCAATATTTAAGGACGTGGGGGGTTGACAGCCCTGAAATAGGAATTGAGCGAGCAATGGCATGTGTGGCTGTGAGGATTCAAATTTTTCGCTCAAGGTGAAAACAAACCTACAAAATCCCGCGAGAAAGAGGAGCGAATTACTTTAGCGGGTCGGCTCTGGAGTGCAGGATATTTTTGAGAATCTTACAATTGTTCTCGTGGAAGGTCAAGCCGATGACGTTTATCGACAAACCGTTCGAGCCCTGAACGCATACTTTCATGTGCAAGAAAATGCAGCTTACGAAAGGCACGTTCTTCGCCAAATACATCAAGAACCCGAGGAAGACGTGTGAAGATTTGGACTCGTTGGCGCTTCGACTAAGGAAGCAAGCGAGACACTGGCTATGAAGTTGAGGAGCTCGAATTTGCAGTAAGAGACCAGCTGCTAGAGCCGTTAGCTTCTATTCGGAAAGAATCGTCCCAAGAGTAACGGACCAAGCTATTTGAGGTTCCTAACTTAAGCTTGCAGCAGCCTTGACTACAGCCAGAGAGTGGGAAACAGAAGCGCCGTCAGACAAGCAAAATTGCAGGGGGAGAGGAAAAAAGCAGCGTGAATTTGGTGCAGCCCAGATCAGGCAAATAAAAGCCAAGTGGGAAAAGGAAAATTGTGTACTAAGTGTAGCAAGAGAGGGCACTGGGCATCGTGTTGCCGGAATGAGGCCGATGGAAAAGAGAAAGTGGGTAAGAGTGATGGAAGAGTAAGTGGGAGTAATGATTGGCGATCCTGTAGTGCTGCCAGTACGTAGTGGACGTAATTTAAAACCTAGGGGCCAACAAATTAATCAAGTGGACTACGGCAGTGAAGAAGAGCCAATTGCCTTTCCAATTAACTACAATGGGGAAAGGGCCTGTGAAGAAAACGTTATTTCAGTGAAGATTACTGGCACCAAGACAAGTATGCTCGTTTACTCTGGAGTACAGTCCACCGTGAGTGGCCTCAGAGGAAATTTAATACCAGAAGAGAGGAACCTTCGTGTCTATCAGTATGGCAATGGGTGTTTAACAAGGTGGTCGGTAAATTTGAAGCTACAATTGAGTGTCTTGGGCAAAAAGTAGTGGAAACTGTTCTCGTAACACAGGGAGAAGGGCGGTGATGGCTTGGTAGCCCAGCTGCTAAAAGGCTATAAGTGCTGAAAGTTGGACAAGAACCGGTGAATATAACGGCAGTTTATTCCATAGGCAGTGATATCAACGGTATTGTGGGGCTTTTCCCAAAGGTGTGTTCTCTGGGGTTGGCAAGTTGTCAAGGGTCACCAGTAGGGTTCTTCAATGCTGTAATCCCGACCCAAAATTTTCTTGCAATCCCGTAATCCCGAGGGTTATTTTTGGTATCCCACCTCCCAAGCATACTTTCAATCCCCAAACTCACCCGATTTTGCTTTCAAATCCCGAATCCTGAGCATCAAATAAGGGAAATCCTGGGTCCCGAAAAAACTTACTTGGAACCCTCGTTGTCCGGTTGCGAGCTTAAGTTGCCCATCAATCGTGAAGTTATACCATCACCACAGAAACCGAGGCGGATCCTTACCCTTTGAAAGATAAAGTTCAGACAAAGATTGACGAGCTTCTTAACCTTGACATCATTGAGAAGGTTTCAGGCCCAACAACCTGGGTCAGCCCAGCTGTGATAGCTCCTGAGCCAAACAAGGATGATGTGTATATATGCGTCGACATGAGGCATGCCAACGAGGCAATTGAAAGGGAGAAATTGCCGATTCCTACGGTGGATGAGGTGCCGGAGGAAATGAATGGAAGCGCGGTTTTCTCCAAGCTCGAAATGAACATGAGGATACATCAAATTGAGTTTGAGAAGGGGTCGAGGGATATCATAATATTTTCAGCTGGTAATTCTTTGTATCGTTACAAGAGGTTAAGTTTTGGTGCGAACAGTGCTCTGAACAGTATCAGAACATTATTAGGCACACAATCGCTAATTGCCCCTGTGCCACCAACATAGCTGATGACATTGTTGTGCACGGACGGACAACTGAGGAGCATGACAGAAATCTGGTGACATTGCCACAGAGCGATTACACGAAAGAAACCTAACCATTAACAAGGACAAGCGCAAGATTGGAATGAATCAAACTGTTTTCATGGGACTGCTTCGAAGTGAACTGTTGTATGGAAGTAGAATCCAAACCAAGAGACCAGGATACTGAACGGAAACAGAGAAGTGCTAAAGATGCAAACAAAGGAACTATGGGGTCTGATGTGTCGGACGGAGACAAGGTGCTACTGATGAGGCAGAAAGAGAACAAGTTGTCTGCAACGTATGATCCAGAGCCATGCAGTAAGTTTCTAAGAGAGGAGATCTGGTGGTCCTTGAGCGAGGCGAAACCCTACTTAAGAGGAACGCAGGCCATGTGAAAAGGTTCATCCGACCCGCACCAAGGGAATCTCAGCAACAGCGAGAACCAACACAGCAACTGGAGCAGAGACCACCAATGGAACCAGTTATCCTTACTGACCCTGAACCCAGAGTCATTCCAGCAGAATGGCCTGCGTCTGAGCCCACTGCTGAGCCCAGCTTACCGCAGCCTAGTGCTAAGATGCCAGAACAGGCCGTTGAGCCTCAAAGGTCAACCCATGAGAGCCAAGCCAAGCTGGCTTAAAGACTATGTCACATGAAAGATTGAGCCAAAGTGGCTTATTAGGCTACGCTGCTTAAGAGACTAGTTGATTTTGATATAAGGACTTTAATAACTTTTTTTACCAAGGGCATTTTGATGAGAACTAACTACTCGTTGGACTCTTCGAACATACAATCCTGGCCAAAAGGTTTTGGGACACCACCCGTTTTTCACGTGTTTTGCTATGGAATTTACAGCTAACCTGCGTTACACACTCATAAACACAGCCTTAACAAGATTTTCCCTCACCTCCTGCCGCTGAACAAAGTTGAGGTCCTTAGCGTATGCAAAATATGTAAAAAGTGTTTGACTTGTAACACCCAACACGGTTCAGGGGAGGGGGTGTCAACTTGAATTACATTTTTCTCACCTGAAACACAAATTGTCCCAAACGTTTTGACCAGGATTGTAGCTTTATTAACACTCCTTATAGGACTGTTACAGTTCTGGCTTAGAGTTTATTTGTTAGGGCCTTTCATTATGTGTACTGTTTCATTTCAAACGGGCAGATGTGGTGATTGTATATTGGGTTGCTTGTGCTTGTAATGCATGGTGGGAGAGTGTGAGAATACAATATGGCGGAATGAAACTTGTCTTGTTTCCTGAGTGTATAATCCACCCCTATCGAGGACTGGTCTGGCGTTCAGACATTACAAGCCTCATGATAAACGCTCTTCAGTACCAGTGGAATTTATAACAGAACAAGGTATTCTGGTATCCCTACCAGATTAACTGCAGACAATCATTTTTTCTTCAGTGTTTTTATGGTTGAAAAATTAAATTAAATGCAATTGTTTAATTTTTTAACTTACTGTGGAATAAATAATAGTCTGGAACTCTGAATTAATTACTAATTTACCCAGTTTTGACATGGGAACAGTAGCTTAAACTGACTAACCTTATCTGCAACAGTCGTGCTGCAAATTCACTGTCTGTCTTCTCTTTAAATCCGAATTTCTCTTTATACCGTTTCCAGGAGTTAAACACACGTCCTTCTAGGCGAATAAACTTTGGAGCAGAGGCAGTCATGTTGCAAGACACTTGTCACCTAACAACAAAATTATTGTTATTACTAATAATTTAATAAATTATACAAAATTACTGATTAGCACTAGACGGCCCATCATCATATATGACAGAGACCTAACTAATTAACTTACTAATTAACTAACTTGAAATTCTGACTAACTAATACCACCAGCTAAAAATTAACAGGCAAAAGGATAGATCCACTAGCTTTACTACAAACTCTACCAGTCCCTGGCTACCATAAAAAAAAACAGGAAACAAAAAAAAAGTAATAATAAGATGCATCATGAACTTCTCGTATAAATGGCATAAAAAATGTGTTCGTGTCTTAAAGAAGAGGCGATGTCTCAGCTAAGGCACTCTTTACATGCTCGTATAAACGGTCATTAGACGTGTCTTATGTAAGCCGTGTACGTCAAAAAACACTTTGCAGATCATATTTCTTAGCTTACTACCTGGCGCGAAACTGAAAACGCTGACCACAGAGTGACTGCCCCGCATATTCCCCGGTCAGGGAGGTGAAGACCATGATTTCTAGCAAATTCCCCTCCTACCGGAAAGGGGAACAAAAATGGAGTGATTATGAAGTGAAAGTCCCTGCATTACTCCAGTCATACCCAAAGGGGGGTGGGGGGTTCCGGGAGTTTCAAATGAATGGTGCATAATTCCAAACACATTAAATTGAAAATGTGCCCGCGCCTATACCTAATGGACATCAATCTATTAAGGCCGGGCCAGACCAGCCTCAGCAGACACGAGGCGCGGGCTTTTTAAGTTGTTTTGCAGCAAACATCTTAACACTTGAATATTTCAGAAGTGATCTATTAAATGGGAACGGTCATTTCAGCCATTTGCCAATCGGTAAAATGGCTAGTGTAACCGCACCTAATATGAAGGGAATCTATTTCGTGATGCAGTGAAGCGATAAATCGCTGACATTCGTAGGGTTCGTCACGCGTTCCTGCCCCACAAACGTCTGCTGAATCGAGCGGTAAAAAACGAAGACCAATCACAGCAAACTTCCAGATCAAGGAAATGCACTTTAGACATTGACAAATTTCGCGCGAGACTCAGCTCTAGAAAAGATCAGAAAGGCCTCGAAAGGTGAAGACCTTATGTATTTAACTCACACGCCTTCGTACTAGAGACTCTCACTGAAAAAATTGCCTCGGAGGTTTATAGAGGATATTACACGGTGGCGAGAAGATATGAATTTTATGTTCGAGTGGCAAGAACAATATCTCACGAGTGAGCGAAGCGAACGAGTGAGATATTGTTTTTGCCACGAGAACATAACATTCATATCTTCGAGCCAACGTGTAATGTTCTTTTTATCATATGGAGAAACCATTTCAACAAAAGCAAAAGGCGGGAATCGAGACGTCATTGAACGATACGACACTCACAAAGGTGACATACGGAAAATACGCCACTCGGGTCCCGGATGAAGTGGCGTATGGAATCTACGAGTGGTTTAGTTCCCAGTAAAACACTCTCCTCCATATAATAAAATTTCATATCAAACTCATTGCCACATTTGCCCTATGTGATATCGGATAACGCCGACATCCGGTGAACACTCTATGAAAGACCTCTAAAAATACACAATTTTGGTCAGAATTATGTCGTTCTATCCCAAAGTATCATTTCTTTCCACCACCGAAAATAGGTTGAAAAATATGTAATCTAATATCAGGGAGTTTACGCAACGACGACGGCGATGGCTACGAAATCGCGTCTTATTCCCAAATGTTGGCAAATTGTTTTGGAGTTGAATTCTAAAGGACTGCATCAAAGTTCAGGGAAAGAAAGAGAAAGTTGTTGTCTTTTGTTCCAGTCCTCGACAAAATGTGAAATTAGGCAGTTTCACGTTGTAGTCGTCCACCGACGGCAAAAAAATGTACAACAAAGGGTGATGCACGTCCAAAGTTGTTGTTTTGCTAGTATCAGCTTATTGATTTTTTGCCGTTCTCGTTGTCGTCGACGTCATCGTTGCGTAAACTTCCCATTGATAACAACCGGGGTTTATTTGGCCGCGATTTAGACATGTATGGTAGCCCGCCAACGCCATAGCAATTTTGTACCTTTATAATTCTAACTTTGAAACCTCCTGGGTAGCATATACCTGATCATTACAATAACCTAGTAATGTCCAGGAGTAGATTCAGGGGAAGAGCCCGGGAGGACCACCCCCCCCCTTGTTTTCAGACCAAGCTGAGGTCCGGATGGCCGACAAAATTTTTTTGGAGGTCGGCGCCCCTCCCGCTATCTTATGTTCTGGACGACAGGGCCCTCCCCTTATCGCAAGGTATGGATCCGTCAGTGATGTCCAATATAATTCTAACTTCTCCTGGATGTCAATGTCCATTGCATTTATGATTATTGTTGTTTAACGTTTTTCAAGTGAGTTTTTTAGTTCGTTATGTAGCTGACGTGGTTTGCATTTGAGCATACTTAATCAGTGATTTAATGTCGACCGTGAAGGACAGTGAATGGTAATACCTTTGGAGATTGTTGCTTTCCTATTGTCTTTCTTTCCAATCACATTACAGGTTTTGCCCTCCTCTTGTTACAAACAATCAACTATTTATCACACATTAACTTAATGAATGCCTTTGTTTTGTCATTAGCATTTTTTCTTCCTTTGATCTTTGGAGTCTATCAGTAATGGAGTCTGTCAGTAATACAAAGCGAAAACGTTCGCTCGAGCAAAAGTTAAACAGCGAGCGAAATGATTATTACAAGAAGCTAAGAAAAGAGCAAAAGAAGAAGAGGAAAAAGCGAAGGGATGGTTCAGAAAAGCAACTAGAAGCACCAGCAATCAAAAGAAACACAGAAAGACAGAAAGAAACACAGCTACCAGAGGCAGCAAGGAACGAACCAAAAAAGGTCGAATTAGCAGAGCGATCAAAGACTGTCACAGCAACAAACGAGACAAGGAAGGACGAACCACAGGTAGCCCAAGCTCACTATGAGAGCCGTGGACAACATTATCTGCATTATCCTACTTAGCTAATTAATTATTCATACAGCAAGAAAATTATAAGACGTTGTATCGAGAAATATTCTTTGCTCACTAAATTAGCAAAATGTACATTGAATATCGCTTTGAAGCTTACCTTTAGCGTCTTCTTGGTTTTCTTTGTATTCTGACTGCATTTCAGACCTCCTAGGCACTGTTTAAGGCCTTTTTTGGAGCGACAGTTTTTCACCTGTCATCTGGGTGAAAAACTGTCCCTCCAAAAAAGGCCTTAAACAGTGCCTAGGAGGTCTGAAATGCAGTCAGAATACAAAGAAAACCAAGAAGACGCTAAAGGTAAGCTTCAAAGCGATATTCAATGTACATTTTGCTAATTTAGTGAGCAAAGAATATTTCTCGATACAACGTCTTATAATTTTCTTGCTGTATGAATAATTAATTAGCTAAGTAGGACAATCTTGCATGTTCACGGCTCTCATAGTGAGCTTGGGCTACCTGTGGACGAACTAGCACAACGACCAGAGACAGCAAGCAAGGAAGTGAAGAAAAATGAAGCAGTAAACTACTGGCCTCGTCAGTTAATTGTATGAAAAGATGAGTCTTCGAGGGGGAAATTGATATTATCGGCGGCCTTGAAAGTTAACAGAAAAACGAATAAGACGAGGACAGAAACAACTAAGAAGAGACGTCTAGCTCAAGCTTCACGAAGCGAGAAAAAGTTCCTAAGCGATACTGATGTGACGGAGTTGACAAATGAGAAACGTGTCGCTGGGGCAAAGCCACTCGGGAGTGGAACGTTTGGAACTTGTTATCCAGGCACCTTTCGTCAATATCGAGTGGTTATTAAAGAATATAAGGCTAGAACCCACATGAACGGGGAACACGACATTTTGGAGCGGTTAAGGCGAGCAGCAAGACACGAAGCGCTTGTTATAAAACAACTAGGCGACCACCCAGGGACTCCTTGGCTGTTCGGTGTATGCACCGCAAAAATGCCTGTCAGTATTGTCATGAAGTTTCACAACGATGGCAAAGAAAGTGTGACAATCTACAAAGCGGCAAAAGACAAGAAAGTGGCAGAAGCAAAGAAATGGAACGGCATATTTTTGGAAACTTCGGAAGCTTTGGAACATATTCATAATTGTGGATATGCCCACAACGATCTAAAGAGTAACAACGTGGTATTAGAAAAGAGGGAGGACCAACAGCTGCACCCTGTTATAACAGATTTTGGTAACAGTGTGCTGTTAAAGAAGGCAAAATCTCCCGTTGCCAAACCGGTACATCAAAGGAAAGCTTACCTGAACTCTTATATTGCCCCTGAACTATTAGACGGAATAGGAAAGCCGTCTGTTGAGAGCGATATTTACGCGTTAGCTTTTTTTATAAAAGGTGTTTACATTATTCTTGGAAATACTGATGCTATTAAAACGTAAAAAGTGCTTTGGCAAAGTCACCTAAAAGTAGACCTCCGATCTCAGTTTAAAAAAGTGGCCTTTAGCGTTGACAATTAAATCTTCCTTTACTATGTAATTGTAAGCCTTTAAGATTTTTTAAACTACGATAGGTTAGGTAAGTTTATGAGATAAGATTTCGGCGAATCGCTTAATTCATTCATAGTGGTAGTCACTGTAAGTTGGAAGTAACCAATTATGACAAAGGAGAGATTAAGCGTCACGTTTACGGTAAACGGCAACCGTCAAATTGTACCACGTGACCAAGTTTTCCCTTTACTTGTTGTCTACTGTTGATTATCTATACACATATACAAATCAGTAGTTTTACGCTAGTTTTATATATGCAAAATATTATTATTTTGGACAGTTTTAATTTGTCATGTCTTCAAGAAATTGTCAGCTTGAATCTGCCCTTTGTGGCAAATGTAGTTCTAAGTTTCTCTAATGTTTTCTCGTCCCTTGGTCTTGGGTCGCGAGTCAAACTGATATTTCTAACAGGTGAAAACGAATGTCTGTATACTTTTTCACACGATAATCCGAATGACTTTTTCTCTTTTGTAACAGTACGAGAGAATACTTGTTTGGCTGATACTATTATTATACTATTTTTCTATTCAGGTTCCCTCTTCTCTTATAGTAAATATTATTCTGAGTGTCATACTGTGGAGGTAAATTACGGGGGCGGGGGGAAATTTCTAATTTAGCTGCTTTGTTGTTGTTGTTGTTACTGGTTTTGAGGCGTATGTTTGTAATTTATAAAATAGTTTTTAAATACCACTTGCACCTTTTGCTCTGCAAATTTCAATTGTAATTACAAAACAATTTTTAACAGGCGGTATGCCTTACAACTTTAACTGATTATTATTCGAAAACGTACATTTTTCTGTTTCCTAATTTCTATATTTTATGAAAAATGTATACATATACATGTCTTTAAGTGCATATGAAAGAATAAGTTTTGTGGAAGGACTGTGAAGTTCATTTAAGAAGCTTTAAGAGGATTTAGTTTTGTGTCTGAAAGAATGTCAAATATTACATGTATTTAATTGCGATCATTACAGCTTATTAAAGCTTACAATATATTTAATGAACCTTTACAGTGTCAACTTAAATGAATGTTAGTCTTTAGATAGGTAAATTGTATTTAAGGCAACCTAAATATTCTTAAAGGCATCTTAATGGTACATATCTACTTTAAGGAATTTAACGATCTTTAAGTGTAAACTTAAATGTATTCATTACATTTAAGTGACTTTTAATTTTTTCTTAAAGATAAGTAAATCTGTCATTTCGTCCTGTGTATACAAAACGCCAACGCTTATCTCTTAAAAAATTCTTGTCCGGAGCCAGAGCAGCCAGAGGTCCCAGAGCTAAACTCTTTAATCGCGTATCACACTCTACCGAGCTAATGTACGTATGTGTTTGGCTTGTCAACACTTTGACCTCAATTCTCCCACATCTGCACGTTAGCCGGCGAAGCGCAGACGTATTTCCGGTCGTCCCTTTCGGAGGGAGAGAAGCAATGACCGGAAATACGTCTGGGCTTCGCAGGCTAACTGCACGTGAGCTGCAGCTGATATTTGTGAACAATGGGAAAGGAATATTTAACCACTCGATTCAGCCGGGCGTTCGTGGGGCATGAACGCGTGACGAACCCCTATTAGAGAGTTTTAGATCGGAGTTTACCGCGAACCTCTAACCGCGGTTCATGACTATATTCTAACAAAGGTTTTATTTGTCTTAGTTTGCCTTTCAAAAACTGCAATAATGAACCTAGATCACCGAGAAAGTTGTTTATTGCACTCAATCACCCCCGCCGCCATGACGAGCTTTGAAGCGCGAAAAAATTTTATGCAAATTAGCTGGCTGCACATTCAATGTGCAGCCAGCTAATTTGCATAAGTAATTCAAAACCAAAGTCTGACAGCTCTAGGCTCTTGAGGTGTTAGCTGAATACCCTAGGACTTCCGTAAATTGCCCACAAAAGAGTAACTCAAGCTACCATAAACTGAAATGAAAGTAACCGCAATATCCGATTAAAGCAAGGTTTAAATCTTTTTCTGCTCGGCTAACCCTCTTCCGAGACACTTACTATTTTGGTAATAATAAAACGCCATAAACATTTTACATTGCGCCTTTTTCAGTCTCAGGCAGTAAGTTATAGTATGAAATGGAGGTAAACTTAAGAATTCAGTTTTGTGACTGCCCTGCAACTTTGAAACTATTTAAGCCGCTTCCTAAAAGGCAGGGAAAATGTTTCTCGTATACGCTACCCAGGATACTACAGGAATGATTAGAGCATTTTTACGAGTTAACTGTAGATTTCAGGTATACACTACCCAGGATACTACAGGAATGATTAGAGCATTTTTGCAAGTTAACTGTAGATTTCAGGTATACGCTACCCAGGATACTACAGCATCGATTAGAGCATTTTTACGAGGTAACTGTAGATTTCAGGTATACGCTACCCAGGATACTACAGGAATGATTAGAGCATTTTTACGAGTTAACTGTAGATTTCAGGTATACGCTACCCAGGATACTACAGGAATGATTAGAGCATTTTTACGAGTTAACTGTAGATTTCAGGTATACGCTACCCAGGATACTACAGGAATGATTAGAGCATTTTTACGAGTTAACTGTAGATTTCAGGTATACACTACCCAGGATACTAAAGGAATGATTAGAGCATTTTTGCAAGTTAACTGTAGATTTCAGGTATACGCTACCCAGGATACTACAGCATTGATTAGAGCATTTTTTGAGTTAACTGTAGATTTCAGGTATACACTACCCAGGATATCTGCAACGCAGATAACAAAAGCTCAGGAAACAAGGGGACCCTGCATGAACCAGCGAGGCTGCTTGTTTGCGAAATTTTTTTGAGAAAAGAGCTGACTCTCTCGAGTGTTGAACTAGAACAGAATAATCCAGAATTATAATTTTAAACATCAATTGCTACTGATATAATTATTAAGTTTTCTTACCTGTCTGGAGTCTCTTCCACTGATGTCAATGATCTGGGCGCCAAACAAACGCGCGCGGTACATATTTCCCGCCACAAATAATTAAAAGCACTTTCATGAGACGGTGATCAAAATGCAAAAGCAAAATAGGAAAGCCGGCGCCAAATTGCTAGAGGCTAGCGATCGTTTGTTGGGCGGCGTGTGATAGAGTGAAACTGACAAAATATCGAGAAATCTGAACAGAATCTTTTTGTAATACATTATCAAAAATTATGTGAAATACATCATCAGAGAACACGTGCGAAAAAAATAATTTCGGCTCGATATTTTTTCTCGGTATTTTTCATCGATAAAAAACCGAAACATTAAAAATCACGACTTACCATCAATTACTATGCTAAACAAAGCTAAACTTACCAAAGTCGATAACCAAGTAAGGATTTCCTACAGAAATAATTTGCCACTCTCGTTTAGCAGTGTAGTGGTCGAACTTGACGTAGGTTAAAACTGATTCGTTTTGCCGGCATCTTCCCGTTAAATTAAAGTAGATTTAACACTTGCCAGGAGTAATTAGAAATCTAGCCATTTTCCTCATAGCTTCGCAAATGCAACCAGCGTTATGCAGTAAAGCGACAGAAACTTTAGCGAAATATTCACACGCGACAGTCGCGACAACCTCAGTAAATCTAACAAATGAAACAAGATGCTGAGAGAAAAAAAGGGCTTCATTGATTGTTTCCGGCAGGCGGTGACAAGTAATGTACGAGATTAGAAGACCTCCTGGTCAGAATTTTTTTTGTAGCCTAAGCCCGTCAATGTGCGGAAATAAATCACATTCTTTCGACCGTGTTAGGTTTTATTTTGATTCGTTTGATCTGAGTTCAATTGGTTCGATATTATAATCGAAGTAATGGAAAACTCGTGCGAAAACTGAATCTGATGGAATGAGTTCGAATGTGTTCGATTACTTCGTTTAACATCGATAATCAATAGAACTTAGGCCCGGTTCAAACGCCGACCTTTTCCGTGCCGAGTGAGCCGAACCTAATTCGAATGAAGGCCGACCACTTATTTAGACCGGCTGAATTGACTCCGACGCCGATCTTAATTCCAGCCGTACTAAATTCCAAAGGAGAAAAATATTCATTTCGGTCAAACTGCCAACAAAATACTTGATAACAACTTATTCATTTGGTTCGGTACATGAAAAGGTCGGCGTCTGAATCAACTGCCGTTCCAAAGTCGATCCAAAGTCGAAATTCCCGGCCGGGCTAGGAACTTTTCATGTACAGTATTAGGTTGGGCTCATAAAACGTTCACACGCGCGCCGTACTTTTCATAAGCTGAACCTAATTCGAAGTAAGGCCGACCCAAATAACTTACACCGGCTGAATGACCTGTATTCATTAAAAAGCCGATTCAAAAGATGAAAAGTATTCATTTCGGTCAAACTGCTTACAAAAAACGTTATAATAATCTATGCATTAGGTTCGGTACATGAAAAGTTCGGCGTCTGAATCAAAGCCGTTCCTAAGTCGCTCCAAAGGCGAAATTCCCGGCCGGACTAGGCGAAAAGAGCACCTGAGCCGTTTCAACTTGAAGCAGGCGTACCAATTTACTACAAACGCCGAACTTTTCATGTTCGGCAACCGGAACCGGGCCTAAAGAAAAAGTGTCGTTCGATTATGTACGTGATGCTCAATCTGTGGACTGCTTTCAAGAACTACAGAATCTCGCAAACTCGAACCCTTAAGGGAAACGAAACAAAAGTTAGATCAAGTTAATGAGAATTAGCGGGATTTCGAGATCGATACTAGGGAAAAAGTTCATTGAAAATACAGCCAAAAGCGGCGATTGAGTAGATTTCATAACGCCGAGTTCTATTGTAGTAGTTATCGAACATTTGATCGAAAATAATTACAATCCTCCTCTGAGAAGCTGTAAATATAATGAAGAAAGTGCTTAAACCTCACAAATTACCTTTTGATTTGTTTTTTCCTTCGACTCCTGGGAATTAGCGACAACTAGAAGTGAACTTCTTTGTTGTTCCGGGTTGTTCCGGGTTCTTTGTTGTTCCGTTGTTCTTTCCCGGGTAAGGACAAAATATGGGTAGGCCACGTGGTGGGCCATTGTATAGGCCATGGCAGTGTGAGGGTGGTCAATTTTTTTTTCCATATTTAAAACATAGGGAACCCACGCTCTTATTCGTAAACTGCAAATGGAAATTAAATAAGAGGTTGAATTTTACCATTTTTATTTTAATTTCCATTTGCAATTTACAAATAAGAGCGTGGGTTCTAGAATGCCTCGGGGGTTATATTTTTCAAAGGCCCTTTTTGAGGGGCTTATTTTTGGAGGGGCTTATCTTCGGAGGGGCTTATCTACGGAGGGAAATTTCCGTTTCAAAATCGATTGGGCTAACTTATACTAGGAAGGAAATTTACCGTTTTTGCTTTGTTTTACTTTGTATTTGAAGACAATTTCCAAGTACAAGCCTCAGGGGGGTTGTGCTTATATTTGGAGGGGCGATTTGACGGAGGGTTTTTTTTCGTTACGAGTTTGGGGGGCTTATATTTGGAGGGGCTTGTACATGGAGGGGCTTATTTTCGGAATTTTACGGTATATCATAATAAAAGATGCCAAGAATTCCTCTCCAACAATAAATGAGTTATTGCTGTCGCGCGCGTGTCATGAAGTAAGAGGTTGTTCGCGGTCTAGTTTTTAGGCAATTGTTACAAAGACGCCAAAAAAAATGGAATGCTACGGAATTTTTCAGATTAAAAAACAAAAAAGCAAAACAAAAACAAACCAAACCGCGCGACCTGAAGAGTCAGGGTACGCTCTTCTGGTCAGCGGTCTTTAATAGCGGAGCTCCAGGGGCGGCGTTTCGCGCCGCGCGTGGGCAGAACCCCATAGCTAAGGAAATGTCGTAATCTACCCATCCGAGAAAATTTCGTAATCACGTGACCGTACACCGAGCGAGCGAGCGACCGTCCGTCCGCACCACAGGCATACCCATGTAAAATAACTCAATCAAGAGGTATGGGAACCCAAATGCAACTCCAAGTTTTATTTGGAAAGAAATCACATGGCCGCCCGGACGTTTAGAGAGAAAAAAGTCGTGTCTTTTTCGGCATTATTTTTTTTTATGTTTACACTAACGTGGATAACAGAGAAAGAGCTAGAGCGAGTTACTGAACTCAAAGGAGACGAATTTCATAGGAAGAAAAACATGGAAATTCAAAGCGGCGGTGAGAAAGTGAGAAATGCTAGTGGCCAGCAAGGTGAAAATGAGCGGCAGTAAAAAATAAAAGCGAACATGAACACAGGAAACAAAATATTGGGTAAGCACATGCGACAATTCCTCCATAAAAATATTGTGTAACTAGGAAGTTTGACGTTTTAGTCGTACAAAACAGCGTTGTAGTAATGCAAAACAACGGCAAGGGAAAGACAAAAAAGCGTGCTGCATGTGCAAATTTGTTTTTTGCTAATTAGAAGAAAAAGTGTGCTGCACACACAATTTGTTTTGTTGCTAAATAGATCTATTGGTCTTGAAGCCATTTTCATTGTCGTCCCCGTTTAGCATTACACGATTTAATTTTTTCTTGTTTACACGTATTATTAACCAGAGCTTGGCTTTTAGCCCTGGCTAAATCTATATATTACCTACTTGCCCTTTTGCAAGCACAAAGTAACGGAGAAGATAATGTTCAAGTAACATTTTTCATTCTCTTATGAATTTTGAAAATTATTAATAAAAAGAACAGACTAAAATACTACGATTTGTTTACATGCCAGTACAACGTTAGTGCTTTGGGGTTGAAGTTAACGCAATTAATGTCCTCAGTGAGGCAGTAGACTCACAGTTCCCCGGGACGTAAGGAGTTAAGTAAAACAACCGGCCATGGCAATTTAGAACCACAAGTAACAGAAAGGAAGCATTTTATTCGTCTGTCACCTTTAGTTGATCGACTGAAAACCAAACCAGTAAAATTTTAGTTCTAAATGAAAATTTCAACTGTATTTTATTCTAACGGGTCTTTCCAAACTTTAATAAAAAGTGCAAAACATTGCAACAGGAACGAGCTACTTTTTCCTTTGCAGCTTGCCGTCACGTGACCTGTATCATGAAAAATTTACATAATTTAGTGAAGCAATTCAAAGCAAAATTACAAATTAATTTTATAAATCACTCAAGCGTGTTAAGGGATGGCCTGGCTTGAGCCTAACATGCATAATACCTTGAGATGATCAAAACTTTGTGAAAAGTTACTAGAAAACGTCTAAAATTTGCAGCCTTAGACAAATCGGTAACCTTGATTTTCTTATTACGCAAGAAACCAGATATTTGTGTCACGTGACACATTAAGGTCAAGTCCAGAAAAGAAAAGAAAAGAAATCAAATAGGGCATTTCTCTTATTGTATCAATGTTCGTCGCGTGAAATGCGGTTGACATTCATTTTCTCCAGGGCTAGCTCCGGGCCTTTAGGATGATTTTCGATCAGAAGGTACGAGGAGAAGGGTGAATCTTTCGACCTTTTTGCTGCAAAGTTTGAAAGCGGAGCGATGCAATGTTCGGGGAAAAAATCGCTCCGGCGCTGGAACCCTTTCAAAATAAGGATTCCTCCCTTGTCCTTCCATTATAAGGAACAATAAACGGTGAACTCAAAATCGTTCAAAATCGCTCAAAAAACAGCTTTTGAGGCAAAAAGAGGACAACATATCGCAGGTAAGGTAATTCAACGTTTATTTAACATTGATTTATATACATACTTAGTGATGTATCGCTATTGGTGAAGCAAACGGTAAATCCAGTACATATACAATAAAATTAGTAGTAATCGGAGCTTAGGAGAGTGCGTTCGATGTGCTTGTTAGGCGTACAGCTGGCAGTTTGATCATGGTATATTTTAAACGTAAGGACTGCTTACAGCGAAACCTCTATTTAAACTGTGTATCATTACTGGAAAAAGTCTTGAAGGCTAGTGATATCGCATGGTTCGTCTCAACAAGTGCAGTAATTTGTCGAGTTGTTGATTTCAGTGAGTGGAGCTCCTGCGGGTTGTTTATTAGTTTAGCTTAACTACAGAATACAGTGCCACTTCTCTTTATTGCTGAGTGGCTCGTTGGCTCGCCAGTCGATTCAAAGTATATCATTCATCCGAATAAATAACATAGACCTAAAATGTTCGTTTGTCCGATGCCCAAAATATCAAATGAAATGGCGCCGCCGAGCTTCACATCTCGGTAGATTAACTTTGTGGCACAACGGACGCCGAGCTACACAATTCGGCAGCTTTATTTTGTAAAGTGAGGCAAAATGTATGCTAGCCTCAAAGCGAGGCAAATGTGTGTCGACACAAATGCCATCTCAGGACACCCAACAGAAATTAGGAGTTGCGTTCTCGTACCTCGAACGTAATTAGCAATCTAACTTACCTCTATCACGTTACTTTTGAAATTGTAAGAGCTTGTTAGTTAGTATTTTAATAACTTAGTGTCCCGGCAATTGTAACTTTTGATCTGTATTTTTTCGAATGAATAAAAACATTGACATTATTATTATTATTATTATTATTATTAGTTTGAATTATTATTTTAAATAGTTTTTATTTTTTTTATTAACTTTTTGATGCTTTTTATAATTGTTATTAGTAGTCTTTAGATAGTCATTTTACGACAATTTTCTTTCGTACACAAGAAGAATGTACATAGGGTATATATTTTAATATTTCATATTCTTGAATCTGTAAATAGTCTATTTTTTTTGAATCTATGAATAAAGTTTTGTTTTATTATTATTATTATTATTATTATTATTACTATATTAATACTGCCTAGGATTTTTCTTTTTTTGAGGACGGCTAAAATTTCCAAATGACCGTTTCATTCATGTACAATTTTCGAATCTTATCATATGTATTCCCTACGATTTTCTGAAGTTTAATTTTCACAATTTACTTCCCAAGGTAGGCTATTTATCGTAGAAAAAAAGGGAACCTAAAATATTCGGATTCAAAAATGTGGTGGCATTAAGAATCAGAAAATGTTTCACTTTAGAAATACGTCAAATTTTATCCAAATTTTTCGGGAAAATAATACTCAAGCCCTTGTAGGGATAAGACCTCAAGTTCCCCTAGGATTACAGAACAGATACAAATTTTATAGCGCGGCTTAGAATGTATAGATATCTAAAAGTACTCTGCTGGATAGCCTAAAAAGTGTTTTCAATGTATTTAGGAGGAAACCATCGTTGGGTGCCCTTGAGATAGGGAACTGAACAGCCATATTTTCCACTCCCATGAGGCTTTAATTGAATTTTGTGCTCTTGCGCTCCCTCGAAGAAATAGGGAACTTAAGCACCACACGTTCTTTATTCACTACGGCATGGCTGGCCGCGCAGAACTGGAAAAGGGACGCGGTTTGCGTGCCAAATGCAAATCATTAATCAAAACGACGTGAAAACGAACGCCGACAGAATAATTCAGAAACATGATTTCAGACGAAGAATTTCTACTTTTGTATGACAAATACTCTTCGAGAACCCAGAATTTGAACCCCTGATTTCAACCGGAGAACTCGCGTTTTAAAGTCCGTGACCGCAGCTCAAGAACGTCTTGACATGCGCAGTGGTTGTCATGCTGTAAAAATACTTCCGGTTGGCGTCCGTGGTACCAAGAACATCTGGTGCTTAAGTTCCCTAATAACGCCCAACAACCAACCTTTGATGGCTGCCGTCCGGACGAAACACGTAACGATGGTCTTTCGAATCGAGTTACCACTCCCGTTCACAAATGTTCTCCCAAAGACAATATGCATATCGTCAGTGTAATCAGGCTGTTTAATGATCTTTGTAACATGCATGGTCATTTTTTCTTCCTATTTGGTTCTTTTTAACAGAAGTTTTCGGCTTTGATTCCAGGAACCAAGATCATTAGAGGGTAAATCTTCTGGGTCCTGTGGCTGATCACCCGAAATGATGATGAAAATCTCGCGCTCTGTGTATAGCAAACCAATAAAGGTCAGACGATGAGACCATTAGTCAAAACTTCATTAGAAAATTAGAGATTTTCTTTAACTCTTGCCTTCTGCTACTGCCATACAGATGTGATGAAAAAGCAATCTTTGTTGACCCGTGACTTGTAATGGCGCGAAATTATATACCACGCCGCCACCCACCCCTAGCTAGGATGATGTGCAGATAATTGTAAAATCATAAATACATTATTTACAACTGGGAACCTATAATTCATTTAATCTAAAATTAAAAGATCGGCAGCATAAGTATTATGAGAAATTATCAATAGGCTTTACTTTTGTTTTGGAAAATTGACCATCGCACACCATGGCCTACACCACGGTTCACCCGATGGCCTAAGGCCATGGCCTATCCCATATTTTATCTTTACCCGCAAAGAACGTTAGTTGGGAAAAGAGACTGAAATCACAGAAGTAGCTGGCTTAAATAGGCAGAAGGACTTCCCTGAGTTTTCCACACGATTCTGTAATGCCCTTGGGGGCTACATGAATATCAGCGTTTGGTGCAGGCACTCGAAGTTACACTGTAACAGTGAAAATAACTTACAGGTGTTTGACTGAAATAAACTCCAGGTATTACGGACTCTCGCAAATGAAGACACTAACCCAAGGTCCCTACAGTGTCCCCTGTAAAGGGAGTTGACTGCATAAGCATTTGTGATTCAGGATTTTAAAATGAAAGTTCGCTTTGTACGGAGAAAGTAATAAAGCCGTCTAATAGACTGAATTATTATGATGGAAAAGGTTACAGCCTTTGAATACAAAATGTACTGACTTCATCATCAGTGAAAAAGTCTTGTGACTACTATTCACTTGAGAGTTAGGATGTCGGCAAGAAGCCGCCTTGGATGTAGACTGTTCACAGTCCCCTATTTTTCTGTGAGATAGTCGAGATGTAGCGCGTCCCACCATTAATGGCGGCCATCTTGATTTTTTAATGTACTGAGGGGGCAGGCGTCGGGTATTATAAGTAGTTTTTCAGCACTCATGCAAGATGGCAGCCCGTAACGCAAAGCGCTCGATCTCGACGATCTTACAGGAAAATAGGGGACTGTGAACAGTCTACCTTAGCCTGCGTGGCAGGTGTTAAAAGGGGAAGGGGGAATTTGGGCGCGCGAGAGCGCGTGGGGCGCCCGAGGGCGAACGCCTGCCACTCAGGCTAAGTCTGACCTTGGATACTTCCGTGCAATCTCGCCTGCTGGGCGGGGCGAACACCGCGGCAAAACGTCTACGCATGCGTCAGGTTAAGCATTTCCGGTCTCTTTTTCAGTCACACTTTCCAGTCGGATCAAAGTCTCCCACGCGCTCTCGGCTTCATTCTGCGTGCAGGTTGTGGCTCAGTTGTTCTGCTTCATGCTGCTCGTGTTTTTGACTATTTTGTAGTTATTGAAATTGCTTTTATGGATAACCAGGCACAGATCACTGAAACAATTAGTCGATTAGATTCAGAAAAGGTAAGATGATAATAACTCAGTGTGTAATTTTGGCTAGAGCGTCAGGTAAAGTGTACCCTGCCAGCAGAGTCGCGTCGATCTTTCCTAGATAAGTCGGGAAAGAGGGTCCCGACTTATCTAGGAAGATCGAAGGAGAGTCTGTTCACAGGGTAGGTAAACTGATTTTCATTCACGAAAACAAAGTTTTTGACTGTTATTTTCCGCTTAACCTGGCTGAAACTAAGATATAAAAAGGTATCATTGCAATCTTGTGTATTGTAGTTCTAATTTTCAGTTCTTCAGTTTCTCAGTCTTCATGTCTTAAAGCCGATTCGAGCTTTATTTGGAAAACGACAACACACAATCGCTTTGTACTTTTATTTACCAGTGAGTTTTACCGTGTTTTAAAACGAAACTCTTCTGAGTTGATTGCCATGAAATATAAGCTTAATTATACTGTTGAGGCTGGCAGCAAGTTGACAACTCTATCTATTTTTTTCATTCTCAGAATCAGAGAGCGAAAGCTGGTTCGATGGCTTTTAGAAGTCGAAATTTTCATGCCATGTATTTAGCAGCTGGAAGTTTCGTGTTTGCATGAGATGCAGCCGAGCCGCACAGTCTGAAATTATTGAAGTCTTCAACCAAAGAACAACCATGTAAAAGAATTAAATAGGCATTTTGTGAATGAAAGTCATTTATGCATCAGTCAAATCCACCTACGCCCAGGCCCCCCCCCCCGGGCTGACCCCCGGGAATTAGCATTTTTTTTGCCTTGGATGGCAAATTCCCGGGAGTGGGGACTCTTGAGCTGGCAAATCCCCCGGGGTGGGGAAGAAAAAAGAGGGCAAATGCCCCGTCCTCCGTCAACAGTGCAACATTTTTTATTGATCGCACAGTCCAATAGTGCCATTTTAAAGTGCGATTTTTTGTTTAAATTAACGTCTTCCTTTGTAATAGCGCTAGGATTCTAATTAAGACTTCACGCCGCGACGACATGCACCAGTTTATGGTTTTAGTATTGATATAAAAATTATTGACATTAAAACTAATAGAGCGCTGTTATATGTTATGAATAGTTTTATAAATATGAAAGGACTGAAAGGGTTTTCTTCAAATAA